GGTTGAGTAATATTTCTTAAAATTATAAACCCCTAGTGAGCCTGTTATAATAAAATTCATGCAGTTATTTTAGCTGCTGCAGCAGTATGTCCGGCTCCGTCTTATTGAAGAAACCCATGTTTGCGTGTATGTATTAGGTAATTCCAGGGCTTACTGTAAAATATTTCGGTATTGTTCTCAGAAAAAATTGGGCATATTATCTATCTCTTTGGAGTTGCTATCTAGATAGGTACATTTCTTCTGAAGATATAACAATGTTCCAATAAAATTTTACGGATTTGCCGCAGCCCAAGTTTTATAATTCTAAATATCTACATAATCAGATAAATGTCGGGTTTAATAAATTATCGTCGTTTAAATATTCATTAATAGAACAATATTGTACTTACTCCTTAGTTGTGATCAGGTAGTTGTAACCCCTGTGCAACAGTAATGTTGTAATTAAATGTGCAGCTACTTCTTTAGTGCCTTGTGACCAGGGACCCGGACCGTACCGTTTTTGGACAGAAAACCGGACCAGAACCGTAATTTTTTTGTGGACCGGAACCGAAACTGAACACATATGTCATGTTATAATTTATTCCAAGTGCCGGACCCGAATATACGTAAGAAACTCTGACATATTACGAGACTTACAATACACAAACGCTACACAGACAATAAGACAAAACGCGGAGAAACGGTTTGAAGTAGCCGCTAGACATGACAATCCCCTCCTCAGGCAAGCCGTTGACTACGTACCCGACGTGACCGACAAACACAAAAGACCTAGACACCAACTTTTTGACCCTGGGTGACCACCCCAATGACCCCCCCCCCTCCCGCTAACCTTTTCTGTTTCAGAGACAGCCAGGATCAAGAAACGAAGACAACGACACACACACACACACACACACCCCCCATACCCTCCTTACCCCTCCCCTCCCGCGCTAGCCTAAGGGCCACCTTAGCAAAGCGCATCCCAGGCTGCATAGCCGCACTACCCTACCCAACCATAAACATGACACCACCCCTGGGATTTACACAGACGAGCCGGCGAAGCAAGAAGAGCGCCAGAAGAAAGGGCCCTAGCCGACGAGACCCAGCCAGGACAAAAGGAGGTCCCACAAAGCGCCTACACCGGCCGCATTTGCGGTCGGGGTAGACGACGGATAGGGCCTACCTACGAAGGTTGTCCAGGCCTACACGAGATGAGGCAGGATAAAGAGGGATAATCCCCCTCGATCCCAAATCATTGAGGCCAATTTCTAGCCATGAAATAATGGCGCGCGTACCCGAATCGAAAAAAATTTTAACGGTTTTTTGGGTTAATTTCGGTACTCTTAAAGCTTCCGTTTTGGTTGTGTTTCTGTGGATTTATCTGCTGACGTTTGCTTGGAGAAGTCATTATTCTTTATAAATCTGTGGGCTTGGAGTTATGGAGTTATAAAGGCCGTGTTCTGTGGTACGGATTAAATTGAGGAAGTTTTAAAAATTCGGTTCATAATCTGCCAACGGTAGACATTACCATGTGCAAAGACTTGAATCAAGCTGAATCCGGTAGTGTACAAGTGAAAGTGTACTTTTATCTAAATAAACAGTAAGTACGATACGATCCAGTGCAAAACCTTTAACAGTTTATTTTAAATGTAATAATTGTAAGATAGATATGAACCGAAGTTTCACAAATGTTGCTCCATTTATTTAGTCCATTTATATAAATGCAGTTAAGAAAAGTTTTTTAAATATAATTAATTTCTAAGAAGAAACTCGTTTTTCCTCTAACTTTAAACATACAATATAAAATTAAAAAGCTTATGTCAGACACACTCGTGTTTTATCTGAAAATTTTTCGATCTTCGAGGTAGCAAATAACATTATTTAAAACGTAGGTACTAAAATGTTGTAAGTATATTTTGATTTTTTATTTAGAAATTTATTTGAAATTCATTCTTTTAATTTTATTTTTTATCAATTGATTTTATAGCAGTAGATTGCTTTATTGGCATCATTAGAATTCAGTGGAAATTGCAACCACTAGAAAAATTGTATGTCAATTTTGCCAAAAAAAATATGAGGATTCAGCCATTGGTTATATTATTATTCAAGTTAAGAGATTTCTTCTTTGCAAATTTACAAAAAACTTTCACGTTTTTATATTGATACCCGTTCCGCAAAGTGACGCACGCTAATCCCATTGCAGGTACCGGTTTGATAGTCTCTCTCGTAGTTCCGTGTTTTTATTTTTAGATTATTTTTAAGAATAAAACTGTTTAGGCATTTTGATGCTTAGCTCTCTGAGCCTTAAATTATCATTGTATTTATAAAAAATAGTGAACAGACGTCTCTGGATTGACAGTTGTTTAGGATCCCAGTTGATGATTTCTGAAGCATCAACTTGAAATCAAATTTACTTGGCGCCAAAACAAGTCTGATTACGTGGGACTGAAACTGAAGACGTTTGACGCAGGCTAATTATTTATTTAATGAAAGGTAAGAATTCACATAATTTCGATACAAATATGTGTACCAGTGGTGGAGATACAGTGATTCATATTCACTAAAAATGTTCTTAATTTAAGTTAATTTGTTTCGTAATACAATTAAAACAATACAAATTGGTTAACCAAATATTTTCAAAATTAAGTGAGGTATAGTTAAGAAAATTTTATCAGTTATTTATTCATGTAAAAGTCCATAACATATCTAGTTTCTGTGTTTCTTTAAAACATTGTTCGGATTTTAAAATGAATAGTTAATAAATTGTTAAAATCGTTAAAAATTTGCCTTCATTCATTGCTTCCTACTCAAATCCATAGTGATAATAAGTATGAATAATATTGAACCGCTTCTCTGAAATAAGAACTCATGCTAGTATTCTGAATAAGTGTTTTGAGGGACAGTGTATCATTGATTACTAAACATTTCTATCTACACTGTAATAAAGTGTACACTGTAAATATTATTTATGCAAGATAAAGCTGCCGGAGGAGAGATAAGCAAAACCAAGGTAAGAAAAGTATAATTCGATGAAATTTGTCATTGTTATTGTTTAACTTTATCCTGAGAACATGCATTCAATAAAAATTAGTTTCAACACACACAAATTATATTCTACACAACAAAAGGCGCCCAAACGAATACTTAATCATTAAACATACATCAAATCATTACACATGAACACAAATTATTCATTCCACTATTTGGAGCAAACCACAACAACAACATTACAAAAATTATATACTATACTACATAACAAATACTAATACACACAATAAAGTACAAAAATAATAATATATAATATCCCCTTTCTTCTAACGGAGGATTTGCTATCACCAACAGGTGGATAAACATTAGCCATGTAGCCTAATAATAACTACTATTCAAAATTTGTATTCTATTCAATACAAATAAGTATTAATCTTTTAATGCTAAATTTTCATGAAATTCAAGTTTTCTGGTCACAAATCTATATATTTTGTTTTCATTTTTATAATAATATTTACGCTAATTCAAATTTTATGCTAATTTATTTTACGACATTTTATTATTTACAAAATACTTAATTAATTCTTAAGTGGGAAATTTTAAAAACAAATACAGCATTATCGAAAATAATACTATTTTCGAAAACAATTGATAGACATACCCAATGTGAATATTTGTCATATTTTAATAAATAATTCTATTAGTATATTAATAATCACCTTGAAATTAATGGTCAAGATGGAATTAATGGAAAAAGTAGGACGTCAGACTACTGATTAGAAAGAAAAACGAAGACAATTCAATTATACAGACAAATTAAGACTTTTTTTTAATAAAAGTTAGTAAATGTTTTTACTACATATTTTCGAAGCAAAAAATATTTGCATTTTACTAGAGGTAATATATGTATATAGGTAACTCAAAAATACACCAAATTTCTACGTCAGTGATATTTTCTGGAAATGTTATGAATACACGAAATTCATGGAAAAATTCAATTATTTTTCAATAGAAGCTGTGGAAAACGCCCGAACTGAATTATAATGGGAGACTTAAATTTTGAAGTTCTGCCACAGCTGTCCGGTTAATTATTTTATTGTTAGCTTTATCAGCATTGTTTATTTCTGTCAATATTTGTCGCAAAAGTGGTAGTTTTTGTGGTCAGTTGTGACAAGATGAGTGTTACAAATCAACTAAAATAGCTTTAAATCACTTTAATCTTAGTGTGACAATGTATGTTATTATTAGGACGCTAAACAATTCAATCAATTGAATAACGACAACCGGAGGCTGTGGCGTTTCCACACAGAATCGGATTTACTTTCGGCGATTTGCAAGAACTGCAACTAACATTTGTTTTTTTTACTTATTTATTTGAATTTAACACATTCTAATTCAAGAGAATATGTTTTAACAAACAAAATTTTCAAAATTATACTTTATACTCGTAATATCCTGAAGTTTTGTAGATGTTTTAAATGTTAGTAAATTGATTATTTTTTTAGGTTTCCAGCATTTGTTATATTACCCGTTTCTCAATTTTGCCATTATTTAGAAAACTAGTTTTAATTTAAACGTATCTTATGCAAATTTTGTTCGACTGAAAACTAACAACAAATAATGGTATTGAGGATAAGACAAACACGATATACTTTGTGTTTCGTTCAATCAAATTGCAATGTAACCAAATTACCAAGGCGGTAAAATCCTAAATATTATTATAACTTTTGTTAAGTAGGTATTTTATGAATTCTTTTTTTACAGAGAAAGTATGTCTAGTACACAAGTAATAATAGAACTAATTAAATTATTTTTTAGAATTGCTAAAAAATAATGTTATACCTACTTAGTTGTTTTTAAAACGTCATTGTTTGCTTTGTCTTTATAAAAAAGTGTGTGCTTTTTAAAAGTTGAATAAATTTAATATTCACGACGATACGACGAAATAAATTTGACCTTAGATGGGAAATTGAAATTATAAAAACAATGTCAGCAAAACAACCCGATATTTGAAAACAATCGATTACCGCTTTCCTCATTGTAGGTATGTGTTTCTGTTAATAATAAATATATTTGTTAGCAAATTTGATCAAAGACCTTGAAATTTGTTACCGAGACTATTGGAGAATATAGAAGCTGAGCAAATGTTTTTGAGTTAATTCAAACTGTGCGTTAAAAAGTGGATGAAAAGCAGACGGAGCGAAATGTAAGTAAACCGAAGTAATTAAATATTTACGTGACAACTTTCTATTAAAGTATATACATTGTGGTAGTGTAAACAAAAAGGAAATTATTAACTTAGCGATTAAAATAAAAATTTATCAAGGGCATCAAGAAACCAGCCTACAAGTCAGGAGCGTGTATGTGGTGATATTTATTAATACTGCTCTGTTCATCACAAATGAATGAGCGTATTTTATATTCAATTGAGAGTCGGATTGCAACTTGAAAAGTAAGTTTGTTCCCCCTTCCGCAGTGGCGTGCAGTACCAAAAAAATAAAATAAATCCAAAATAGTAAAAAATACCCTTTTCCCCTTTATAGTCTAAATAATAAAATCGTGACTTTATGTTCTTTAACAAATTGTAAATCTTGAGAATTAAACAAATATAAACGATCTTAGATATTGTTACTGTTTATAATGCATCTGCAATATTTAGCAGAAATCAGAATTACAAAATACCTAATTTTGTAGCTGTGGTTTCTAAAATATTCGTCTAGGTTAGTGATATTCACTTCGAAAAGTGTATATGCTTTGAAAATGACTTACTAAAGTCGAATTAAATCGCCATGGGTTGGCCCCTCCAGCTTGACGTTAATTTTTGGAACATCCTGTACATTTTGCTCTTGCACAAAAAGAGAGTTGACTATAAAGTTAAAGTTCATGTAAAAATGACTTGATATTTCAGTGAATAGGTAATATTACTACCTTTAATTTTCAGTTGTAATTTATTAAAGTAAAATATACTTTTATATTACTTGGTGACAGGCAAATCAATCTATTTTAAAATTATACAGAATGAAATGTATAATTGAAAAGTTTTTCTTACTGCTGCTACTAATAAATAATAAATTTAAAATACCACTTTATAAGTTTTAAAAACGAATCCATAAAATAATTGAACTCAAATAGATTGCCACAGACCAACAAAATTTAACTTTTTTTTGGAAGCAGAAACTTGAATATATATTTGCGAAGGATTTAGGTGCGCTGAATCTGAATCTGGCAGCAGAATTGCTCTATCATATTCGTCATATTTGAGGTTATGTGGTAATGCCTTCTATTCTTTTTCAAAAAACTAATACATTGAATCTAAAAGTACAAGGCTCCCTCCTTCGAATGCCGTTGAGTTTGCTCAAATATCTTTTTTTTTTCGTTGAGATATCACATGTTGAAATTTTTAAGTTTTTCAGTTTTTCAGTTTCTTAATATGCGAAAATCTACTAAGGATCCCTTAGACATCAAGCAGTCGATTGCAATTCAGAAACTTCATACCCATACGGTTTGTGGGTTTAGAGTTGGTAGGCTTGGGGTTTGTGGGTTTAGGGATTGTGGGTTTGGGGTTTCTGGGTTTGTGGATTTGGAGTTTGTGAGTTTGAGTTCGTATGTATTGAAGGTTTCTGAGTATGAAGTTTCTGAACTGCAATCAACTGTTTGACGTCTAAGGGATCCTTAGTAGATTTTCGCATATTAAGAAACTGATAAACTTAGAAATTTCAACATGTGATATCACAACGAAAAAAAAAAAGATATTTGTGCAAACTCAACGGCATTCGAAAGAGGGAGCCTTGTACTTTTAAATTATATGTATTTTGAAAAAGAATAGATGGCATTACTACATGACCTCAAATATGACGAAAAACAGTGTTTTTTGCACTTTTAGGTTAGAATATCTCAAAAACTTGACGTGATAGAGCAATTCTGCGGCCAGATTCGGATTCAGCGCACCAAAATCCTTCGGGAATGCATATTAGTGTGTCTGCTTCTTGACCCTTGTTGACCTGTGTATCGTTTAAATTTTCAAAATTCATCAAATGTTGTATTCAACAAAACTATATAAGGAAACCATAGATTGAGATTGCATTAGAAAGAGTGAAAAATTTTCAGTAGCTCATAAATTTTATTAAAAGGAACCTATTATTTGATAGTCTCTTTTATAAATTCAGTTAACTTTTTTGTTATTTGAGTGTCTACATGTTACATCTAATTATTTTAACAATTTAGTTATTATCATCAATCATTAATGATGTTATTATCTACTTATTTATAATGGCAAATAGCATTTAATGCTTAGTCATTGTACATAGTTAACAAGGATGATACATTTACAAAAACTATTGAAATTATAAACATTTTTCAAATGAATGCATAAAAAGGGTACAGTAAGAAATAACCATTAGAGAATAAAAACAGACGAATGTTCATCAGGAACAATATGCAAGGTTTCAAAATTCAAAGACGTTTATAATGTTAAATTATTGCAGTACCATATAAAAATTAGCACGAGTGTATTATTTAATAAAATACAGCCCGTTGGTAAGCATTTTTGAGCATACTGCTTTGAAAATAAAATGATTTGTTTTATTAGTCAGAATTCAGATTTTTTCTGTGCAAACATATTCCTGAATATATTTGAATAAGAAATATATCTAATATGGATACCCCAACAAAAATAAAAAATAAAATATTATATATATGTTTATGACTGAAAAACAAAGGACAATCTGAATTCGTGATCAGTACGAATAAATTCTTCTTGAAAATTGTACTGTGAATAGTTTTACCATTTTCTCAAAAACTGGAGTTGGGCGAATTCATCTCACGACAGCTTTAAATAGAAGATAAAAACATACAAAATGTGTCTTTTTTTCAACATTGTGAAAAACTTTAAGGAGCTGTTCCTTTCCAAAAGTAAGGGGGATTTTCTTTACAGTCATTGCTAAAAATCTGTTGTAACACACCCCTATAAAAGGATAAGTTAAAAATCAGTTTATATTTTATTTGACACAGTTAGAGAAACGTAGAAGAACAGAATTAAATGTGCGACCCTCGAAAGGAGTTGAAAAAGGCACCCTTTAACGGTCATTATATCGTTTTGCACAAAGTTGAAAATTTGAAATTTAAATAATTTATTTAGAAACTTGGCTCACTTAGAAACCTTCTGTTTCTTTCAGTTTTTTACTAAAATGTTCCTATTTTCAAAAATGAATAAATTAATAAATGAGCTTTACAAAAAAAAATAACATTGGAAATAGCTAGTCTACAAAATAGTTTTTATTTTAGACTGATAAGAACTTCACTATCTTTTTTTACCATATTATTTTTCATTATTTTCATTATGCATTTATCAAGTCACTTAATATAACAATTTTCGTATCAGTGGCGTAACCAGAATGTAAAGTTGGAGGGGGATAACAAAAATTCTTAAAATTTGCAGCAAAACGGTTTTAAAATGAAAATATTAGTTTATTAGTTATACAAGTTGTTTATATTTATAATATATTGTTTTTTTATAGTATACAAATGGTTTTATATTTGGTAACTTAAAATAAAAGTATAAATATAAAAAAAACTTTGTATCACATAAAAAAGGAACTAAACATTTTCAGACTATCACAAAAAATATCTCAAAAATAACAACAGAAAATAGCGAAAATCAAAATGCATAACCACAAAACATGTACAGCACAGACTACCATGTACAGACTCTCAGCTCAACACACATTATGACAGACCGCGATGCCATGTATCATGCATTTATCAAGTACGCGATGCGATCGGCATACCCAGTGACGTAGAAAGTCAGGCAACCTGTCCCTTTAGGAATCTTGGGGGGGGCGGGGGGCTAAAGCTAAAAGTATTCAATCAAAAAAACATTAAGGGTGTGTGTTTCTCCAACTGTGAGAAATAAAATAAAATCTGAATTTTAACTTATCCATTTAACTGTAGCATCGAAAAAGATGTTTTTTGAAAGTTCCCAGTTACGTTTTAACAAATAATCGTTCATTTTTTCGCTATATTAAAGAAACACCCTATATTTCAAGAACGTTAAAAATTTCTCAGGAAGGGTACTATCATTTTTTCTCGACTAGAAAAGTAGTCTCAGCTAAGCAAGAAAATGAAAAGCGTAATTGCACTAATTTCACCTTTCCCAAGATATCTCAAAACATATAAAAGGCAGTAGAAATTGCAAATATATTTAAAACGTTCATAAAATTTTCTAATACTTTTTTAATATCTCTTATAATCAAGATACCGATGCTGCTGTATCGAATTTTTGACGAACGGTACCATGGGCGTCCGCAGAAAATTTATCAAGAGGCCTTTGGAAAATATACAATTTAATCGAAGATAATAAAATTCCTGATTAAAACGCCACACTGATTCAGGTCTGTTTTACGTTAATTTTGCAACGATTTTAGCTATAGAAATGTCATCCGGAGCCGCTACTGGCTGTTGCTGTGCGATAACACCACATGCACCCGTTTATTTTTACAGTCGTCTGTCTGAAACCGACAGTGAACAGCTAGCTGTATTCGCGGCAGAGATAAAATTAGCAGCACCAACAGCTCGCATCCGGAGTCATGTTCGTCGTGAGTAGGCTAGTGAAGAGAAGCGCGAACCGAGTAGCGGCGGTAATTTTGAACAGAGGCGGAAGGCGGGCCACACATTCCAAAATCACCTCCGAACTACCAGATATCGAGATTCCTAGGCTGCCCCTCAACGAGTATGTCCTCGAATTTGCATCGGAGTGGGAGGATAGGACCGCCGCTGTAAGTAGAATTTAAAATAATGAATAAAGTTTTCAATTAATCGCATACATAATAAAATTTGCTATCTAATGACATTGTTTGCTAAATAAATTCAAATTACTCCACGTCTGCATTGACGCGAATAATATTGACTAAAACTGTGTTCTACAATAATATTAGCAAAGTTTAAATTTGCACCAACAATCGTACTGGGTTTACTATCTGCAAGGTAAGCTTCTGAATGTTATTTCAATTTTTGTTTGGAAATTTTTTGGATTTATCTTGTACAATAAAATAGTACATTGGTACATTGCACAATGCAATATAAAATAATAGAACTAAACTAATTAAATTATTTGTAAAATACGACTGCCTATGGAATGTTTAATAAAAAATCGTTCAAATACGATAAACAAATAAGATGTTTGGTATGATAAAGTATGAATTCAAAAGGAAACGATGAAAAGCTGAGAACAAAATTATTGTTGGTCTCAAATCCTACAAGCATTTAAGGCACAAAACAAACTCTAAAAAAGTACATATAATGCTCTACAAATTTCTTATTGTTTTAAAATTATTTTAAAAATTAATTACAAATTTTTGCAATTTTTTGGAATGTTTACAAATTTTATTATTAATAGGGCAGAATTAGATTTTTTGTTTTTGGAATTCTTGTTATTTATTACACAATTCAGTATGTACCATACATCAAAATTTTAGAAAATCAACTTATATTACTAAGACAAGTAAATATATTAATAATAAAAGCCTTTTATATGTAACTAGTGACTGTGACAGAAAAGACTGAAACAATATTATATTTTTACAAGCTTTTATGTAACTTGCCTTGTTAGTAGGTACGGGTCAAATCTTGCAACTGAATTTTAAAACAGTTATCGCCAACCGATTGAGCTGAAATTCTTCATACACGTTTAGTTTGGATGACAATGCATGGTTAGCTAAGTGACGTCATTCTAGATCCAATACGGCGGAGTCCCAAAGATTGCAGACCAGTTATTTTTTATGCACCCCCATGATATGGGTATCAAATGAAAGGGTTTTGCTGAGACGAATACGAAAATAAAATGACGTCACTAAAAGATTGTTTAAAAAAAATTATACATGAACTTAATAGTTACGTTATAACTTGAAAGATAACACCGCCCAACAAAAAAAAAGTTATGTGAACTTTACATGCGGCATATGATTTCCTGTGTATTTTTGTCTCCTGAGCACAAATCCATAGTCTGTTTTGCTCCATCACCCTTCAGTTTTTCGTAAATCGCTAACTACCTTCAGAAAATCGCTAAAAATCTTCAGTAAAATGGAGAAATTTAGGAAGTAACGAGATCTTGACATGCCACACATATTTTTCGACGTAATTTTCCATCCTAAATCCGATTCCGATGTAAGAATTACGCCATAACCGTATAGTCTTAAAAAAATTACTGAAGATCTTCAGAAAAAAGGCGAATTTTGAGGAGTGACGAGATCTTGACATGCGGCATATGTTTTCCCGTGTATTTTTGTCTCCTGAACACGAATCCATAGTCTGTTTTGCTCCATCACCCTTAAGTTTTCCGTACGTCGCTGAATACCTTCAGAAAATCGCTAAAAATCTTCATAAAATGTAGAAATTTAGGAAGAGACTAGATATTAACACATGGACATGACACATGTTTTTCGACGTGATTATACCTCCTGGATCCGAATCTGTTGTCAGAATTACTCCATAACCCTATAGTCTTCAAAAAATCGCTGAAGATCTTCAGAAACAGGACGTAATTTGAGAAGTGACGAGATCTTGACATGCGGCATTGTTTTCGGACGTATTGTTACCTTCCGAATCCAATGTCAGATTTGCTCCATCACTGTCTAGTCTTCAAAAAATCTATGAAGATCTGAAAAATGGAAAATTTGTAGTAGTAACGAGATGTTCATATATGACTCATGGTTTTCGATGATGAATACGTCCGAAAACATATGCCGCATATCAAGATCTCGTCACTTCTCAATTTTTGCCCTTTTTCTGTAGATCTTCAGCGAGTTTTTGAAGACTAGAGGGTTATGGAATAATTCTGATAACGGATTCGGATCCAGGAGGTAAAATTACGTCGATAAACATGTGTCACGTGTTAAGATCTCGTCACTTCCTAAATTTCTTCATTTTACTGAAGATTTTTAGCGATTTTCTGAAGGTATTCAGCTATTTACGGAAAACTTAAGGGTGATGGAGCAGAACAAACTATGGATTCGTGCTCAAGAGATAAAAATACACAGGAAATCATATGCCGCATGTAAAGTTCACATAACTTTTTTTTTGTTGGCCGGTGTAATCGAACCTTTAGGAATCGTTTTATTAGAAATCATTACTTACTCTTATACCAATAAATGTTTGTTTGTTTGTTTTCAGTAGACCCAGTAGGTTCAAAGTCGAATTTTCCTATAAGTTAAATAATTCATCACCTTTTTCTGTAGGGACTAATTGTAAGATATAAAATAACCTGAATTCGGCACTGAACATATTTCTAACATAATGCTAAATTTAAAGAAAGACGTAAATATATTTCATTCTGCCCAGTTTTATTTAGAAAGAATGATACATATCTTTTAAATATAACATTGGTATGTTGAAAAAGCAACATCAAAATAACACATTTCGTTGAAAATACGTTATTTTTTTGAATGCTCAGTTTTTGGAAAATCTCTTGCACATGTCAAGTAAGTACATACAATTTTCTACAGGAATACATAAGACATTTTTTTCGTATCTTGTACAATAAAGGGAGAAAAACGATGGAGACAATTTTGACGCATGACGAACTGGGGAAACGATTCAGGTACATTCATTCTGCAGCCGCAGCATTTTGTCTCCATCCACTGTGTATGTATCCAACAATTAATAAAGTAATAAAACTAAGCAGTAACACTCCATTATAAAAATTTACTCGCACTCACTAGACTAATACCGAAACACAAGAGATTTTTAAACAGGTAAAAGGAGATAGTTAAGAAACAACCAATTTTGACGCGGCAGTAGATGTATTGCTGAAAGAAACAATAGTCAACAAAACATTAATTCTATTATTAACGGTGGTATTCGGTGGTATTAGCTAATTTACAAAGATCAGTCAGTTCGATTAGACTTTGCTCTATTTTTTACTAAGGTAAATTTTTAACAATCGGCTTCTTTTGCCAAAACTTCTATTAAAAATAAATTACTTAAAATTAATTTAGCATTTTTCATACCCTTATTCATAAAAAATTAAATTGGTATTTCTAAAAATGCGTACAAAAAATTACGTTACTGAAAAACTGTTACTGAAAAACTAGAAAAACTATTCCCAATTTACGTACACGATATATAAAAAAATAATGAATATAACTTACGATAAATAAATATAAAAATTATGTTCCTATCTACCAATACTAATGGTTTCTATAATTAATGTAAGTACGCCAATAGGTACATTGTTAAAAAAAACATTTACATCAAATAATGATAAAAGTGTACCTTATTAAAAAAAAAACAAATTAAAAAAGGGATGTTAAAGCATATAGTGTAAACTATAAAACTTAATAAAGAATTTCTGTTAAATAGTAAATACTTTTTAAACCTTGAAATATATTTATCATTAAAAAAAAAGAAAGTGGGAGTTCCCAAAAACAAGACTATGGTCTCTATATGTTTTTGGGGTCGCTGAATTCGAATCTGGTATCCGTTTGACCCGATTAGCTCTGGGTTAAAGTCAGTTCAAGGTCAAATATGGAGTATCAATTGCCAACAAAGTAAACCTACATATCTATATAAGCTTTTGGGATTGCTGAATCCGAATCCGAGATCATGTTGACTCGATCAGGTCTGCTAAATACTCTCAAGTTCTAAACTCAAAACACTCAAGTTAAGCATTTATGCGAATTTATTAAAATTTGAGTAACAAATGAGATTAAAGAAAGCTCTCGAGTTAATTGTTTTGATATGCTAAAATTCTAGTATCAATAAGCCCAATTAAGTAAGCTTTAAACCATTGTGTCCGTTAATGTTTTATGGACATTAATTTACACAGTTTTCAAGATAAATTTTTTGCCTTGATGAATCCCATAAAATCATAATCTCACTATCATAGTATTGAGACTCTCCGAAGTAATATTTATAAATGTCAAAGAAATTTAACAGGATAGATACCATAAAAAAATATTTCGGTTCAAAAGTGCATAATGTTGTCAGACTAATAAACGTAAGCGATTCTCAATGTCTGACATGCATAATTAATTATTATCGCACAAAATTATAGATAGAATAGACAATACTAACTGAATATTGAAATATTATACCTATATTGAATAAAGTTTGTTTTATGCAATCTATATTAAACATCACACAAGAAAACAAACCAATTTAAATTTTGTGAAGAATAGTGAATAATAATTAGTAACATAACAAATTACTGTTATATATTATTTTTTTTACTATATGTATCTAGTTCTAAAGGCATCTTAATTGGCACTAAACTATTTTACCGATATATATTTTTAAGTAAATTCACAAACTCGTTTAGAGAAAATTTGTAATTAGAATTGGTTGGATGAAACATATTGAAATATGTACATATGCAGGGTGTCCCATATAAATCTTTCCACCTGAACATTTCGTTTAATATGAAATTTTGAAATTTCAAAAACACATCGATTTTTAATTTGAGGGGGACATCGACATACATCATTACTTATTTTGCAGTTACCACCCCTTCCTAGATCGAGGCATCAACTTTGAAATTTCAAATGGCACTACAGGGCGTGTGAAAGCTCTTTTGATACTGACCGTAAAAAGAAATAAAAAAATCATTATGCGTTTTCAAGAAAAAAATTAAATTTTTGGAATTTTGTATTTTTACATTTAAAATTGTTTATAATAGATGCTCAAATTGTGGAGCCAGTTGTTCTTGGCAAATATGGAGTCTATCTACGAAACATCTCCTTACATTTGCAAAAACCTCTGGAGTTAAATTCCGCCATTCGTTTACAAGACGTTGTCTTAAATCTTCAAAATTTTCGGGTTGACTTGCAAAAACCACTAATTTGAGATGTCCCCAGAGAAAATAGTCGTTTGGACTCAAATCGGGAGATTGAGCTGGCTATTCTATAACCCCACGCCTACCTATCCATCGTCCTGGAAAATTCTGATCCAAATAAGGCCGAACTCGTCGCTGAAAATGGGGTGAAGGTCCATCTTGTTCAAACATCACAAGATTTCCAGTCAAAGTGCCATCTAAAAAAAATTGACCAACTGTGTCATTACGCAATATTCCAGCCCAGACGTTCAGCTTTTCTTTATACTGACTGTGCGATTCCCTAACACAATGAGGGTTTTCACCCGATCAATAACGAATATTATACCTATTCACAGTACCATTGAGAAAAAACATACACTTATCACTGAAGCAGATATGTAAAATATATTTTGATTTTCTGTAATTTTGTTTAGACATGATATCACAAAATTCTATTCTTCGATCCGGATCATCCTCGTTCAAACAATGCACAAGATGTATTTTGTACGGATCCCTGTAATACGCTCTAACGATCGCATGGATTAGTGTGGATTCATTGTTCTCCCAAAATTCCTACTTCCATTAATTTGTTAAGAGGATTAGTTTTCTTAAGATTTGCTACGGTTTCTCGAATTTTTTTAACAATCTGGCTCACATTTTGTTTTCCATAAAGAAAAATTATTTCAACTTTTTCAGCTAACGAATAAACCATAATAAAAAATTGACAAATGTAAAAGTTACACTTTGATTGTAAGCCAAATATGAGATTTGATACAATTTAAAATGGTTTCAACGATAACACATTTCCGATAACATGATATCAAACAAAAAGGTAAAATGGAACGGAATGCAATGAAATTCATAAAAAAATATGATGAGAACTTCAATCTTTTTTACGTTTCGTTTATTATTGTTTTTATCATCTGAAGTAGAAACCTTTTTGCAGTGTAATAATTAATGTTTTGATGTATGATAATCTTTTCAGTGGTTAACACATGCTATAAATTAAAAATTTTATTTCAATGTTTTTTTCTTGAAAACGAATAATGATTTTTTATTTTTTACGGATTCAAAGTCAGTATCAAAAGAGTTTTCAAACGATGTATCACACGCCCTGTAGTGCCATTTGAAGTTGATACCTCGATCTGCGAAGAGGTGACAACTACAAAATAAGTAATAATGTAAGTCAATATCCCTCTCAAATTAAAAATCGACGTGTTTTTGGAATTTTTTCAAAACTTCATATTAAACGAAATGTTCAGGTGGAAAGTTTTATATGGGACACCCTGTATATAGGTAGGTACCCACACCTACCAAAAATAAATTTAAAGATTTTAATCGTTAACGATTAAAATTTATCAAAAATGTCTGTTAGAAACAATAAACGAAAATTGTATCGGTACCTAATTTGTGGTGAGATTATTAAGCAACATTCTGTCAACAAACAACTATCTAATTTTATCAGAAACCTTAGCAAAGTCCGTACAATATAAATAAGTTGTTTGTCAACAAGAATTACATAGAAAATTATTTTTCATCAATCTCTGTTTCAAGGAAATTTACTTGTTACCACGAAATTACAGCAATAAAGCTCACGATAGGAGATCGTAATAAATTAAATTTCAAACACAGTACTTACATACAATCATAGATAGCCTTGCATGAAGTAATTTGTTTGCTGTAATTTGTCACCCATTTATCTTTGCATTTTAACACGTAAAGTTTTCGGTTTGCCACATATTACATTACTCATATCCTAGTTGAAAGTTAAATATAACTGCATTCTCTTAATATTTAATGCTAATATGATTGCTATAAGGAATCTAGAAAAAACTAATTTGAAAATAATTTGTTCGAAAATTTTGAAAAAAATTATTATGTACTTTGTTGCTTTGTGTCTATAGTAATTTCTAAATAATCAGCCAAAATCTAGAATAACCTTTAAACTAAAAAGTCAATCAAAGAAAAACTACATAGCATATAGCGACACAAATTAAATCGATCAAGTTAAATATTTCAAAAATATTTTCCTAAAAAAAAGTCGTACAATATTCATTGATAACAAAGGTCCAGAAATGCAAAAGATATCTAACCTTACAAACAAGATTCCTAATTGTTGATATTGCAGGAAACAACTACTCTACTCTATGGACTACATGCCCCAACTGTCTGTGGAGTCTGTCTTTTGGATACCTAGATTTCAGATATTTAAAAACATTGTTTCAGTTTACTTAATAAGCATATTTTGGGCAGAAATAGTTAAGGTAAAATTACTGAATATTATGTTAAAAAAATTAAACCAGTAACCAATAATGAACGCGAAAACAAAGCAATAATTAAATATCACTTATTTATTCAAACCTTTATCTTTAAAATGTTAACAGTTTAATCGAATGTGGAAAATACTATAAAAGCTCATATTTTCGAAACAAATACTTAATACAGTACTTTAACATTTCTGTATATTTTCTGGTGCTTAACATTTTAAATATTTTAAATGTTTTTTTACAGGTTAAAATAATTTCATTGTTATAAAACGTGCTACAAATGCAGTAAAAATAGGTCATATTTTCCACCAATTTAGTGATAATTTTGTATTGTAAGCATGAGCGTTCACAGAAAATTCGCCAAGGGGGCAAGGCAAAGTGCGTTACAATAATATATCTCTCATCTTATACACTAGTATAACGAAAATTTGATACACTGTACGCAGATCGTACGTGATCAACAGTAAAACATTTTCTAACTTTTAAAGAAAAACCTTCTTTCTTCATTTGTGCATTAGATGCAACTTTCCTGTTCTTTCCGGGCGCCCGTGATTGTAACTTGTAAGTGTTTAAATTATATGGAATTTCCTTTAGCATTAAATTTTTCAAACGATTGTGGTAGGTACGATTATTCAACACTCAGAGGATGTTTACTGATTCATCTGAGAATCAACACTATTTTTATTTATTGCATCCCACACCAATACAAAGCTGCACTACTGGTACTCAGATAACTCAGATAAACCAGTAGATGAGAAGTACCTACAAAAATCCAAGTTCTACCAAATTACTTTCATTAGAGATAATTATTTTTATTATTTATGTAAGTTTATACAGTTCTTGATTTCATATTAACTAAAATATAACAGATATGAATGAACATAGCAGAATTTAAGAAATTTCAATTATTTTTACGTAATTGGGTATTTTTGCCACATCAAGAAGAAAATTTTATATAAATAACCTCTCCGTCAAAGATAAGCAGTGAATGTATTAATTTATAAATTTAACATTATTTAAAATTTATTTTTATATTCAATGTGGCAGAAGTACCAAATTAAGTAAAGAAAGTATTACAAAATGTAATAAATAAATAATGACGAACAAAACTAAGACAATCTCAATGTTTTAAACTTTAAAAGTTAATAATATAATATAATCATTGCCACGAGTACGAATTAACGCCCTATACGTTACAAAGTACGCATATATTTTTCAATAAGGAATCAATATTTAATGTGAAATCACCATTTAAAGTGAAATCACCCTGTATATTTAGTATTCAATCGTTTATAATATATTTATCAAGGTTAATTTTTAGGAATGTGGTCTTACAGGAAGAAAATATACTTACAAGGAGCTGAGAACGAAAGTTAAAAACTTTGCCGGAGCTTTGAGGAAAAAACTGAAACTAGAGAAAGGTGATGTGATTGCCGTTCTATTACCAAACATTCCGGAATATCCAGTTGTGATACTAGGTGCTAACCGAGCTGGAATAATATGCACCACAGTAAACCCTATTTATACTCCAGGTAAGCCAAGTTATCTCCATGCAGAGGCGTGTGCGAGTATAAAATTTAATATAGTTACTTTTACCTAAAAATGTTTAAATATTTACTAAGTAAAGCGCTACGAATACGAAACTGGTTCTAGCAAGAACATGGCAAGAACTATTTAAAATTGGAACATAGCCAATTTTAAGATTCTATATAACGACGAAATGAATATTTATAATAGAGATAGAGTGAAGAGTGCCCCAAACTTTAGTCGCAAAAATTCAGAAATCAGTAGAGTAAATGCTATACAAATAAATCTGTTTTCGAAACCGTCATTTTCGAAAATATAATAATAAAAATTAAGTGTAAACTCAAACTAGTGGCTCAGAGAGAGAGGAACTTGTGAAGCGTCCTTTGCAGAAAAGAACGGATGAATTTGCTGAGCTTGAATAATAATCTTTAGTTTTTTGCATAAAGATGATACTTTTAATAAATATAGAATTTATGTAAATGATTTTACTCCTTTGAAGATTCCATGTATTCTGATGAATTTGCTGATACTCTATTTTTTAATAATTATTCGCCCTGCATCTCAGACCTGGTCATAAAGACCAATAATAAACCAAAAATAAATAAAGAAAAAAAATAAAATAAGAAAAAAAATTAAATTTGGATGAAATAATTCATTTTTTAACACGTTATTTGTGGAACTCCCTGTATAAATTTTAATTTATCTAATCGTAACATCTTTGAAAATTACTAATTTGTGCAAAAACAGTAACAGATATACAAAAAAGACAAGAAATTTTCAATCAAAATAAAATTTGCATCCAAAAAATAATTCCAGTGGCGCGCCATAATTTTTAAATATAACCAGCATACGTAGCATATAGCATAGTTACAAACACATTGTACAGCTATGGACAAAAACAGTTTCCAAAATTCAAATTGCCAAGAATGAATTTAGATGAATTACCTACAACCCCTATTATTGTTATAAAATACCTACTTCATTATATTTGTTGTGAAACAATTTATTACACCTAATTTCAATTCTAAATTATTATAATTGTTTTATCAATCACACGAAATTTAAATGAAAAACTATGGAAACCTATGGAAAGTAATTAATTAGAGGTCATAGTCAGTCTATAATTTGTCTATAAATCTTTGTCCGAGTAGATAATTTAAGATTAAGCCAAACTGTTTTGTTAAATTATTTTAATGTTTTAAAATACTGACGTAAACAATAATGAATAACTAATGTAAAGATGTTTTGTCACTTACCAAATTATATTTATAGATTTTATTATTATAATATGAATTTAACGATTAGGCATAATTTTAGCTGAAATATCAAAACAACTCTTGGATTCCTCTACAAAAGTCATAGTTACTTTAAATGAATTATGGGCTTTGGCTAGTGCATCTAAAGGGTTAATTAACAAAGACATTCCAATAGTAACCATTAATTCGCAGGTAAGCAAAGCAAGAATATAACAAACGTGATTCACCAGCTGTAAAGACACAGCGCGTTCTCAAAAAAATAACCTTAACAATGTGCAATTGTTAGTCTTTATTCAGAATCTGCATTTCCTTCCTTGCTATAGTACCTACATATTCTTGCAGTTATGTTTATGTTTCATAAATGAAAATTTAATTCGAACTTATACCTACTTAAACACTTAACATACAATAAATCCCAATAAGTAAATAAAAGCAATATTAAAAAAAAGGTATATTAATCATCTTCTTTTAAGTAACATTATTGTATCTTAATTTATAGTCTGCATTTTTAGGCGGGACAAACAACTCCTGCTGGAGCCATAAATTTTTCGGAGCTTACAGACAATTCTGTAGACTTTCCTGAAGATGGTACAATCTGTTCAGATGAAGTAGCGGTGTTACCATATTCAAGTGGTACAACAGGTCTACCTAAAGGTGTCCAACTTACACATTTCAACATTGTTTCAAATTTGTGCCAACTTGAACATCCACTCATAGGCTGTAATTGGAGAACCACAGGTAATAATACAATTGGCGTTTTTGAGAAAGAACATTTGCTACACTGTTCCCTTCATTTTTCAGCTGATCACCAAGACACAACTCAAGCAGTTTTACCACTCTTCCATATATATGGGTTGACCATACTCTGCATGTACCAGCTCAGACTTGGGTGCAAAATTATTACTTTACCAAAGTTTACCCCTGACTTGTATATTGGTACTTTAAAAAAACACAAACCAGAACTTCTTTACCTAGCACCTCCCATAGGTAAGTACTTTTTTTCTAAGAGGAAATGACGGTTCTTTCAAAAATTAGTAAAAATTTGTGGATGTAGAGTGATTCATGAATTAATTAATTTTTATGTTTATATTACCTATTCCTCGTATCTACGCACCTGTATCATAAAAATTTCCTTTGGTCTAAATTGGTTTATACATAACAAAGATACTGATACAGAGATCGGACATGGTACATTAGTAAAATCTCAATACTTTTTTGAGTTCTGTTTGTGGTTAAAGATTCATTCTCGCAAGCTGAAACATCCTGTACAATTAATTGGATTGTTGCAGCAATTTTTTTGGCAAATCATCCAACTGTAAAAGAAGAAGACTTCAGCAATGTTCGAACTATAATCAATGGTGCTGCACCACTCGGGATTTTAGATGAAGAAAAACTCTTAAAGAAAGCGAACAAAAATATTCCTTTCTTGCAAGGTAATACAAGAATTAGTGTCAATATTATTTAAATAAAACTGTTTTAATTTTTTTTTATAGGATATGGACTGACTGAAACATCTCCAGCAGTAATTACAACTAGATTATCTCATTTAAGCAACAAGAGTATCATTGGTTCCTTAGGCAAACCAGTACCAAATACGGAAGTAAAAATAATAGGAATCGATGACATGACCGCCACCCATCTTGGCCCTAATCAGATGGGAGAGTTGGTTGTAAAAGGTCCTCAAGTTATGAAAGGATACCACAACAGACCAGAAGAGAACATATTTATAGACGGTTGGATGAGGACAGGGGATATGATGTATTATAATGAGGATGGATTTTTGTTTATTACAGACAGATTGAAAGAGCTGATAAAAGTCAAAGGATTTCAGGTAAAGACCACCAATTATAAATAGATTACTAATTTTGTAGGATAGAAGATAGAACAACTATTGGACTCTAGACCAGGACCGGATAAAAGAAACGTAACAGTGATTCTGTTATCAATACATGTAATACAAACTAAAAGTAACAGCATTTCAACTTATTTGCACTTTTATACACTATTTGGCACTATTATACACACAACGATCTAAAAAAATGTTTTTTGTGTCTGTGACTGCATGATATTTACATACGTACATGACATCTACAGGGAGTATATCAAATTTTAATAAAAAAAAATTCCGATACTTATTTGAAAAAAATCCCAAATACATATTAGGGTGGCCCAAAAAAAAACGAATATTTTTTTCGTGTCTCTTGTGAAAATATGTTAATTTATCATGTTTTAAGAGCCCCCTCAAAAAATCTACTTATAAAGAATTTTTTTAGAGGACGCTCAAGATTTTTAAAAATGTCCAAAATCGTCAAAAATTTAATTTTAATTATTTTTTTAATTTTTTAAAATTTAAGTGTCATGATTTTTTCTATTTCTTTTGTTAAAATAATTGTGTGACCTTTAGAAGTTAAAATATCGATTTGAAATTTTCAGATTCGAGATTTTTTCAACTTCAAATAACGAGAAAAAAATTTTTAGAAAAATTCAATTTTTGACGATTTTGGAAATTTTTAAAAATCTTGAGCGACCTCTAAAAAAATTTTTTTCAGCTTATTTTTTGAGGGAGCTCTTAAAACATGATAAATTAACATATTTTCACAACAGACACGAAAAAAAATATTCGTTTTTTTTTTGGGCCGCCCTAATACATATATTACATTCATTTGTTTTTCTTATTATACGGAATGGTATTTTTCAATGTTATTGATTTGATCAAATTGCCATAAATTCCAACATTCAGTATTGACTAAAATGCTGTAATTTTCAATCAACACATCCAGTGTTCAGTGGCGCCATCTTGTAAATATGTAATAGACATTCCGATTTGTGAGAAAAAAATTTTCACATTTGTTAAATTATCTGAAAATTCCCGGTTTTCCAAATTACTAACCACTATGATACTTAGTACGGCCTCTTTTGCTATTACATCACATTCCTTGTTTTGTGTCTAGGTGCCACCTGCAGAACTAGAAGAGATAATACGAGACTTCCCAGACATCGTAGATGCAGCAGTTGTAGGTGTTCCGCATGAAAACTATGGTGAAGCGCCTAGAGCTTATGTTGTTCCTCGACAAGGCACAAAGATTAATCCAGAAAAGCTAATAGAATTTGTGAAAAGTAAGGTGGCACCTTACAAACAGTTAAGGGGAGGAGTATCGATCATTGATAACATTCCGAAAAATGCCTCTGGGAAGATACTGAGGCGAGAACTGAAACAGTTGTACGAAAAGGCAAACAAATGATAAATATTTATAACGCTGACCTTATATGGAGCCTCCATTTTTCATAAATCAGTAACACGCTTAACTTTAACATACATTTGAAGTGGAAGAGCTAAAAGTAAATTTAAGATCATGGTAGGGAAATAGGGGCTATATATATTTTTTAAAAAGTTTTTCATATAATCTGATTCGGAGAAATACGTAAATATTTTAAATCTTTTACCTCATGCTATTTCAAATGACGACTCATTTCTCTAGCTTTTTTAATGTTATCTAGCAAAAAATTGCTTATAAGGCAACCGAGCACCCGACAAAAGTTTTAAAAGTCGGCGCCTATGCAAAATATTTTCCACCGAAAATTTATGGAATTAATTTTTTAAATGTTTTATAACTGAACATGTTTTTTATATTTGATTTGTAAATTAATATTTTAAATGATGTATAACGAAAGTAAAATATTTATTTTTAATGTAAATAAAAAATAATTTTAAATAAAAAACGAAAGATATATTTGTTGCATTGTTATAGTATCATACAGGGTGATTCACAACTTATCCAAAAAAAATTGGGAACAGATGCGGCATGAGAAATGGAGTCAATATCCAAGAGTCAGTCAGTTTGTCAGTTTCCAAGAAAAAAATTATTGAAGTTGCGGTACATTCAACCATTACATAGCTGGACAACTGTAGTTTCTAGCGTCATTCCCAATACGCGTAGAGAGCCACTTGGCCTCAGCGACTCCGAATATTGAAATACCATTTTAAAATTGTCCTTGCGATAGTGTTTACCTGTTATCTGTGCTGTTTACAATAGTTTTTTAGTAGTTAGTGTCAAAAATTGGTTTGTGTGTATAGCAACTTGAAGTTGATTTAATTTATGGTGAAGCAAGACAACATTTGTGTTAGTTCGTAGAAACCGAGTAAGATGGACCCAAATGTGTTTACACGTTGGTGGATAAAATTTTGAACAGTTGTTGTAACAGCGGGTATGTCAAATTATTTTATTATTTAAAACCACAAATTAAGTTTATTAATTAATAATAACAATAACTGCAAAAGCAGTTGAATATTCTAATATAAAATAGGTGCCATAAAATTCTATTTATTTCTTTCCTTGTGAAAGTTTTTGTCCGTTTTTATCACACTTTGCCATGTCGGTCACATTGGACAAGGTCAAGTTTTGCAGTGGACCAGTTTCCAGTGCTTTACAGAAGTGTATTTTTAAATCATTTTCGAAATGCCCTTTTTGATTTTTTTATTTACAAAATTGTATTTGTAAGAGCCCTGTACATCCAAAATTTTTTTTGGATAAGTTCTGAATCATCCTGTATATGATAGTTACGAGAGCTTAACATTTGTGTGCGAAGTCAGTGGTGTTACTAAGCAATTTAAAAATAATTTACTTACCAAGCATTGAAGTGCGAAAAGTAGAGCCTAACATAAATCTGTGTTAAGTATTAAAATAGCTCCCCCTCAAATGAACATGCATTGTTTTATTATTTCTCCTGTCTGTAGTTTCATCTACAGTTACTAACAATTTTATTCCGCTTACGTCTGACACTATATTACTTTTACTTTCTATTTTTATACAATGCATGTGATGATACAATCGAAGGCTTTGGAGTAATAGTCACCTAGGTGCTGCCAAAATAATTGAAATTGTTTATTATTGAATATAAAAATTCGGTCGTGTAATAATAATAATACCCAGTATGGCAGCTGTAACAGCTAATTTCTTTCGTACTGTCAACTTACAATGTATCTTCTACACTGACAAGAACTCCAGCTCAGTAAAATCGTTTCACATAAATACATTTCCATCAGAGTGTGAAGCAGAAAAATGTTGAATATATTTATTAATTTGAAAGACATAGCTTGAACCAAAAAATTTTTAGATTCAGTGAACAGTACGCTGCAAGTTCTGTTATCGTGCATTATTTCCAAATCGAACTAACAAATCTTTTATTTTATTTTGAGCCAATAGAATAATAGAGGAAAAAAATTAGTGTTTTTTTAAAAACATTTATTGCATCTAGTAAAATTACACTACATATTATATAATACATACAAATTCCTAGGCGAAAAACTTATACAATATAAAAAATATAGCATACTAATCATCGATTGAGGAATGTGTACAAGTTAAAAAATACTGTTTAGGAATGAAATTTAAATAAAATTTAATTAAGTATTTTTTTGTTTATGAGTATAAGTGAATAATATTTTATACTGCGGGAATATCTAGCACAAGATTCGAATATATCAATCAAAATATCACACTTATAATTATCGACAACTGATGAATTTTTATAAAACTATACAAGCCTTTTTCCAAGTCTCTTAAACTTCACTTTTGATTGCCAAGTTCATAAAGGTTTCATAAAAATTCAGCAATTTGTAAATAATTATTCACAATTCAAGTCTGCTTGTAAAGGCAGAATGAATAAATACATAAATTCATGGTCTACATAACATATTATGTAAGGAACTGTTACTATTTTTTTTTAATTGAAGTAATAGAAATCTCAGATAAAGCTTTGATAAAAGGCAATGACTATTTTACAACAACGATGAAAAAAGATAAAGCTAGAATTTCTTTCAAATCATTTTAGACCAAAATGTTTTGATGAAGTTTTTTTGATTGTTGAAGTTTAAAGAATCACATTTCTTCAAATATCTCTGAGGATGTCTGACTTAGGTTGGTGAAATTTAAAATACCTCTTAATGTATTCCTTCCATAAAAAAAGTGATTTGTCCTTAATTAGGTAAATCGTTGGTTCAAGTTTCATCTACCTGCACAAAAATTCTCACAGAGAGCTATAAAGCATACGTCTATGTCTAGTCATTTTACTGACGAAAGATCTTAGCTGTTTATTAGATATTGTGGGTGTAATTCAATGCTGAACGGTTAATGTAACTCACAGAGTTGTTGTTTCCCACAATATTAATGGTGAAAAGCAACAGTGGCAGCTCGTGACATTGAGAATAGGTGAAGAATATTCATTGATTAACTAAAAAGAAAAAAAAAGTGACGCAGGTGAAAATTTTCAGTCAAACAGCTTTAAATGAATCTGGAAATTTTTAGTTGCATTTGCAATATTACCGACAAACTGACATTCGTGAGAAGGATTTTCATTTGGATTTTATAAAAAATACAAACATTAGTTCGGCTTGTGGACTTCTGCGAACATTAATGCACACCGTACAATTATGTATGTTCCAAAGAAGCTTTGTGGTTATGACAGCCTCGTGCGATGTTTCCAAAATTGTAAAATCCCTCCTTATTCCACATGCCCGATTTTACACCCACAATTAAACACAGCATACACAAAAGTTTTTTTAAAATAAACACTTCCACACAACCACTTATAATATCGAATACCATTCATTCCGAAACTTCCGAACGTACACATTGTTTTTTGACTTCCCCTTTTTTCCATATCGAGAGAATAAGGCACAGGTCTCTGGCAATTGAAAAAATCCACTGGGCCACACATATCGTATAAACTGTTTAAAAAATTAAAGGCAGGAGGCAGGCGATGGGCGATGACAATGCTGCTGCAATATCTGCATCACTCGTTCTCCCACACCGTAGTTTACTCCAGTGTTGGTTGCCTCGTTGCCATGACAACCGCCTTAAACAGCGCTTCAAAGAGAAGCGGAATACAGATTGATTCGATCTGCGTCACTTGCATATACTATACGTTGTATGGTACGAGGTTGATGTTCGCGCTCAACGAAGCCAATGTTTTTTTAGAATGATAACTAATTAGTTCTAAACACTGGTCATTTTGTTGACTAACGCTCTTAGCTGTTTATTATGCTTGTCAGGACATGTAGCTTGCAGAGTAGTTGTTTCCCACATTATCATTAGATGAAAATCTTCACAGATGTTTGAAATATAATATATTCTTTTAAACTTCAACACCCTACATCTCAGAAACCAGTTGTTTTATCCCTTAATTATAAATTACAGTTAATATGTATTAAGGTTCACAAATAGTTTAGGATTGCTCTTATTTTTTTAAATTCATTTCTATTATGTGCTGGTACCTATTATTGGAAAATTAGTACATTACTTCAAAATATAAAATATATAAAATTTAAAGATTTTCGCTAGAAGTATTTAAAAAACACTAATCAATTTTTAAAAATGGACAGTTATTTGTACAGCTGTGGACCATAAAAAAGTTTTCAACCTAAACTGCTTTTGGCCTTTGATTACACAAGGCTTTAATTAGTTTGACACCTCTTTTATCTACAGTTGTACCAAGTCAATAGATAAAATGCGTGAAATAAAAAAAATCCAAAAAACAATGAAACTACTTCAAAAACTCCAAGTGAATAGTGAAGAGTACATTTTTTTTCAAGAATTGAATTGATTTTAGACAAATTTTATAAATTTATCCTAAAATACTGATGTATAGTGAAAAAATACTCTAATTTGGTTCATATAATAATAGGCCAACCAATAGAGCGAAAAAAGAGGCTGTTTTCACACTTAAATATTATTCATGTATTTCCTTTTGCAAAATACTTAGTAAATGAAAACCCAAGTGATATCCCCAGCAAAGCCGTGAACAATTTTTTTTAAACAAAAACTGCAAAAAAATTACATTTTTTTGTTTATTTTTATAATATCTCAAAAAATAATGATGGAACCGTCTTACTCTCATTAGGACTTTTGTAGAGAATATAAAAAGCTATACAATGGTTTTTTGTGCGATCCGATCGGTTCATATTGTACAGAGAAAATCTGGAAAAACCTTTAATAGATCTTTTTTCAAAAATTCATAACTGTCAAAGAAGCTGGAAAAACAATCTTGCGGAAAATGACAGATAATAATATGTAGTTTAATCGTGCACAAGACGGTTTCTGTCCGATGTATAGTTTTTGCACAATTGCATTATAAACAAATTAGGGTCTTTTTTTGTACAGCGTGGCAATTTATCAAAAATGGTCCGATTTAAATTCTGGAAACGGCATCTGAAAGTAGACGACAAAATCTCCAATTTGTGTATCTCGGATTCTCGCCTATGCTAAGAATGCCCTTGAAAGTCGCCCGAAACGATCGAAAGTACACTCGAGTCGGAATCATCCACTCGCTGCTTCCCGCACTACCACTACCCGACTTTGGCTCGAGCTTACTTTCGATCATTTCAGGTGCATTTTTAGCATATTTGTCGTCTACTTTCAGATGCCGTTTTGAGAATTTAAATCGGACCATAAATCGCCACGCTGTGCAAAAAAAGACCCTAATTTGTTTATAATGCAATTATGCAAAAACTATGCTGCGGACACGATTAAACTACATATTATTATCTGTCATTTTTCATAAGATTGTTTTTCCAGCTTCAAATGTGACGAAGTTATGAATGTTTTAAAAAAGGTCTATTTTAGAGGTTTTTTCGGATTTTCTCTGTAAAAAATGAACGGATCGGGTCGCACAATAAACGATTTTATAGGTTTTTTATTCCCTACAAAAGTCCTATTGAAAGTAAGATGATTCCATCATTATTTTTCGAGATATTATAAAAAAACCAAAAAAATTTATTGTTTAAAAAAAATTGTTCACGACTTCGCTGGGGAAATTACTAAGTATTTTTCAAAAGGCAAAACATGAAATTTGTGGTAATATTTAAGTGTGCCAAAAAATCTCTATTGGTAAGCCTCGACTTCATAACAAAAATCACGATTATATTCATACTATATCAATTTGAAAATAACCGTTCTGTGCAACAAAGTATTATAATTGTTTTTATGCCGCTTTAAGATCAAACATAATGTTTCGAAAAAAAAATCTGAAGCTTTCTAAATGACAACTTACTCAAATAAATTATGACTAGCAAACAACTTATAAATTCCTACCAAATCGTAGGAAGTACAAAATTATTGTCTACAAACAATCACGTTTTAGCTATTCACCTAAAAGATTTCCTTAGCCGAATTGTGAAACTAATATTTATGGCAATAAAAAAATCTACCACGAAGAAACTATTCTATGCGATTATCTTAACAACAGTGGTGGTTCCCTTAAAAACTACTTAATTTACGCCTGCATAGTAAAAATGGGTTGCGGCGACAGAGGAGTGGATGGAGCGGTACTCAAAATTGAAGACCTTCTTCTGTTGAGCAGCGCTTCCGTGTCGTCATTTTTTATGCTAAGAGATCTCGACAAATTCTGCTTTATCCTGCCAGAGTAAAGATATAAGTAATATAAATATTTTTTAAAACGATTTGTGATATGTATGAAATCAATATGTATGATTAAATATTAATACATAACGTGTATGATTTATTATTAACCAAGCCATTGTTTGTATCATAAGTGATATGGTTACAAGGTTGTGTACCGTTTCACTTTTCATGAAGCCCCCCTTATATCTTGCTTACATTAAACTGAAATGTTTCCATACTTTAATATAAAATAATTGCCTATGAAGTCACCATTGTGATATAACTAAACATTTAGGTTTTTTTCGCTGTACCGTACCTACTAATTTAAAAATGTTTAATTTAAATTTGTTAGAGATATTTCTGGGGAAAATGTGAAAATGCTTTAATTTCGAATAAAAGAGATATAAAGGTGGAACATTGAAAAGCGAAATGAGTATAAAATGTTTGTTACAAACATGTGTCCGGATGTGCTTTGTTTTCAAGATAAAGGTTGTGCAAAAATAAATATTGGTTATTTCAAGTTACAAGAGATAATTGAAGAAAACCATTTAACTAATATTTTACTTCATTTGCCCGCAAATGTCAAACTATGATCAAGACACTTTTCTTATAGACTACAAGCCCATCGGAAATTTTCAAGGGGTCATTTGACCCAGCATGAATTACTTATAAATCAATACTATCACATATAACAATAACTTTAGAAACTATGCCGTCAATTCTTGTTGGTACAGGTGAGTACACAGGTAAGCTAAACCTGTCTGCCAAGGGGGTGGTTTTCGGCAAAACATTTTTGTAAGGCATTTCTAAAGTATATAGGTTATACAAAAAAAATTAACCTCGACCTGATGCCGTACAAAAATAGCAATACCGGAAGCCAGGAAAATTATTGATTTTCCTAAAATTTTGGCCTGGGTTTTGGTGATTTATTGCAGTACAGCATTTATACTGCAAGTTTCGGATCGATATGGGGGTGATTCAAACCAACACCAAATTCACTAATTTTAATTCTATTTTATAAAATAATTACATTTTTGGCCATGCCGTACATTTTTCATGAAACGTGCTTACTATGGCAAAATTAATTTCCCTCTGAAAAGTAGGATTTCACGGAGAAACATTTTTGGACAGCATTTATATACATTTGTAAACAATCAAAAACTAAGCTGCATATTAAATTTAAATGAAACAATGCTTTTCCTTTTTTTGTAATCTAAAAAGAACCTAAATTTCTATAAACTTTAATACCCTGTATCTTAAAAACAAAGCATTTTTGAACACGTTATATCCACCATTAAAGCTTGACTGACCGGGCATTTTAGTTACACTCTGTGTATTAAATGAACTTTATGATATAAACTAATGTTAATATAATCTACAATTTGTATTAAGCAGATTATACTAGCAAAAAGAAGCATTAAAATGATGACAACATAAATTGTGTGATATTTAACTTGGTGCACATATAAAAACTATTCTAACAAGCAGATGAAAAGAAGCATTACGACACTTTTTCTGAATATTGTTTATTAAAAATAACGAAGAACACTCATAATGAGGAATTTTTTGTTTATTTAAATGTATACCTAATGATATTTCAGGTGTATGAAATATATTTTTATGAAACTGTGTTTTTAATGAATTGCAGCAGATTAAGTAATTAATAAACAATATCAACAGAAAAAACAGGATCGTTTCCATAAACATAAAAATTCTTACAATAATAATAATACCGATAATTCTTTATTTCTGTTCCATTGAAATTCTTCAAATATTAAGGAGGGGGAATGATTGCTACTGAAAGAATTAGAAGCTTTTGTTTTTATTTAACTGCGTTTTGTGCCACAATCACAAGAATTTTTTTGCCAAAAGTATTAGTTAAACTGTTGATTTTATAAATTTAACGATTTATTTAGTGATCACTGTGTAGCTGAAAAGTATTATCTGCTACAAATTCAAAAAAACGATGAAATTTGTTGCCATTTTTGACAAACCTTTTGAAAAAAAAAGAAAATCCTGGAAACGATCCCATTCTATATTTTCACCATTATATCTTGTCAAAATGTATAATTACCCATAATGCACCCTCCAATTATCACAGTTCATTGGTTAATGAGCAGATTCAGTCTTCAAAATTCAAATATAATATTAGTACCAAAACCCATGAAACATGTTTTGTTAAAACAAGTACAAAAGAATTATAGAATTAAATCAATTTATATTTTCTTCAATTTAAATCGTTAAACACCTGACAATATTAACCGCCTTTTCATGAAACAATTTTAATTCACAAAGAGTTTTTCAGTTAAAGATTCTAACAAATTATATTATATGATTTTTCAATTAACGAAAAAGTAAGAAAACAGCCTGACACTTACCTACTAAGTCTCTCCTCGTCTCGCTTCTTCTTTAACTTACTGAATTCGTCATCTTCCTCGTCCGTATCGGAATTCCCTATACTAACTCTGTCCATCACATCCGGGATATTACCGTTGGTATCAGGAGCCGAGGTTGATATTCGCGGATAAGGCTCATAAACCTCTGGCATTCTTTAAATGCAAAATACTTATTAGAACTAGTCGCTTCAGTAATGTTAAAAAATGTGTATGTGACGCAAAACACTTACGGGTTATGGAAACTATGGGACTGAGGAACATTAATCGGGTCAGATGCTGGTGGGGGCCCAAATAAATTCATCACCGTCGGGCGGGATTCCTTGGCGGAACGCTGTGATGTTATCGTTGTTTGCTCGTCAACCTAAAGGAATATTTTTATATGTCGGTTGTCAAAATTAATGACGCTGTTTGACGACAGATGATACATGATAGACGATAGATGCATCTGTCACCATTTATCGTTGTTATTAATTTTAAAACTGTTTGTTTACCACATTAATAGTCGTGTTTGGTATCTGGAGATTTTGATCACGTTACTGTAAAGGAAACCGATCAGTTATTAATAAAAGAACGAAACAATTTTAAATTTTATAGTTTTGAATTTGAAATAAAAATAATTGTAATTCTGTTAAAATTAAATAATCTTAATATCTGCCTAAAAACATTCAGCAAGCAGGTCTCTATCAGATCAATCCGAGTTCAATATCCAAACAACGATAATTATTTACCTCCTCTATGATATAATAAAATATTACCTCTTCGATGACTTGATCGGCAATTCTTTTAACGCTGCCTTTCCCGAAAGATTCAGAACCTGGAATTAAATTATTTAACTCGTTTGTCTCAGACTTAGCCGGTTCTGTTCTACTATCTTCTCTACTGAAAAATCTTCTCAACATGTTCGTCACAGAATTCACTCTAGATATGGAATCTTTAAGGAAAAATGACTATAACAATACGGTACTCTACTGGAAAATCAAGTTACTTACCTGGTACAGAAGTTCCAATAGAGCTTTGCGAACCTCTAGACCTAACGGAGCTAATATTTCTGGGCTTGGCGGAAAAGGTGATAGGTCCTCCGTCTGCATATGCCTGCATATCGTCAATTTTTAATGAAGTAGGACCTACGAATTCTTGTTCCTGCGGTCTTAGGGCAATGTTAGCGGTAGAAGGTAAAGGATGGGTATCTCTAAATGCCTCGGCAGCAGCAGTGTATGGCAATTCTTGTGGGAAAACTTCATCCCAATACTGATCCTTCACTAATTCTGGATGTTCATGGTGCATTTCATCCACTATCAAATAGGAAACCTTAAACAAAGACAAAATAATTAAATTAAGTTAGGTTAGGTGCTAAATACTAGACGTCTACTGCAACCTTATGATCTACCAAGCAAAAACATTACTCTAAACACAAAATGTTGGTGAAATATTTGATTTAATAAAAATTTATTTTGTACCTGCAAGTTTCTGTCTACCATCCAATTAACTTCAAAATCGTCGTCGTCATCTCCAAATGGGTTTATTAACGACTCTGCCACTTTCAACCAACCAACGTAGAAGAAGAACTGCAGAGTCGTAAAAATGGGAAAGTAGAGATCGAAGTCGTATTTACCGCCCTCAACCCACTGATGGCCCATTATGTTAGTAAGAAAATAACTGTAAACAGCTAATGTGACCACCTACAATTTGATGTGTTAATTTATTGAAATAATTAAAAAATAAACTGTGTACTCACTTGGGTATATACTAAAGGAACACTTATGTGGTCATAACCTAAAAGTAAGCCACACTTCCCCCTGATTTTATTCAATTCATCTATAATAGTTTTAACGGCAAAGTCGTCTCTTATTCTACCCTCTTTACGTGCCCTCGTTACTATACTCGACCCCCAAACTACAGGCAACCTGAAAAAAATTTATTACGCTAATGACAGATTGTGGCGTATATAAATCCCAAAACATAAGCGGGTGGATTTAATTCAGCGAATTGAAATATTAGAGGGAAATGAAAAACCTTATAAATTTACTTCAGTGTTTAGTGACAGTACACTGTGTTTGTGTGTCTTCATTGTTAAATTTGTGTGTGATATTACCAAAAAAACAACGAATCATTAAAAATGAAATTTGACAACTATTGATGTCATACGTAATTCCCTAAAACATGTTTTAGTTTTTAGATTTCAAATATTGATAAAAATAAATTTTCATTTGTAAAATTTATTCTGAAGCCTTCCCTGTTCATTTTATCGATCACACAATTCATAAAAATACAATAAAAACAGCAAGGGTATGATAATGAACTATACAAAATATTAATTTTCTAGTAACAGACTAACCGAGTGAAAAATTAACTTCATGGAACTATCAGAGGAAACATATAATTTCATAAGTTGTTCACATGCAACCAGTAATGTGTAGCAATCCAATGATCTCTATATATCGTGCGGAAGTGTCATGCAAGGTCTTTTTCATTAACTAAAAACCTACTTAAATTGAAATAGGCGATCATCTTCCCTAGCAATTTTGTGTTGTTTTATTATTTACTCTTTTTAATAGAGACTCACATTCTGATTATTTATTAGTTTTACAATAATTACTTTATACTCTGTTTTCTTCATTTATTTTTTTTAATGCGGTTACATAAATCTTTGCATTCATAAACACAAATCGTCGTTTGAATGTCATTGTGCGAAAAGTTTCAGTGAAGTCATTTTGAACATATAAATTAGAATAAACAATGAATCAGATAACAGTATGTTAATTAAATTTCAGCAGCAATACCTTCCATGACTAATTTACTAATTGGAACAATCAACTGGAACCATAAAAAATGTAAAGGACTTACGAATATTCCACTGTACAAATAATTACATAATGAATAATAATTTTACAGACATTAACAGAAAATTAAAAAATATATATGTGTATATCTATAACCACCCTTAGACTATAAGTATATTTTTTTACTGAACATGGACCTTATGTTGTTGTTTAGGGGTAATGATGTACTTTTTTTGTCTAATTTTTGTTAATTACACTGTAACATGCAATATCATCATTAACTCGCTGTGAATCGGATTGTATTAAAAATTCCTACAACTAGAGATTAGTTTTTTTTTTAAGTAAATATTCCCAATATCAATGTTTAATTAGCGGATTCAAGGATTTAATTTAATTATCGAAGTGTATATTTAATTAAACTTATCACTAGAAATTCAATTAGTAATTTTATTAAGTAGAAGTAAACATAGGATTTTATCTTGTGTATCTAGCGATTAATAACTAGTGTTTTAAAATAATATTTCCATTGTATACATTGCGTCCCAAGTTTAAGTTGACAAATTTTAATGAAAGATAAAGCACACTTGGCTGACTTCAAAACATCCCTGACAGAGGTTTCAGTGAACTTGTACTATGTAATAACTTATCAAGCTTAATTATTTTTCTTCAGAAGCCACTTTAAACTTACGACATATAAGTACTTCTAGAAAACCTACCACTGCTTTGCGTAATTTGGAAATTTCTTTTCCAAGTCAGCTAAAACTTCCAACTCACTCTGCTGAAGTAAACCAGCTTCAACGAAATGCTCTAATGTAGGAAACCTCTTTTTCACTCTAGGTGAGATCATTACAAATGTCATAGTAATACTTAAACATACATATCGCATGATAGTTCTTCTCATTACTCTACCCCTTTCATCCTAAAAACATAGTTATATATGTTGATACACTTTTTACTCTAAAAAGGATTGGAAATTTTTGAAAATGTTCATTCATATTTGTAAAAATGTAAGCCTATACCTGTCCATGTACAGTGGCACTAACAAATACTGCTAGAGAATCTGGAAATGGTATTGTAACGTACTGATTCCACCATCTGGCCATAACGATTGATACATAAAAACCCAGTACAAAAGATAATGGTATTAAGCTACCATATTCACGACAATATTCTACTATTTGCCCAAATAATCTAAAAAAAGCAAAGGTATTGGATGATTTTTCAGAATATTTGTAAGTGGGCACTATATTTTCATTATTGAAATATATATATTTTGTAATGTTCAATATGAATTTATATTGATTGTGGAAAAATTATATGATGATTTATTGCATAAACTTAATATAAACATAAATTATTTCTTAATTAATAGATAGATTACAAATGTCAATAAAAACGTTTTAATTTGCCACACAAGCCAATAATAGATTTTTTTTAATTACATATAGCAAAACTATCATTATCAGGTACTTCCATGGGAATTAAGAAGATGAGAAATTAATTCTGTGATTCAACATACATTTTTTTTAATAGAATGATGATAGAAATGCTTGCTATGTTTGTACCAGACAATGCTCCCAAGTTACAAGTCGATTATTATTATCTAATTTATTATCTCTAAACAAATAATTTCCAGACATAAATTATTATTCATGAAGTGAGTAAGTAAGTATATCATATGATCAAATTTTCTTCAATTTAAAACTAAGTACCTAATATGAACACACACTTATAAGTATTACACTAAGTAAAAAGTAGAATACTCACACTTTACCATCTTTATCTAAGACCCATCTATACATAAAATTCAAACCAAAATAAATAATTAAATATATAAGTAAATCCATCCATACTAATTTGTATATACTGCCTCGCCATCTAGAAATAAAAACATTCATTTATTTGACGACATAAATATTAATGAATAACATCATAATTTATGTCACTGCATTTCCTTCAACTGAAAAGCTTAGGCAAATCAAATAAAAAACTAACAAAAATTTATAAAACCTGCGCCTTTCGATTTTATATTTTCCACAGAAAACATTCTCCATTTCATTTTTTTTCTGAATCTATATTTATATTTATATAAGTAATTGATATAACATTATCATGAATAATTTTTAAAAATATTATTACCACAAAATAACCAGTTTTACATGGTAAATGATAACCTGTTTTTTTTTGTTTATAAAAAATTTTTAAAATGGAATTTTATGCATTTTAGAGAGAAAAATATCAAAAAATAGGTTTGATTTTTTGCATTGCTACTGGTTAAATTATTAGATTAAGAAATTCTTTTACCACATGTTTAGTTTTTTCTCGGTTTCTTTCTTAGGAACTAATGTTTTTCTTAGGAACTATGTTTATGAAGACTCGCTGAATGATTTACCTAATTTTTGGAAGGAAACCATCAGCAATGCGAATGTACAAATACATATATACATTTTTTTAAAGAAATTTCAGTGAAAATATACAAATCTTGAAATTTCGTGCACAATTATGTATTATAACACCTGTGAAACCTGTGTTATTAGTAATAACAAAAAAATATGATGTTCCACCTTTGCTAGCAATATAATAAAAAAAATTACTTGGCATCAAATTGTTTGCATGAGATTGAGAATATATTTATTCTACTTTTATTATTACTAAAAAAATATTTACGACCTCGTTATTTTACAATAAAAAAGCACAGATGATAATTTTCCATACTAACAAGTAGGTGATTTTGTCGTATTCCACCCTTCGAGCGAGCTTCAGGATTTCAGAACACCCCGTATATTCATAGAAGTCATAAACTTGTACCTACGGATATGCCGGAGACCGCTGAATTGAAAAGGAGGCGAAACAATCATATTCACCTACCTTTCCAATTCAAACCAAAAACCCGCCACGGTTACGAAATCAATCGCCGTCGGCCGGGCAGAATGAAAAAGCCTCCATGAGAGTCTTCAGACATCGATCCTCACGGCGATAGCGCTCCCAGAGCGTTAAAGACCAATTTCACCGACCTTTCCAGTGTCACCCGCATCGCGACCGATCTCGCCTGGGTCTGCCATCCCGGCGCGCAGTGACCACTGCCGCTGCTCTCGCAACCTGCAGTCGAACCCCGGGACGCTTCACGATGACATTTGGAAATGGCCATTAGAAATTTCACCACCCTTTTGAATTGGTCAAGGACGCTATCGCCAATAACTCCAAAAGTTATTGAGCGATCGGTGTCAAAATTTAATGCAGCACTCCTCAAGTCGCTAGCATTATCTTACTAAATTTTCGTCCGAATCGGATGAGCCAAAACGCCGTTATACGGGGAAACGCGGATTTCACGTTTTCCGCGTTTTCAGCCGTTCCGCTCATTCGATCTCGGCCGAACCCTCCAACCACACTAGAGTATCGCTAGGTGGTTGTCATATCCAAATTCGAACCGAATCGCCCGACTACTAACGGCCAGCTAAGCCATAATAGGTTTTCACGCCTTTAGAGCTGCCGCCGAAAGTATCCGCGCGATCTCGGTCGAACCCTCCAACCACGGCACTATGTCATGCCGTGTATCAACAGACAAAATTTCAAATGAATCCATCAAGAAATAAGACCTCCGTAAGCCCTTTTACGAAGACGGGGAAAATTTCACCGATGTTTCCAATTTCCCCGTCTTTGGGCCGAAAGGACCGTCTTCCGAAGGTTCCACCGCTCTGGCGGTTGGATGCGATGCTCGGCAGCCTAAGCCGAGACCGCGGGTAGAGTTTTTCCCAAACCGGGAAAAAACTCCAAAATCCCCGACGCCGACATCGACTATCCGGAGAGGCCAGAGGGGAACGAGTCCCGGCGTTGATGGGGACGATGGATGATTTTGGTTCGAGATTTTGGCGGACAATTCAAGGCCCGGTCCGCCAAAAGTATGGAAATCCCACAAAAGTGATCGAACGTCTACTTTTGACGTTTACAGTACTTCAGTGGGAGTACATGAGACGGAAAGCGATACAGAGCGAATTGTAACAAATCTTATTCATGGTAAATAACTTGTATATGTTAATTGTGAATCTTTGTTGTTTATTAATTTTATTCAATATATACTTTTAACATATCTTCCACGGTTTGATTGAAAAAACCCTGTCATCAAGCTCAAGAACTTTGGAGCTCAAGCTCACAGGCTCGCTTCACGAGGCTTCCGTCGAGGCTGCCATTCCTCGACGTGATATTGATAGTGCTTTGCAACCACTACTCGCTTAACGAGACAACCACCCGAGGTAGCCTAGCCTGAGGTGAAGACCCTGTTCGATAGCCCCCTGCATCGAAACAGCGGTAAACTCCAGGATCCACTTGCGACCTGCGAAACCGTCCGAGACTGACCACCTCCGACGAAGATCCTGTGCGATAGCCATTCGCATCGACACAGCGATACTTCAGGCTCCTCCAGAGACCTGCATACCGTCCGAGGCTTGCGACCCTCCGACGAAGACTTTGATTCCGACTGTGCCGGCTCCATCGAGAGACCCGCACCTCGGTACAAAGTACACACATAGGCTCCTACGAGACCTACAATTCAGACTCCATTGAGATCTGCAAATCCGAGGCAATCTTCCTCGTCAAACTTCTAGGCGGTCACTCGTCGAGGCAACCTTCCTCGTCAAACCCCTACGAGGCATTTACTTTGTGACCCACGGGCACAAAGCAATAGTACGCACGTTATTGTGGCGGCGTACTTCCAAATTTAGTAAAGAAGTTATCCTTACTTCTAGGGCTCCCTCGAGAGACCCACATTTAATAGTAGAGTCAGTGCTTACTACAAGACGTCTACAAGACTTTCGGAGCAAAAGAGCTTGCTCCGACATTGTCGTACGGGGAAGATGAACCCCTGCGACGCGACTACGAAATCCAGTGCTACGAGGATTGGTGCCCTCGAAGGTAATACTACGAATAATAAATTAGATCGTGTGAGTATGATCAAGACTGAGCTGGACGAGACCTCGTCCCAAATCGGAGAGACCAGCGGTCACACGAACTGCCCTCACACCTGTTTGCCGGCGAAAGATCTCTCGACATTCGGGGTGAAAGAGGAAATGGCCTCTTCTGCCAACGCTATATCGATGCTCCGCGAAGAGTCTGAGGGACCGAAGATGGTGGCTCGCGGAAGTACGCGGCACGGCGCAGCCACAGCGCCGTACGCGTTGAGGTCCGCTGCTACGCGAGTTACTGGCACCATCTCGACCACCCCTCACGACGCACTCGCGGATCCGAGTAGCAACCAAGAGTTACCACGAAGTGGGTCACCCACAGATACTCGGGACGAGGTTCAACCTACGTACCAACTGGTAGGGTCCGGGGAATCCCATGAGTCCAACCACGGTTCACGGTCTGGCCCCGATAGCGGCCTACCTCCGAGGTCGGGTGTTTCGGAACGTGAGCTAGCCGTCGGTGACGACGCTACAGTTCATTCAGCTTTTTTACGAAGTGGTATCCAGCGGGAGCAATGCGCATCGCGTTCGGGTGCCATAGTAAGCGAAAACCCCTTAGCCGACTACGTCATAGGTGACGAAGCCGGCCTTTTTTATCAAAACAATACTTGTACGTCGCCCGTCCATTCTCATGATTTCCCCCGAACATACGATCATCGCCTAAGTGGTCCATATCAAGAAAGTCTAACCCGACACGACGCTCAACGCGGAGCTCGACCTTCTTCGTCGAGATCTCCCCCGCGAGCTCGTGTCCTAGACACCACGTCTGTAGGTCATATCCACCACAGATTCCAATCGTCAGAGAATATAGTGCGACCGGGCGTCGATAGCGACGATCCCCGTGAACTCCGTGCGTTCCTGCCGCGGAACCCGGTCAAGGGAACTAACATCCCAGATCACAGGTTGCGACATGGTTTCCAACGTGGAGCTCGATTAGAACTCCCGATGCCTCCACTGAGGACCCATGCCGACCAAACACAACATTCAGATCATACTTCACGACATGGCGCTCGACGTGGGGCTCGAAGTCCTGCTTCGACGTCTTCGCGGCGAGCCCATGTTACAAATTCCCCGCACAATTCTCAAATATTAGGCACAAACGGTCATATATCGCGACATGGCGCCCAGCGTGGAGCTCGATTAGAACTCCCGAGGTCTCCACCAAGGGCCCATGCCGTCGTGGCCGATACAAACGATCATATTCCTCGACATGGCGCCCAACGTGGGGCTCGATTCGAACTTCCGATGTCTCCACCGAGGGCCCATGTCAATATGGCCGATACAAACGATCATGCTCCACGACAATTTATAACATTTCACAGAGTAATTTTTAAACCTTATTTAAAAATATTTAAAAAATATTTCTAGGCACGCAATTACGTCATATGCAAATATAGAGAAGCCTTGGTAGTAATTTATACTTTTTGAACTATTTATTTACATAACATGTACATTGAATATGAATGAGTAATTATATACATGTAATATCATATTACAAACATTTGTGTAGTGCACATTTTTCTGTTAAATTAATTAATATTTTCATATAAATACTATTATTTTTTTATAGTATTACTAGTATTTGTTTAACTAACTCATAAATGTTCCAGTTTAAAGTTAACATATTAGAATGACCAAAATAACCACATCAAAGAAAAAATCTTTGATATCAGAATGCTTCTTTAAGTACCTGTCTACTTAACCGTATGTTATGATAAAAAATATGTCTAGTGAGTAGTGATCAAAATGATTATACAGGGTGTTCAGTAACTCAGTTACCAATAGGCCAAACATCACCAATAGATTCTTAAAAAATATATATTCAAAAATGCTTCTTTTTGCAGATACAAGTTGAAAAAATTAAAACTAGTTTCGGGTAAATTACAGAAAAACTTTCAGCAATTTTCTTGCAGCACAGTTTTTATTTTACATGAATTTGTACTTGATGATGAAAGTATGCAATAGCACTCTCCATGTTAAATTAGATAAACAAATGCTTAATGGGTTTCTGAGATATGACTGAAAATAATTTTAATTCTCAGAAAATTTTTGGACTTTTTATAATTTGTTTTATTGAACTACCGCCACAGATTTTCATTGTACAATCTATTTGTGACAGTTAGTCCATTAACACTGAATATCCTGTATAGATAGCTGGAATATATATGTATATAAATGACTAATGCGGGAACAAAACAAAATATCATTTTGTTTAATTACCATTTCCTTTTTCTTGATTTCCTTTAAACCATAAGATATACCCAAATTAAATTTTTGGTTATCAAAATGTTCACAATATGATATCTACTTAGTCTTGGTATTTGTTTGTATAAAAATAAATTTAAAAAAAACTACAACCGAGAGATATACTAAAGTGTGCAAAGTTTATGGTTCTGTACCTATGTACATACTATGTAGAGTTATATTATGTCGTTTTAAACGAAACATTTATTTAATTAAAACAACAAAAAAATATATTAAATTTTAAGTCATAACAAACAAATTACAATATATTTTAGAAAATCATGTCATAAATTACACTCTGTAATGTAGATTCGTTGTTGATGAATATGCATTCGTAAATAAAGTTACAAATGCAGTTAAATACTAAAACTTTTTAAATTTTGTCACATTTGAAAGAAAATATAAAATTTGACAAATATTTAACAGTGAAAAATAGAGCTTTTTGTACATATTCAATTTAATAACATTACTGGCTTGATCCGTATTATAAAAAAACGTGATCTTTTGGGTAAAAGAAGCAAATAGAAGAGAACTCTTCATTAAATTTCTATATTACCTATCGGTGATAACTGATCTTTTGAATTTGCTCTCTTATTTACAATGATAAAATGCTAATATTATAATTATTATTAAACGTTGTCATGACCCACTTCCTATAAAAAGTGTACCACCCACGCAAGATACAATAATTAATATGTAGCATGCAAATAACGTGCACTATTAGATCCATAACATTTCAAGGATAATCAGCACATAACGTGGTTTTTATAAAGTATCTAAGCATTTAAATAATTTTTCTAAATGCGAGGACTGTGTAGTTTAATCGTTTTTGTTCTACATACTTATATACCTAGTTGGAACTTTTTCAAGTTATAATATTGTTATAAAATATTAACTCATTACTTTAAAAATTTTATACTTACTATAAGTAAACATGCAAGTTAAAAGATCTAACACAAACAAATTACGGAAAAGATTGCAATATTAATTTAACTAAAAATCGAGATAAAAAATATTATTTTCTCCCAATAAAGAATTAATTATTTTACTCAAAATTTTAATGAATAATTTTACACGTTTCAAAATTAAAATTAATTTAGCTACATAAAATTTCTAAAAGTAATAATATGGTGATTATAATCATAACTTGCACTGATATATATTATGATTTGAGGTTTATTCAAGGTAGTTGATTAATTAGTTTACATTAAAACCAAAAAAATTATTACAGATTCATTTTATAGCATCGTAAAAATAACCAGTGATTCTCAATTGCAATGATCTACACTGTTGAGTTTGTTATTTCTACTTTGTGAGTGTTGAAAGTAAGTATCCTCGTAACTGTCTATTATTTAAAAATAATTTAGAAGGAATTGTTCCACTTTATGATCAATAATTATAACAATTAAACTTGGCTAATCCTTGTGAGTATGTATTCTATGTTATTTACAAAATCAGCAAGAACAATAAAATCAATCACTTTATCTTATCTGATATATTCAAAGCCTGATGATTTGCATCATTAGTATATAGTATTATAGCTTCTTATTATGTAACTGATCATGTTTTTCAAATACCTATGTACTTATTATTCTACAATTTCGTTTCCTCTCACGTAAAGAATGAGAGTCATATGATTACATTACAACTAAACATTAAAATTAACATTAACAATGTATTTAAAATTATTCCATTTATTATTTTCGTAAAATTCTACAAATATTGTATTTTATATTTATATAAAAGTTGTAATGTTGTGGTAATGTAAAAATGACAAAAGTACCTTTCACAACACCAAGAAATAAATACTTAAAGCTTTCTTCTCTCCCGAACTGCAAGTGTACATAAAGTTATTCCAAGTGTTAAACCACATATGGTTAAACAAACATTTTTCATCTATTGGTTCAATAATATTCAAGATAAATCATATAATAATAATAATAATAATATACTTACAACAACCACAAATATTAGTAAATAATTTTTCAGTACAATTTCACAATTGGTAAAAAAGTGTACAAATGTAAATTACTTTTAAAGGCTAGTTCTACATTTAATGATAACTGAGATAAGTAATAAAAAAGGATATTCCTAGAAATTCTGCAATTAAATGATAATGTCGCTGTTTACCAGTGTAATTGCTAATTGAATTAATCTTTTTATCCAGTAAATTACTGAATCATTTGCAATTTAACTGAATATATTAGAAAGTAGGAATTGATTTTTAGTAATAAATTTTAGACTCTGTGGGTATTCGATTTTTTAAGTTATGTATCTTGTATGTTACTATTTGAAAATGTATTAAATTATAAATCTACAGCAATAATTCACGACAATGCCTTGTATTTGTTAAACAAATAAAATGTGTGATAACAGTAACACTCACCTGATCAATAATTTTAAAAAACATCCTAGGCCCCTTACTGTGGCCACTTCTGCAGTATAGGTAACCGTCATTTTGTAAAATAACAAAAAATAATTATGTACAAGTTAAAATAACACTATATTATCATCTAATTTCAGTCAAGAACATCACGGAAATATACTTCGTGGTTTTTTATGAAGTGTATACACAACATTTATTTAAGGTACTAAATCATTTTTTTTAATAACAGGGATGTCGTCAGTGTGAATCATAATTCCAGGGAACTCATCGAAGTAACACCGTAACAGCAATTAGTAAAATACTAACTAAAAGGCGGAGTTTAAAGTATATACTTATGGAGGTTATATTCACTTTTGTTTAGGTTAGGTAACTGTCACCTACGTCAAACAACAGCGAAGACCGCAAATTGAGATTATTGCAACTCGCCAAGCGCACTAACTAACAGCGAATCAAACAAAGCACCACTGACACAAAAGATAAACAGACCAATCATAATATAATTTAGCTAGGATCGCATGAAGTGCATGCGTAGTATCATTCTATTTTCACAATGGGCTACGTTACGTTCCATAATTTTTTCTTTTTTATTTTTTATATCTGAGATTTTGTTATCAGATTTATTAATACTTAAGATATTAGAATTTATTTAATGGAATCATCTGTGATACCTGTAGATATGGGTGGGAATAAATATCTATTGGATCAAAATACGGATTCTCATTTGATATATTTTAATTTTTCCAAATTTTGATAAATTTAAATTTATATAAATAAATATTAAGGTATTTGCACGAATCTTCCTGTATTCGTTGTTAAAGTATACATATGTATATACTATTAAGGGTAGATGATATCATATTATTAAGAAAAATCAATGAAAACATTGTTCGTACAGTATCTACTTTGATTTCTTGTATAATTTTGTTGTCACATTTTAAGTAAACGTGTGCGTTTGTTCAATTATGCATGCACATGATTTTTCTTTTGTATGTCAATCAAAAGTACCCCATTTCTTTAAATTGCCGGTATTAAAAAATCGTTGCTTAAATAGTAGTGAAACGTTACTTAATATTTCAACTCTGCTAGGTATAGTAACGGGTTTGCTAAGTGTGATATAGAACATTACTATGAAAATTCTTGAACTTAAACTTGTGACAGTTTGGAGTGTGATACACCTCATAAATGTTAATTGTTTAGGGATTCACAAAAATGAGACGCTTCTTGAAGATTTCTTTAAAAATAAAAACACAAGAATTACCATTAGCTGCTGTTGGAAAACAAGTATATTTATATAATCTATATATTCTTGTTATACTGACATTATATAACTTTCAGGTAAAGTTAAACTATTTCACAAAACTAATATGAAATCAGAGAAACCTAAGCAAATTGCGTTTTATAGAAAAATTTTTGAAAACAATATGAAATTGTTCTTTAATGACATGTCCACAGAAAACTGGTTTGTAATGGATTTTAAAAATTGCAACGACTATGAAATATTGGCAAAAGTAAGTATTAACTACACCATAGGCGCCGGGTTATGAAAATTTCAGGGGGGGCTCATATGAATATGGAAGCTCAAGCCCCTCAGCTCCCCCTTAGTCGGCGCCTAAGACCTGCACTCAAATTATAATATGAATTATTGTTCCCATAGATTTATAGACTACAAATCAATCAAACGAAATTTTTTGCATAAATAAAACTTTTACATCTCATATTTTTGCAGATTAATGGAAGGAAATTATTTAGATACCCATTAAAGTACCTTTTTCTTGTGAATGTCATTGATTACTCGACATTCTTAAAAAAGTTAGATTCACTATCACTGCTTATTATGAGCGAAGTTGTCGTAGCTAGTTTTGGAAAAGAATCTATAGATTTGTACCAACCTTATAAAATTCAAGAAAACGAAAGCTTAAGTAAGTACTTAGTTCTAATAAGTAAAATATAATAATTATGTACAAAACATGCATTTATTAATAAATAAATAATTTTATTGTCTTCTGAAAATAGTAAATGCAAGAATATTTATTTATGTCTATAACAACGAATCTATATCCATATTTTCTACATTTATATCTATACGTGTGTAATCTATTTTCACTCTTAAAGAAATGTTCTAATAAATTTTAGTTTAATTATTTGTTTCTGTTTTGTCTGTTATTATCAGCGAAAACGTTGTGGAATTTCGAATACCTACGATTTTGTCCAGATGTATGTTTATGTCTTAACGAAAATAGATCAAACATATTTTTTATTTTTCATCTTTAGAAATATAAAGGACTAAATGCGATACATAGGTACGGTTTGGTATGATTTATAAGACTTTATATTTTTTTCTTTTTTTGTTCTGACAGTAAAATTATCAAAGACTATTTTAGTTCTTTTTCATTTTTAATAACTTTATTAAATATAAATTGTAAAATTTACCTATAAATAGGTATCTACTTTTAAATTATGGGATAAGTATGTTAGACATTTATTTCTAGCTTATTTTTAGTTGTAGAAAACTATGGGATTTGGACCGAAAACACGGGAATACGGTTGTATTACGATGGCAATAGTTTTGCAAAAAGGCGTCGAGATTTCAGAAAATTGCATATCACAGTCAGTGCAGTTGTCCATAATATAGAAAATGTTAAACTCAAAGATTTTGACGACATCCCGTAAGTTTAATAATAATTATATAGGTATTCTGTTATCAGTGATTGGTAATCTAATAGAAATTTTGCAGATGAAAATAAAAACGTTACCTATGTTACGAACAAAAAATGTAGGAAAGTAAAATTTTCACAGCTCGATAGCAACTAATTGATTCTATAACTACTCAGCAAAATGGGCATTCAGATGCAACTGAAATTCTTGGGAAAGTCTCCAGTAATAAAAAATTATAAAAGGTACCTATTGCACAGGAAAACGCGCAAACTTAGGCAAAAACATTTACATTTACATTACATAGTGATACAAAATTCGATAAAGCAGTACCTACATTATTTCAATTCTGGTGTATAATTTTGTTTAATATTCTTAAAACAATACATTTTCAAAAATAATTAAATAAATATGTTGACAAAAATAAAATTATTTTCAAGGAGATTAATATAAGAAAAGTAAACAAATGAAACGAAAATATATGTAATTATAATCTAAGAAGAATAATAAATTCGAATAGGGGCAATTTCTTTGTGTTAAGTCTGTTCTTATCAGACTCTGTTATTGTTATGTTTTTGGATCAACTGAATACGAATCTGAAGTTTTTGATGACATGTGAAAAGAATTTGATGAAAATGTCTATAAAGAATCAAAGTAATTGGTTTTTTAATATAAATACATTTTTCTGTCTGTCAAACGTTTCTATTTTCAATATTTAATATTATTACAATATCTTTTATATTAAGTTGTACACTTAGTTTATACTTTATAGTCTATTGTCTCTACTTTTGTAAGGTATAATTACTGCATATTATATGTATTATATTCTAAATCATAAAAAACACGATATGACACAAAAAGTGCAAATGTATAAAACAAAGACGTCACAAATCCACATTTCAGTGTTCCATTAGTACGACTCTTTACGTTCGCCCTGTATTTTTCTTTCTAAGGTACAACGAACTTTTACAGTATTTTGTTGTTGCAGAAGATGTCGACGATACATAGTAAAAGAGACCTACATATATCGAATAGGAATAAAGCACCGCTGAATTGTTAAAATATAACACTGTAACGATAATTGAAATATAGAAATTCTTACATGTTTTTGTTAAGTACTGAATCTAGGTATTAACTGTGTATTAAATTTTGTGAAGCTATATATATATATATATANTTTTAGAAGAAAGTTATCACATATATATATATATAACATATAATTGTGCATTCTTCATATATTTAGGAAAATAACGAAATAAGATTTGTATACTTTTCTGTTTATTCTTATCAAAAGAATAGTACAGTAGAAGAGACTGAAAATGTTTAAGAATGATGAGCATATTTTTTTTTAATGAGACCAGTTCACAGTAAAACATCTGTACCTACTTAAGGCCTCAAATCATTTAAGGCAGAATCACCGAGTCGTAATATTTTTTTCCAGGGCGCCTCAAGAGGATGAACCTTATTTTTCCCAAGACATGGCTATTATCAACAATCTCATGCAATACCTAAATGCATCCTATTCTTTAAAAATTTTTGATAGCTACGGTTACCTGAATCGTACAACTGGAAAGTTCGATGGAATGGTTGAAGATATATACGAAGAAAGAAGTGATATAAGTAGGCTTTATTCTAGTTTAATAAATGTATTGTTCACTGTAATATTTTATAGGTATTTATGTGATTCTCTCGGAGGAAAGACATGCGATTGTTGATTTCATAAAACCTGCCGAAAATTTTGCAACCAAAACAAAGTTTATTTTAAAAAAGCCAGCAATGTCTTATATCGAAAACATATATTATGTGACTTTTACGGGCAAAGTTTGGATATCTTCTCTGGCTATTTTGGGCACTCTGTCTGTCTCTTTGTATGTTTTACTAAACTGGGAAGCCAAACATATGGTAAGATGTTGTTAAGTAAATATGCCCCCTCTCAAAAATCGACTTCCAAATTTCAATATGGTTTGTTGTTTAGTAGTAGTTTATAGGAAAAATTTTATATCAATATCTTCTTGTGTAAACAAATACAAATTATTAATTAACAATTCTGAAGAAGTCTATGAATATTGTTACATTGTCTCAAGTTAATTATTAAATTCATGCACTGTTTGTAAGTTTGTTGGAGAACAAATAAATAGTTGAAATGTAAACAATATGTTCTGTGTTTATATTCGTTCTACTACAGCGAATTGGAAGGTACATGTCTAAAAGATATTAAATAGACAGAAATAGAACTAAGTGGAGGGCACCTAAAATTAGTTACTTCTTTTAACAGTGTTCTACTGTCGCCAACTATGATTCATTAGCGTCATTCACATATTTACGTACCTACTTATAGAAACATGGGTATACTTAAAAAAAATGTTAACTTTATATACAGGATGTAAGTGAATAAATTCGAAAAATTTAAGATGACATTGGAAACATATTCAATCTCTCTTATTTTTTCGTAATTGTAATAGTTTATTAACAAATAAATAATGAATTTATAACTTTAGTAGTAGTACTGAATTTGGTACTGAAGAGCCGAGCACCATCTATATTAAAAAAACTGCCTTATTCTTAAATTAACCGCATGGTCTTAAAAGAACTTTTATATCCCTTCACATATACCAATTCCTTGCGTTTTTACTGCAACATTTTTGCATCCTATTGCATTTTAGCAAGAGATTCTGGCAAGGATCTTGAGTTTTCGACATAGATATTTACAGACTAAGCAAATGTTTCAAGAGAACCGATAATTAATTTAATTAGCGATAGAAGAAAATCAACAAGTCTTAATTATAGTTCGTCACCAACAACAGTTTTCTCTTAATGTGTGAATTAGACCGTTTACTTGGCCCTCAATTTCTGTCACCGGAATTACACTCATTCATCGAAGTACTTCCTGTACCTACTTATTGAAAATGTACCTCTAGGTGTCAGAGTTCAGGTTTTAGTGTCAGATATGCTATGGTGAACCTCAGTTTTGGCCTCCTCGGATACCCGATTTAAATCCTATAGATTTTTTAATATGAGGTTTTTTAAACACTTTATCACTAAAGTGTTTAAAAAACCAAGACATCTGCAAGATATTCAAGGTTTGAGAAACCACATAATTGATTCGAATATGAGAATTAAAGATTATCGAGGATTTTTTAGCTAGATAGATATACGTTGATCAATGCTTTGAGCCATTGAGAATTTTTATTTGAATTTTCAACAAGCAATCACTTCAGTTTTTTGTACTTATTTATTTACATCTGTAAATATTTATATTGAAACAAAAATGAAAAAAAAAGTTTTTTTTAATTTTCTTGTCGAACTAAATTGCATCATTTGAAATATAACCATACCTTGCCTTTACTATGTTGCCATTGCTTACAAATATTTTTGTTTTGTAGAACCGTAAAAGTAGTTGCTGTAAGTATACCTTCAGCGATATCACTCTAATTTCATTAGAAGCTGTGTGCCAACAAGGTAATTTTAATTAAATCATAATACCACTATACATAAATAATAGCATTTTAAGAGAGTTTGTTTTATACCAGTACTCAGTAAAAGTTATTAGTTTTTAAGTAGCACCTTTCAATATCTATTTACATCTTCAGAAACTTGAATTCATAAAAAACATATACTGAAATCTTCAGAGTTCGTTGGGTCCAAATGAACAATTTTTGTAGGCACAATGACGGATTCCTCAACATATTCTGGAAGAACTATAATATTTCTATTTTTTACCGCCTTCATGTTCCTATATGTAGCTTATTCTGCATATATTCTTGTTCTGCTACAGTCCACCAAACCTATCACTTCTATAAGACACCTGGTAGAAAGTAGAGTTGAATGTGGTGGACTGAATCTCAGTTACACGATGGCTTATTACGAGGTTAGTATATTGATTAGCTACAACAAAAAAAAAAAATTTCATAAAAATGTATTAACTTCTAACGCTTTATTTGTATCTTTTCGTATTGCGTTTGCCAATTTAGTCCACCAAAGACGAAGCTCTAAGAGATCTTTACAGGAAGAAAATCTATCCAAATCGCTTTTATTCACTCCAAGACGGTTTGAATAAAGTTCAAGAAGGAAATTTTGCTTTCCAAGTAATACTTGGACCAGCTTACAACTACATTTTGAAAACGTATACGAACTATGATATCTGCAAAATACAAGAACTGCCTGGTTACATGAACGTAGGTATTCTTTTCTTCAACCGTTACAAAATTTTAAATTTGGAACTTGTTGTAGACTATAATGTCACCCACAGTTCCAAAATCATCGCAGTACAAAAAGCTGTTCAAAATCGGGTAAGTTGTTTTCTTAAAAATGAAGTCTATTTTTTGGATTACTAAAACATAACCTTAACTAATTGTTAATTTTAGAAGAAAGTTATCACAGAGCACCTATTAATGTTTAGGTGCTTCTATTAACTACCATTTAGTAGATTCTCTTTCTTCTAGATGTCGTTTAAAGGGGGCAAGGGGGCAATTGTTTCCCACTCTAGAAGTTTGGTAATAGTTAATTAAAGGAAGAAACGTAGATGCACAGTTATCACTTAGTGCAACAGTAAATACAGTAATTCCCCTTAGTAACTGCTTACTTTCTAAAAAATTTAAAAAAATAGTCAAAAATCACTTAGAAAATATTTATTTCTCTTTTGATTACTTAACACTTATTACATTGGGCATGAGTGATAAAAAATGTAACAGGACACTATTCTCTTGCGTTTTTTTGCTTCGCCATCTAGGAAAACAGCATTTTCTATTAGAACAGGTTACTGTTCTATTAAACTTTTTTTGTTGCTGTTTAAATAGAATGTTATAATCGAAACGATGTTTCGTTCTAATGTCCGACACCAAATCGTACATTCTAGGTTGGTACTTTGTATTTCACATGACGTGAAAATAAATATTAACAATGGGAAAGTCGAAAGCTGAAGATACTACATGTTAAATGGTGACCATTGGCGCAAACATGCCTTATCCGAAAGTTGAGAGTTTCGGAAATCCAGCGTGTTGAAAGTTAAAATTTTAAATCGTTTTTTTGCGATTATTCTGAAAATATGTAGGTTACATGAAACTTGATTCAAAACCTGAAAGAGCTATCATTTTTCTATTAATTATGTACTCCTGTTTCATTTCGGTATCTTGATCCGTTTTCGAGAAAAATCGATTTAACGAACACTATGTTTTGATAATATGAAGGCGAAACAAACCAACTGTTTCTTCGTATTATTACAACAATTAACAATAAAACAAATAAAATATGCAATAATGATTTAAAGTAATTGTTCGAAGAATCCACCGTTGACACTGATACACTTTACACGTTTTCTGAGAGATCTTCGAGTTTGAAACAACATATTGGGATTGCGTTTGACTTCGTTGGCAGCGATTTGCATTCTTTGCCACAACTCTTCACACGAGCCAGTAGATTCTTTGTAAACTACATATTTCATTCGAGACCAAATAGAAAAATCAAGAGGATTGACGTTCGGACTTCTGGATGGCCAATCAAAAATTCTTACATGGCCAATCCAGCGATTTGGAAAAACTGCATCTAAATATGCACGCACTGGCCAAGAAAAATGCGGTGGAACTCCGTCGTGCATGCATGAACTACATGTCTCTTCTTAAATAAAGTGGAACAACTTCTTCAAGCCATGGAAGCATCTTTACTTGGCCACCCAGAAGTCCGGACTTCAATCCTCTTCATTTTGGAAGAATCTATTGGTTCGTGTGAAGAGTTGTGGCAAAGAATACAAATCGCTGCCAACGAAGTCAAACGCAATGTCAATATGTTGTTTCAAACTCGAAGATCTGTCAGAAAACGTGTAAATGTCAATGGTGGATTCATCGAACACTGACTTTAAATCATTATTACGAATTTCATTTGTTTTATTGTTAATTGTTGTAATAACACGAAGAATCACTTGGTTTGTTTCGCTTTTAATTTCTCGTATTATCAAAACATAGTGTTCGTTAAATCGATTTTTCTCGAAAGCGGATCGAGATACCAAAATGAAACAAGAGTACACAATTAATGGAAAAACCTTTCAGGTTTTGAATCAAGTTTCATATTAGACATACAGGGTAAAAAGTTATTAACTAAATTTTCGGTAAAATTGGTCATAAGTGGCGCCCTCTATGAACAATGCTGAAATTACAACACAGATCTTATTTGTCGCCTAAAAAAATATAGTTTCACAAATTTTCAAGTTCTTACCTACATATTTTCAGAATAATCGCAAAAAAACGATTTAAAATTTTAACTTTCAACACCCTGTATTTCCGAAACTATCAACTTTCGGATAAGGCATGTTTGCGCCAATGGTCACCATTTCACGTGTAGTATCTTCAGCATTCGACTTTCCTATTGTTAATGAATCACCCTGTATTTATAGAATTTCGTATCCGACAACGACATGTAAGTAAAGGAACCGTGCTTTTTTTATCAATAATTAAAAAATCAAGATTAAAATGCAGAAGTTGAACTAGAGGCTATCAACGACTGGTGGCAGAACAAAGAGTAATTGTAAATGTATTATTTCAAATATTTTAATTATGCTATCGTTTCTTCTGTCGACTGTAGGCGTAGGACTATTTTTTCATTAAAATTGAATTTTAGGTGATGGAAGTGAACTTCTGACTTCTCGTCAATTTTCTTTAATTTTATCAATAATAAGTGGACACTATTACGTCCAGTGAAACATTATCCCTATTATTTAGTATATTCATTTCACTTTATTTCAAACAGGTTCCTGCTTTTCTATGTCATGTACGATTTACTCACGGATCTTAGACCTATGCAGGAGATTATTCATAGAGTCCCTCATAAGAACCGACAAGTAACAAATGCATCGAAATATTTTAATTTAACCAAAGTTACCTGTCACTTTGCCGATAAGTGAGTATGAACCGCAAATTAGTACAGGTTTATTTTGGTGAACTGCGAATTTCTGTTCATAGAATTATTACGGTAGAAGCAATTTATTGCAGCTCTACCATACACAAGAAAAAAATTCTAGATTTGTTAATAGATCAACGAGTTATTATGTCAGTTTATTTCAAACTAATTTTAGGTTTGTGAGAGATCTTTTAAATACGCAGTTTCCAACTAAATGAATATGGCGGGCAAATAATTATTGCTCCTATGATTCGCTACTGCGATTACCGAATCTAAAAAAAAATATTATTATTTCCTTTGGGGAACGCTAAAGGAAATTGTCTAATCTACACCAGTCGAAACACGTGATGACATGAAAAATAATTGCAGTATCAATAAATATAACTTGCAGGGATGGGCGTTTACGCGTCGACTTTAATTGTCGACGTCTACGTGTAGACTTCGCGTAGACTATGTAAACAACGTAGACTATGTAGACAATGTAGACAAAGCGGAGTTTACGCTCTAATTTCAGTTTAATCTAACCTATATTATATTTGCGTTACATTTACGTATGATCTATTTTGTGCTGTACTCAATTCATCACTCAACTTTTTCTGTTTGGCTGTTTTTACATAAACATAAAATGAGCGGACGTAAACCAAATTATAATTTTGGTCGGTTAAGATTAAGAAAGTGAAAACTTTCATTTTTGTATACTTAATATATATTTTTTAATATTTTTTAAAACAAAAATTATAAAAAAAATTATATAAATATATAAATTAAGACAGTCAGTAAAAAACAGTTTATTTAATTTTAAAATTTGTGTCTCCATTCGTGACCTCATTAAGTGAAAACTAGGGAATACATATAATACTCATATATGTATAGAGGTACATATACCAATAAATACACATAATATTTAGTTTGAGAAAATGCAATAAAAACATTATCTTGTGCCTCTGCAAATATTTACAGAAATATGTTACCATTTATCGTTTATTGAAAAGCTCAGCTCTATATGATCTGTATTAAAATCTTAGATCTTATATATTTACATAATATGATCTAGGATTGAAACAAAAATTATTTTGAAAGGGTACCTATATTATAAATTAGTAGAAATATTTAATAAAATTTTTTTCTATTAATTTCTGTAACTCTAACACCTTTAGAAAAAATAAAATTAACGTGTTCTAACTAAACTAAAATATCTACACAAAGTGTTCTTAAAACTTAATCAGATATTCCAAATTGTTGCTGACTTTAAAAATGATAAAATTTTCATTAAAGAATATATGCGACATATCTTTATTTAGAGATTTTATAGAAAAAAAAAATTTGGTCAATCTGACCTGACCTAAAACTATCGAGGAGCATCAAGCGAGACACACTTTTTTTTCTCGTGAATTCTCGGCAGATATTGTTTGATCTTTTGTACTCGGTTCATACATTTTTTTTATAGATGGTTGTGATAGGTAGCTACTTTTCCAAATTCCAAATTTTCAATTTTTCTTTTTTTGCAAGAATCACGAGTTACAGCCTTACGAAATTCTTTTTTTGAGGTACATACCTACCACACACCTTTTTCTAGTTTTGAGAGTTTCTTTATTATTGACATTGTCGACATTGTCTACATTGTCGACTCTTCCAAATTAAGTCTTCATCTAGATCATTGTCTACGCGTAGACAATTGCATTGTCTACGTCGACATTGTCTACCCGCCCATCCCTGATAACTTGATAAAAGATAAGTAATTAGAAAGAGTTGGGGCCTAACTTTGAAGGGTTATAACTCTGCCTGGGTGCAATTTTTCTGTATAAGAAAGTTTGGATAAATCGCAATATTTTGAGCACCCCTACAAGCACCTGCTTTGTGCCGATTCTTATGCGAGACACTTTGCATATTGTAGTATTTTAAATTTTGTCAGTTTTAGCAATCGTGATTTTTTAGACTAACTATGGTAGAAGAACGAGGTCTGCAACACCGAATCAAGAATCGTGTTTCCATAAGACCCAGGTGCTACAATGAGGCTGGCAATTTTCAGTCAGTCAGAATATACGATTGTCATTCCGTTTTCATCTTATTCGCTATGGGAGTAGCTTTAGCTTTTGGAATATTCTGGCTTGAAATTTTTGTAGAAAAATATTATAAAAGACAAAAAAAATAAGTCCGCATTAATCAGGATTTGTAATAGAATGAATTGCACCGTAGCACACATAGTTTAAATGTTAAGTATAAGTATATTGCATGCTTTTTGCATACGAAAATGTGTTATAATGCAAATAAAATATTATAATTAGAAATACTTTTTTTTCTTTTTCACAACTAAATACATAATGTTTATATATAAATGAAAGTAAAATACAGTTACTTTTCTTTCTATGAAATAAAGTATTGTTTATTGCTCTGCAAACACCATTTTTTCCATCGCAGGTACACATTTAGTCTTCTTATTATATTTAAAATTTTCCTAAATCTAGTATAATAATTAATATAGGTAGGTGTATCACATGGTAATTGGAATAATTTTCATTAATAAATTTTAAAGCAATTATCAGGTTTTTCAAAATTATCTAATAAGTGGTAATATTTGCTATTTTCTAAAACGTGGGATCTCTAACTAGAGTGATCAAACAATTATTTAAAAATTGTTCTAAAATACAACTAACTATCAATCAAAGCCATCCCCTCTTCCCAAATTCCTTCACCAACATCCATAACTTTTCTTTCTGTGGCTGAGCAATGACGTTATTTTCTTTCAGGTCATTCAAACTCATATCTTCGACCTCCTTAACCGTATCCTGTGTGGCGAAAATCGGTTTAAGCATGATGAAACACTGCAATCGAACAAACTCCTTCATTGCCAAGTCTATTTCATCCTTGAATGCTTCTAGAGAGAAGGATTTGGTATTCACATCGAACTGCTTTAGTGTATCGATGAGATTCTGATGATAGAACTCTATTAAGTGATTGTAATGTTTCACAATCACCTCATTTTGGATGCTGTCGAATATAAAAAATGTCAAGTCTCTAGCAGGCGATCCATATTCTGGTATTTGGAAGTCTACTATTTTATTTCCAACAACTTTACCTTCTTCAGTTCTGACCATGGTGTTGTTAACCCAAAAGTCTAGATGTATTAGTGTACTAAATGGTTCTCTGGGTTGTATAGGATTTTCTAACAAGTTGAATGACTCTAACAATTTTTTTTTCATATTTGGTATAAATGGTAGGCATTCTTCGTTTTCTTTGGCTATACTAATAAAGCTGTCAATCTGGAAGAATAAAAAATATTTTAACGTGTAGATCACACTTAATGTGTACATTCTATCAAATACAACGAAGTTTAACGAAATTAAAATATTTACCATAGCATTTAAAATATCATCTCCCAGTCCATCAAATAATTTGATAGTATGAATGTGAGGCAAAATTTTTTTCTGAAATTCTTCTGGCCTTTTCAGTTTTAAAGCTAAGGGCACACCATGAAGGATTGCCAGATTTTTCAAAATGTATTTCGCCGCATTTAAATCGAAACCTGAAATAAAAAAAATTGATAGTAGATCAATTTTAACACGTTTTGGGGAGCTTCTTCTACATTTTTAGGAGATAAAGAAAGTAATTAAATTATCACAGTCTCGATTTTTGAAAAAAATTTGCCACTGGAAATCTGTTTTGAGATGTTGAATAGCTATTTTATTTGTGAAATTTGGTAGAATCCAATATACAGGCTGCCCCATAACTACATGAAGCAATAGCAAATCCTATACTCTAAAACATTTTATCATAAAGTTGATACTTAAAAAGATACAGGCGTCAAAGTAAAAAATAGTCCCTATTCCAGGATTATGGACACATCTATATCGGATCCAACTCTGGAGATGGTATTCGACAAGATGCTTCCAAGGTTTCACTTCCACAAGATTTTGGACTTTGTAAAAAGGACAAAACTACTTGCTGAATAGGACTGAGTAGTAGGACACACAATAGGCCTGATAAGGCCGCGGTGGTATGGGACTGATTAGAACCAACCAATAGAAGAAGAAGATGACGCCAAATTTGATATACCCTTAAAATTTCCAAAGCAACGAAATGTTTGTATACTTTTCCAAAGTAGGCTTTGAAAACCAAAATTTATAAAAGATATTTTCAAACTTAGTAACTGGCATGAAATTCTTTATATCTTTACATTAAGTACTAGTAACATGCAGTTGCATAAAAATAGAAAAATATATAGGTTGTGCATTTTAAAAACGCATAAACTTGGGATGTGACTTAAAAACCGAAAATTATAGAAAAAATCGCTTACGCCACTTAGATGTTACCTTGAAAACTTAGTCAAGAAATTCTCTAGACTAGAGGTTTAAAAATATTAACAAATAAACAAGTTAGGTACTCGACGTCTTAGAAAATGACCAAAGAGAAACATCTCCCTGTACATCTCCTGATGTGGTTTTCGCTGTGCAATTTTTCTCGAAAATCTAGCTCAACAGAAGTTAAGTATTTTCTGTCTATCTCTTCTGGTTGTACGCGATAACATCCACAAATGTCAAAGTTGATCTGTCTTATAAGTACAATATTTTTACTACTTGTTTAAGAAACATTTACAAAAAAGTTGTTATTACAAAATTTTTTACCTTGAACAACCTAAACCATGAATATTAATTCTCCATGAAAGCTTGTGGCTGGCAATCAGTCATGATATAATTAGTAAATAAAATGTAAATGTTAAACTTTATCTTTTAGGATAAGTAGGTATAACAATAGTGTAACGATTTGTTCTTGCACTTATTTTTACAAGAAAATCTGTACCTACGTGTATATTATATTAGAAGCAAATGGAATTTACATATAATGGTTTAAAAAAAAAGCTAACTTTCTCTGGACTTAAAACATATGTTATTACTGTTATTATTTGTGTTTACTTAACATTAAAACTAGATGTAACATTATCTTCTAATTATTAAAAAACGCTAAAAGTCATTGCAAATAATTGTACCACGTTGAACAGCCAGTTTGAAAAGTCATAGTAAGCATTAGTTTTTAGTAATTATCTTAAAAACCCACATCCTGTTGCTTAAAATAACACTATATGTAGAAGGAGAAATTCCACATATCAACCACAACAAAAATGTGTGTTATTAAAATATAAATAATAGGTGTAGTAGATAATTTGGTGTAAGCAATAATTATTATATTAGTGAATTCAAAACTTGTCGAACTGTTCAACTAAATCTGATTTTATATTAAAAATTGTCAGTTTCTCTACTTAAAGTTATACGAGGAGTAATTTGAATTCAATAAAATAAAAATAGGATGAAACCCTTCGAAAAACTAAAATTTATTTAAAAAATGCCTGCAAATACGATATACGTATTAACATTATTAGTACTAATTAAAGGCATTCACGGAAATATTCATGGAAACAAATATATGAGCACTATGTAGCGTTTTGATGAACATTTGGGACTCATCAGTCACAACCTTGACGTGTGCAATGCATAATTAAGTCGTAAAATCACACATTTATATTCGATTGAGTTCTGTGGAAGACACGCCATTCATTTTTGTAATTATGTTTGTACTTCAAGGCAAATTATATGGTAAATCGAACAAGGCTGTACATTTTCATTTTACGAAAAAATATAGGATATTTAAGTACTGTATTCAAGGCATTTGAACTATGAAAAATGGTACTGCTGGTATTTTGAACAAAATAGGTGCATTTTAGAAAATCATGTTTGACATAGCTACACTTCAACGAGTATCCTATATGTAAAGTGTAATCATAAGTATGTATATGTTTCTCCTGAGAACATATTATGAAGACAATTGAATTATGCATATTACATTTTCAGTGTTTCAATTATACAAAGGGTTCCGAAAGTGAGCGCTAAAGTTTTAACCAGTTTAATACATAATACTAAAACAATATTCAAAAATTTTAAATTTTCCGCCACTGAAACAGAAGTCGAAACGTTTAGTTGTTCAAATAAGAAGAAACAAAATCGGAATTAATTAGTATTAGTAACTAATTAAATAATTATAATACCAAAATATTCTATCACTGTAAATGGTATAAAATACCTGATAAAAATGTGAGGTTTATTATTTTTTATAAAGATTTATTGGACAAAAGTTGTTGCATTGGATGAGTTAATAAATAGATAGATAGAAAAAATATTTTACAGTTACAGGTTCTTTTTAGCGACGTTACAGTAGAGGTATGTTTCCGATAAAAAAGTTATCAAAGCGACACCAGCCCAAAGAGACGTGTGCAGAAATATACGGACTCCCAGATGGAGTGAAAGCTACAGGTCTGGGGAGGTTTTCCACTGTAGTTCAAACAGAAATTTTCGCGATAATGGCGTGTTTAGCAGAGAATGTCGTAGAGGTTATGAACATAAACTCATATACATATTCTTTGGGAGTCAATTAAGTTTGTTGCAAAATGAAAATTAGAATTTTTGCCTTATTAAAAAAATTATTATTTTGTTGTAGAATCATTTCATAACAGTACAATACATTATTCTAAACAAAAAATAAAGATTTTTTTTTCATTTGAGAGCACGTTTTACAGATACAAATTATTTTAAGTTGAAAAAAAATTGTTTATCGACGGCCCACATCTCAAACACCTTTGAACCCACAACGATGTAATCTTGTACGAAGGGGCTGATTAAGAATATCTTACTAGTTTTTTTTCTAAAAAATCGCTAATACTTTTTTTTTAAATCGACCCCCTTCTTTCCATCTCAGAATCGGACGTTTCTACAGTCAACTATGGTTATGTCTACTCACTCTATATGTATATATTCACCACCAAAGTTTCAAATTATTCGGATATCTGGTGAGCGAGATATCAAGGTGACTCCATGAAAATATACAGAGTGTCCCAGAATAACGTCTAGAACAGAAGAGCACAGATTCATGGATTCAAAATAGGTAGATCTAGGCTAATTCACCTATATCCGAAATCGCTTAGTTTGGCCCCTAGATGGCCTCAAAGTTGGTGAAAACTTTTAGAATTTTGTAAATAACTCGAATAGGTATTAATCGATTTTGATTATTTTTGGGGCCATTTAGCGGCCAAACGAAGCGATTTCGGATATAGATGAATTATCCTAAATCTGCCTATTTTGAGTCCACGAATCTGTGGTCTTCCGTTATACAAGTAGTTCTGGGACACCCTGTACATACGATCATCTTCCTCGATATTTTTACGTACTTAAGTTACACCTTGATATATACCTACTTCAAAAAAACACTGTGACATTTTTTTAATCTCACAGTATATAGAAAAACAGGTATTCACTTCTTTACAAACAGCTAGCATTAGCTAGCAATTAGTGTTTCAATTATTATAATAATAATTATTATGTAGTGTAATACCTTTAACATAATTAAGAAAATTACCTATTGTCCTATCGACGCAATAATAACCCTTCATTTTCAAATTCTCCAGCAGTATCACAGCGTTATCATCAAATTCGTCCGAGTGGGGATTCATCCCCATTCTTCCACCGTAAAACTCCGGAAAAAAATCCATAACTTTCTCTATTCCATTCTCTCGTTGGAATTCCTGCAAAGTTGGGACAATGATTCTGTAAAATTCCAACTCTTTCTTGAAAGTCAGGGGACTCTTAAACATTTTCTGGATGAATTCGTTAGGAGGAACAGCTTTTCCAACGATGTGCAATACCCTTTCTTTACCACTGTCTTCGTTTCTGATAGTCACGTCGATTGCTAACATGAGGCTTCCATAGTTTTCTCCTGCTGCTGTGAGCCTTTTCACGTGGCACTTGGTGATTTCCCCCTCGCTTCCCAGATATTTAGGGAGCAGGATCTTGTCTATTTGCTTTATCTCTGAATTCATTTTTCTGAAAAATTAAAATTTTATTCGTATTAGAAATGAGAAGAAATTTTGGGATCAGTCATGAATGCAACGCAACATACAAAGCGTTTATGCTGCAAAAACAAACTGTAAAAATTTAGGTAAAGGAGTTCTTTTTGTTGGAAAATTGGAAAAATTAACCTCTTCGAGCTTATGGAGCTTACTCAATGCTCAAATTCATGCTGACACAAAAGTTTTTCAAACTAATTATGAAAAAGAGGTTTATCATGAAAACTAAGTAAAAACAGAAATTTAGTAATATTCGAAAATAGTTGAGATTTAGGACCTCTGGTAGAGCCGCGAGGAGCTCGTTCGTGTGGAGGTGAATGATATCGAAGATAAGACAACAATGTTGATAGTCAGTAACCCTAAAGCCTAAGCGAATATCACTGAATCGTTTATTTAGACAAGGTTTTTTATAATTAGGACCTCCGCACATCAGCAATTTTATCAGCAGTTTTATATTTTATAACAGGTAAAGTGCTATTTGGAAATAGTTATTGTTATTTGCAGTTAAATCTAGTAGGTATTTAGAAAATTATTAAAAAAAATTGCAATGCAAAATTTAGTGTGTATTATGATATCGATCGAAAAAATATTTATAGGTATATTCAAGCAAGCTTCTTCCCACCACATTACTTTCCAGTTTTGTTACGTAAATAACTATATTTCTTTTAGTATTAATTCTTCTTCACTGCAATCTAGTAAGTTAAAGTAGTTTTTGGAGTTGCTATGCTGTTGCCTATGTTGGTACCTGGTCACCGCCAGTTACAGACTTACATTGTGCTTGTTCTCAGGATAGGCTTTGTGGTGCTTTGAAACGTTTCGCCGTCCTACACTGTTAGCACCTTCAATGGTGACTGCATAAACGGGGAACAACAAGGGCAGATCTTAAACTATTTAATAAAAAATATTCTCGTATATTTCATGGATTACAGAAACAAAGAAAAAAGAAATTGTAAATATTTGGGTATATTCTTAATGTACAATAATGTACATACCTACATTATTGTCGTAATGTTAAAAATTAATGTCCACGATAAGCAACGAAAATAAATAGTACCTACTCAAAGTAATTATTAACATGCACAATCTATCTAGATAGTGCAAATTAAATTAGTTATTTATTTTGTTCCCTTTCTTTAGTATAGTGGTTATTAACAGTATTAGAAACAATTATTACTATTCTAATATTTTCATTTTGTTTTGGAGAATACCATTTATACAGGGCGTGGCGTGTATAATTTATAAAAATTAAACTACAGCTTCTTGAACAGTATTAGAAACAATTATCACTATTCTAATATTTTTATTTTGTTTTAGAAAATACCATTTATACAGGGTGTGACGTGTATAATCTATAAAAATTAAACTACAGCTTCCTGATGATATTTGTAATAGAAAAATCTTATACGAAAAAGTTCTAGCTTCGCGTTTTTTTTTTTTTGTAAATTAAGGTTCATTTATTCAACGAAAATGAAGGCCGACCCTGTGTTATTTATTAAAAACTTTGGAAATGTTTGTATGCGACCCGAGATGCAACCTTATAATTTAAATCGATAGGTATAATCTAATACTAGTAATACTAAAAGAAGGTTAGGTTATATTGTCAAAAAATTTGTGCAGTCAACTGATTTTGTATTTGTATTGAATTCATTATTTACTTAATTATTAATTATTAAGCCTCGTCCATCGACCCATCAGTGTTAAAAAGTGAAAGATTCCAGACAAAAGTTTTTATTTTGTAATTCCGCGATAGTGACAATGTAATTTTTATAAAGAAGTAAAAAAATAAGAATAGCGTGCCGATTACATTAAAAACGAGATTCTTATTTCTTACTTTGCTTAATTTTTTAGTTTGTGCACAAACTAGTTTTACAATGAACCGAGAAAACGATGCATTTAGTATTTCCGAACGTGTTGATATGGTGTTAGTGTATGGTGCAGCAGAAAATGCGCTCGCGGCGACTAGGTTGTACCGGGAACGATGGCCACAACGTCACCCCCATGTGCAAATCCTAAAAAAAATTGAGAAGTATCTTTCCATCTTTCAACGACGATTTGTTTACGCGGCTGGTCTACAGCACGTAACTCAGCGTAATTGAACTTTAATTTACGAAAAAGAAACGCAAAAATAGAACTTTTTCTTATAAAACTTTTCTATTACAAATATCGTCAGAAAGCTGTAGTTTAATAATTATATTATACAATTACACACGCTACACCCTGTATATGTTAATTGATATTATTTATAGTTATAAGCCTTGAAAATAGGTAAATATGCCATATTTAATTTGCAACTATTTATTTAAATCTTTATATTTAATAAAAAAAGTGGAAAATTACCCAACACAAGTAATATCATTTTAAAGTGATATAATAAAATAAAAAAATACACATATGGATAGATAATTTTGCATAGCTTACTCTTTTAACTGACCTTATCACTTTAGATTTCTACTTAGATTATTAGTATTTATTAAAAAAATCGAATTATTAAATCGAATTTTGCTTAATGAATATGTAATAATTAGCACAGCACTGAACAGGTTTACAAGAAGGAACGGAAATATGTTGACAACGTACCTATTTGTAGAGTGAATTTGATATGTTATAGGTATTAGTTATCAATTATGTCAATTAAATGCTATCATTAACTTACAGTTTTTCAAGATGAATAAAATCAAACACTTCAAAACTTAAAGTAGGTAATCCTTTTTTAGACGTGCCAAAAATAGTTAAAATTGTATGAATTAACTCAGATCTGAGACGTCTGCCAGTACTAATGAAACTCACTTTGAGAAAACCATTAGCAGTATATATTAATTATTTTTTTCCACTAAAAAAATATTAAATGCTTTTTGTGGTTGGGTAGCAGGTCGCTAAATTTAGATCAGATAGACTTTGAAACGATCAGACGTTTCTATTTTCCTGTAGGCATATATACATTTGAAATTGCTACTCCCACAAATTATTAAGTTGAGTCTTTCCAATTAAGTGACTTAGCGTTTTATGAAACATTAACAATACTTTTTACATGACATGCCTATCTTTTATTACTAAGCAAAAGAGTAAGTCATGGTGATCATAAAACTAAGGTCGGGTAAATATAGTGACGTTAAAAAATATAAGAGAAACAGTGTGTTAAATTTATTGAAAAATATTTATGAACATACCTCTATCTTATGCAACTATGTCAACTAATGGCGAAAATACTGGGCGTCACTGACATCAACAATCACAGAATTTCGACGCCACTGAATATTTTAGAAATATCAAATAATTTTCGCGCTCTTCAAATAATAATGTAATGAGAACCTACAGTCGGAATAGGGCAAGGAAATAAGGATCTTAACGTTCTGGCTAAGCCAACGTTTCAATCTTCTTCGGGGCTAGTGAGATGAAATCACTGTCATAGAATTAAAAGAATTCATCAAGATCTTAAATGGAACCCCTATTTATAGAACAATGTTTCTAATATGTTTTTATAGGTTTAAGCTCTACCAATTTTACTTTATTATTATTTAATTTAAATTTAATAATAACAATAGCTACACATTGGAATATCCATCCCAAATAACACAAACATGTTTTAAAGATACCTTAGGATATCTGCTGGGATACATCTCTACGTTTCAAGGATGTATGGTTCTAACTAGCTATAGGACGTTCGAAAGACATCTTACAAATCAGGATATCCTCTATATATCTCACTTATGTCCCAGGGATATATGATTTGGACTATCTTCAGAATAATCTGAGAATTATGGATATAGGTTATCTTACTATAATTAGCATACGCTTGTAAAGTATGCCCTATGGGACATAGGGTCAGTTGTCAGTAGAAGAGCTTGAGAATGTCTCAATATTATCCCCTGGACCAACATTTCAGACGTACCGAAAACGAATTGGATCTATCACATCAGGTTTTCGAGATAATCTAACCTAAAAGTGCAAGAAATGTGTTTTTTCGCTATATTTAATGGAAAACCCAGAATGTATCGTAAAGTATAGCGTAGCCACTTAATTCTGTGACAAAATCCATCTCTTTACAAAAAAAATACATGCGAGATATTATTCTACATCACATTAATGAGTTGGAATTTGATGCGGCAGAACCGCAACTCAAAATAAAATCAGCGGTTAAACCGCTGCGACAGAACTGATTTAGGATATTCCGTTTAAAAATATATACTTTTGGGTTATAGGTAATCGAAAAACCATAAGTATAGTATAACGTACAATTCTGTGACAAAATCCATCTCTTTACAAAAAACGGATTAGAAGTGGAAAAGTCATTCTACATCACAAAAAACGAATTAGAATATGTTGCGGTAAAACCGCAACTCAAAATAAAATAAACGGTTGAACCGCCACCGCCGCTTCGAAACATTTTTTCTCCAAAGACAAACATGAAAAAGTTACCGGGACGATCATTTTCGATGCGAAATCTTGTACAATTTATCGAGTAGTACTAATTTTGTGAAGATTTCCAGACATTTAAAAAATATTTAGAAACATCCTCCTGCTCATAATAGAAGTAAATATAAATTATTTTTTCATATTCAATAGTTTCATATTTTAAACAAAATTAAATATATATATTCATAAAATTATCCTTACCATTCAGTATTATACTGCAGAATTGAAACGTTCTTTTAGCACTAAATAATAACCACACTACTATGAAGATTGGGGAACATTTACAGAATAAAGATGAAAATAATGCTACATTAATACCGCGCGAGGTAACGAATATTTACACAGCGTTTAATTCATATCTACACCGTCCAACAAAACTATAATTGCCTTGATTGTTTTAATGGGATAGTAAAATTTATTTTCACGATTATTGCACGTACGATGCATAAACATTAAAAATTCACCGTGCAATGCAGCAGCAACGTCAAAAAACGAATAAAGCACTGAAGTGAATTTGAGCCACTCGTAAACTAAATTCGCCAGTTGTCGGTGTTCAATTTAATATAATATAATCTCACTTTTCATTCAATGTCAGTTTCATTGCGCTGCAATAAGTGAGATAAACGAATAATGAACTGTTACGTAAGAGTTTGGCTAAATATCAGAGGGAATTTCACTTTGTATCCTTGAAAAAATCGTCGAATCCAATGAATTGCGTTTTTCTATCAAATAAAAAAAACGCTGGAATTAACTATTAGATGAAATTAGTGACTAAGGTCAACTAATGAGTCTCTAGATCTATGATAAATGACAAATATATACAATTTATAACAGTAACACAATAAATAAAAAACAAATGAAGTTCTAATATTTAATATTAATTAGACCGCAGGATATTTTAAAACTCTTTTCAAAATTAAAGATTCTGAGTCTTTTTTTAGCTGCCAATTTGGAAATGCTGATTTTTCTGTCCGAAATTTAATAACGCGATATTATTCTACATACAACACTCAAAATGCCTCCTTGTTTTCATAGTAAACTTCTACACTTAATTTGTCACATTTAAAATAAAAATACGAAATACAATCTAAGTTCAGTAATTGTAATCAAATAAAGTGTCACTTATTCTGTAAGGAAGGAAGGCAAATCGCATAAAGTTATTGTTATAAAATAAATAGATATTAAATGTTTCAAATATTTTGTCTGTAGAAAACACTTTTTTATAAAAACGGTCTCCTTAATGATTAAAAAAATCACAGTAGACCATGCCGAGTTGTGTGTTATTAAATTTCGAATATAATTTTTCAAAAGTTTTCACTTAAACAAATCTTAGAATTTGCAATTTTGAGGAAATTATAATTTCCAAATAACGCGCGTTTTAAAATTTTTCTTTTTTACTTAAAGCTTGGAATGTGGTGTTTTATTGAACAGGTCACGTTCTATTGCGGTTACTTGACATCCGATCACGATGGCACTTTTTACTGAAGCTTTCGACTGAATCTTTTTGCAAGGATTTATTTTTAACATTTTTTGTTTTACGCGTGACACTATTTTGTGGTCTCTTACTGGCACTTTTGTGATTGGACAATTTGACGCTTAATTTAGAATCTAGGCCAGAGCCTGAGTATTGATATAAAAAAAGTTTATTTGGTTATATTTCTTTCACAACATACCTATAGTTTGATTACATGCAGTAAACTATAAACAATGTAATGTAAGGGGTGCCAAGATTGTACTGAATGTTGCTCTAGTTAATTAACTACAGAAAACCAGAGTTGATTGATTACACCTCTTGATGGTTCCGTCAATTCTTGTTTTTCTCGATATTCGCGGATTTCAGCTTCTGCTATTGTCCAAAATTAAACAGTCATGAACAATATACTAACAAATAATGCTATGGTTTAGAAAATAGTATTTGGCTCTATTGTAAAACAGAAGATTTTGTACTTTTATCTAACTTAAGTTACAAAATTACAGTACCTACTATAATTTATTATTCATGGTCATAGTGAAATGCACAACTAATACCTATGTGTATTACTTCCGCGCATTAGCACAAAAAAGTTCAAATGTGCGTCCACAGTTTAGAAAGCACAGAAAAACAAGAAAGAAGTATCTTCTAGACTAGAAGCTGTAATATACTTAACCTTAAGGCTTCTATTTATATTACAACAAATCTATTAGTTCTTAATAAACTATCGGTATAATTCGATAGTGCCAGCTGTCGATAAATATGTAGTGCCATCGAGTTTTCCATCTTTTCTTGGTGAATATAAAACGGTTTTCGATTACGTAGATAGCTTCTGCTGAATTCGGAACATCTGTGAAAACGAATCTTCAAGTACTCAGTCGCCTATAATCTATGCTCAGTCGCAAGAGGATTTGGTAACTGATTCGATATTCTCAAACAAAATATTTTCGTAGAGAAACTGGTAAATAATTAAATCCTTGTATAAAAAATATATATGTATAATTAATATAAAAAAAATAAATGAATTTATGTTAATGAAGAAATTTGACTCACATGACTCAAACGTTTGAAACTTTATTTGATAATAATTTAGAGTTAATTATGTCATGTACTTTAAAAGAAAAAAAGTCTGAAATTCTTTCACTTGTTTGACTCTTTTATTAGTAATATATATTAATATCCAGTTTTTTAATGAAGTTACTTAAAATCACACGGTCGATAGCCGCACGGTTTAAGGCGTCAGTACTTATAGCGATGTGTCGATCTGCCCAGGTTTTGAATCCCTCAGCCGGTAGACCGTAAATTAGCTATGCTTGTACGGAGGATTGGCAGCCTCTGTGCAGGTATGGTACGGTGGAAGAATGTTGGCTTGGGTCAATGTGAGAGATTCATCGATTGGCATTTTGACCACCCCCCTAATTAATGAGGTTTTCCAGGTTTTCCTCATTCCTGCACTGAGTGGTGGTTAGGGCCTACCAACATAAGTCGTTCCTGGGCGCAAATGCGGCCTGCGTAATAATAATAAGCCGCCCCCTCTCCCGCACAAGTCTCCGACTTCTGGGCTGACTCTCGTAGTTAGAATGAGGAGTAGAGATATTATTATTATTATTAATATAATTTTGTTTTGTATTGGTATTTGGAAACTTAATTCAAAGTTTCAGTTAACCTGAGTGTTGTGATAGACAGAAATTAAAAAATAAAATTATAATATTACGTACACAAATATCTACATTTTTCTCTACAACGTATCAAATTGACTAAGCACTTTCTGCTGTGTCATGTCATGATGTTTCAATGTAGGCATTTAATTATTACAACATCAATGAGTTTTAAAATTGTATGCATATTTACTATATAAATAACAAATTAGGAAATAATTTCCAAATTAAATCCAGTTGCGTTTCGCAAATTCTTGAACTATATACCACGCTCTTTCTTCGTGTTCTTTGGAATGATTTGGTGAAAAAATCTTCTTCATCTTCATAAAGACATGTGGAAATTGGGCAGTTGTTGCTTCGATAGTAACTTCTTTTAGAAAGTTACCTAAAGAGAACGAAGAATCTTCGATTTCGAATTGCTGAAGATCCGATTCAAAATCAGTATGGTAGTGCCTGAGCAGTTCATCCAGATAACCTTCCAGAACTGATATTTCTACACTTGTGAAGAGGAAAAATAGTACATCCGCTGCTGGAGACCCATAATCGTAATGCTGAAAAAACGAATGTGTTAATTAATAATAGTTAATAATGTAAACAATATAGCAATTATAAATACATTTGTAAACTACACTGCAGTTATAGTAGCATTATAAATAATTGTGTCGATTCACGTCGTGCAAGAAAAGTAAATGTTTTTTGCTTAGATTTTTCTTAGATATTGAAGACTATGACCTCATTTTATAGCCCAAATTACTTTTATATCTACTTTGAGAGTTGTAAAAATGCAATTGTTGCTTTGTTTTATTTAACAATGATTCGATAAAATTATTATTGAAAAAAATTTTATCAAACACTGGCATGATTACGTTGATTTAATTTCAGGAATTGTTGATTCGTTGTTCAAACAAATATGGCGACACTCTGTCCAAAACGACTCCACCTCACAAATGAAACTAGAAAGATATTCTTAATTTATTTCCTTTGAACCACAGGAATTTAATATTTTGGACCTTGTTCTTCAGAAGTTTCAAAATGATTCTAGAAGCCTGACAAAAGCTTAACAAAATCGATACTGATTTACTTGAGCTTCTATCTTATTTATTTAAGTACATTTGGAATATCATAAGTAATACATCACAATACTATGGCCAGCGTATCTAATTTATCGTTCTGAAATGAGGCGTATTAATACGTCCTAAGCTTAATGCTATAACCGGTATGATTGTTTAACAGTATAACAGGATACTGCGGTCTATTATTTGACAAAGTAAATTTTAAGAGAGGTGTGAGAAGATAAATTGTTGTGGTTTAATCATCTAATGCCATAAAAAAACAATTACAATTGTTTTGCCTTATTTCACATTTCTCCGAATCGTTACAAAGACATTTAAACAATACTCTTCTCGAGTATGACGTAAAAGGTCAAACAAGTTACCTGAAAATCCACAATTTTTATGATGTCACGTTTATCACTGTTCAGTTTTACCATAATATTATCCGTCCATAAATTGCTGTGAATTATCGTGGAAAACGGCTCTCGTGGAGCTGGCTTCCTCTTAGACATAGCTCTCCTGATCCTTGGAATCAAGGAAACACATCCTTCATTGCCCCACATGAGGCTAACCACTCGTTTTATTTCATCAGTATCGGCTGTATTCTCAGATTTGTTAATGTAGGGTTTGATTTTGTGCTTGAAGATCTCTGTTTTTTTTATCTTGATGGCTAGGAAGCTTGCGTGTAACCTGGCGAGCTGTTGCAAGAAGTATTTGGTAGTTTCTAGGTCAAAACCGAGATGTGATTCCAAATTTTCGAAATCTAGGAGATGTGAACAAAATTAACCCATTTGTTATTTTCCTTTATTATGTTTTATAACAATGGTTATTAGACTTGGATCATTTGGGACGGTCTTGAAAAACTAATGGAATAACATCAGTGACAGTTAATTTAGAAATTTAGATTCGAAGTAAAGTATTTTTGAATTTATAACCTTCTACAACGGCACATTTTTCAGTAATATGATTCATAAGTAGAAGGTCTACCAAAATGATTTAAGGAATAGCCTTGGAAGTAAAATTTACATTTTTCTTTTTGAGGATTTTCATGCTTTTCTGTCAATTGATTTTTTGATTACTGGATACCTAGCTACTAAAGAAAGCTTCATTCTATAGTTTAAAGAAAATAATTTTCAAGTGCATTGTCGATATTATCAGCTACTTATAACTGACGTAGGTAATTAATGAGATATATCTATACTTTTCTTCAATCTTTGAATATCTCTGAATCTAACATCGTAGATATAGTGGCAGTTATTATTTTTCTACAATTAATTGCGTCATTATACGCAAATATTTCAGTTGTAAAAAGTAGATAACTAGATAATATAATTCCGATTTCTTGTGCTCTACAAACCAATATTCTTCGTTACAAAAACTGTATATGTTAGAATGAAATATAATTTCTATAAGACCAATTATTTTATTACTTATGTTTATTATAAAAATTATAATTTATAAATCATAGATAAGACTATAACATTAAGATTATCTGATAAAAGTTATACGATTTTTGTACTTCAAGTTAGTAAATTTTTTATAGGTATTTAGTCTGATATTATACAATTCAAATTTAAATTATTTCAATGAGAAAAGTCTTTATTAACTGTATAAATATGTTGATAAAAAGATTACTCAATTTAAGGTTGATACTTCCGTTACATTAGGATGAAGTGTGAAGTGTGTTTTGGATTAACTCTGATTAATCTCTGTGCATAGCATGTGATAAGATAATAGAATGAAATTTATACAATTATGGAATTAAAAGATTAGTTAATCTATTATTAGTTGTCGACAAAAATGAAAATAAAATATCTGCAGATAAACTTTATGGAAAAAATATCTGCATAATGCAATGCTGATCTATTTTTTTCTTAAATAAGAAAAAGTCTACCTTCCCTTTATTTAAATTAGAAATAAAATGTAAGCTAATAATTATGAAGGTGTATTACATTTTCTTTCACCTAAATTTTCTGCAACAAACAATTTCTTTCAGAAATGTCTATATAGATCTTTGGCCTGCTGCTACTGCACTTACACACTTTTCTCTGCTAAGTATAATCTACTGCAAGTGAAAGAAAAATGCATACAATGAGCATTAGAATATTAAGCAAACAACAAACTTATAGGTATTTACAATAATTATTAAACAAAAATGTGATATGAACTGAATGCCAGATCAAAAGAAGAGACGATTAGCTTTTTTAAAAATTATTTCAGCGAAAAATAATTCAATAAATGATAATTCCTACTCACCAGAGTTTTTTAAATTCTCCAAAAAGAAAATACCATCCTGATCAGCTTCCTTGCTCCGAGAATTTAACGTGAGACGTCCTCCGTAATACTGCGGAAATAAATTGAGACAATCTGCCCCCCGAAGTTTGAGAAACTCCTGCAGCAACGGCACGATGCTTTTGTAGAATATGAGTTCATTCTGAAAAGATTGAGCTCTGCTTGGATTATTAATGTTACTGACTGCTAATTTTGCTATAACTTCTAAACTTTCCTCGAAGTTCTTTTCATTTTTCAATCTCAGGTCTACATCTAACAAAAAACTGCCACCATTTTCTGCAGATGAGACTAAGTTACCTATTTTGTGTCTCAGCAATGGTTTGTCGACTAGCAAAATTTCTTCAATCTTCTTTATTTCAGTCAGTTTCATTGTCTTTGCGCGGTATTACTCTCAATCAATTAAAGTGAAAAAGAAATAACGGATCTCCTATTAATGCATTGTTAGTATCTTATCAGTCATATTTTAAAAGATAACAAAAATATTATGCCAAGTACTTTAGACGAGTGAACATTATATTTTTTATCCTAGATAAGGTGAAAGAATCTACCCTCCAGATATTTCGCCGTCATCGTCAATGTAATTATTATTTATTGCTGTAATAAATTTTAAAATATTGCTGCAATAAATTTTATTAATAAACATATAATTGTTTTTTTTTTGTAGGTCGCACTTCATAATTACATGCCTGAATATTAATATTTGATTTTAATGATACTTACACTTAAATTCGAAGACAAATTTTAGTGTTAAAAGTGATTTAAATAAACATTTACTTTTTATAATCCGGTAATATTTTGTTGAATATATAACAAAATCTATATTATTAAGATTAAGTACTATTATATTCAAAACTATTATAGGAATGAAAAATAATAAGTTAGTAATAATTCAAACATTTTGTATTTTACATAATTATTTTTTTTAAATAGGCAACCAATTATATTATCAACTGTACTAAGGGTTGTGGCAATATTATTTGAAGGTACACTAATTTAAGATCTACAGCGTTGCCATACTTTTAAAAATTCGTTTAATTCACATTATGTTACATATTTTTTCTAAAATGGATAATATATAAAATTTATATAAATTAAGATAATTAACAATTGATATATATTAGTAGCTTTTAATTTATGCTATTCTGCCACAAATACTGACTAAATTTTCTACTTAGTAATGCTTCTGTACTTCCACATTTCATATATATTTCATATTGTGACATTTTGGCAATGTTGATTGTTTTCGTTATGTTGGAAGTTTGGAAGAAAAGAACTTGAATTTTTATTTAGATTAGAACACCACTAACCAGCTGGTTCATATTAGGATTTACTTTGTTTAATTTAAGTGTAACTAAATAAAAATATTACAATGATTTCCGGAAGGACTTATAAAATAGGTGAGTTAATATGCTACACTAAAACTGTAAGAAATTTTATTCAAAATAGTACTTTCTTTGCTTGTTTCAAATTTTTAACCTATATTATACTCTAACTAGGTACAATATATTAATATTTTTCATCTTTGATTGTTAAACTTATAGTATATTGATCTAATATATCGCTTTTTTAAAAATGTTAAAGGTAAACCAAAAATTTATATTTTTTATTTAAAAAAGTGAACTTTGAACCTAAACAAAGTACAATCGTGTAATACCTAGCACTAAATTTAGTTATTTCATAAGTCACAAGTTTAGTAAACAGCATATTTTGAACTGATAGCCAAAGTACAATGATAGTAACATTTTTTCCTCTTTAGCTAAACAAGTATCAATCATATCAAGATGTTATTCCGAACAATACCCAACAATTACTACACATTATACCATACACCCTAGAGAAAAGGATCCTAGATGGAAAGGTTGGTGAATTCCAATTTTATGGAGTAACAATATAAAATTATAATATCCATCCCTTCCTTACATAAATCACTTTCATTTATGTTATAAATACTCTGCTACAAGTATCACTTGTTTGTTGATTTTAGATGTAAACATGGAACGTTTTACTGATGAAACGGACATCCTAATAGTTGGTGGAGGCCCAGCGGGAATGTGTGCAGCTATAAGGGCCAAACAGTTAGCTGAAAAAGATGGCAAGGAACTGAGAGTATGCCTAGTCGAAAAAGCTTCTGAGGTGGGTGGTCACATACTCTCAGGAGCCGTCATACAATCGACAGCCTTGAATGAATTGATACCTGACTGGAAAGACAAGGGAGCTCCTCTTAACACCCCTGTAAAGGTGGATAAATTTGGTTTCTTGACGGCTAGCGGGAGAATCCCGGTTCCTGTATTGCCAGGTAAAATATACCATGAAAATTTTTCAGTTACATGATATAAAACAAATATACTACTGCGGCTGCTTGATAATAATATGTTGCCCTGTCCCCCGTACAGGTATGCTTGCAAGTAGAATATTTTACTCACTTATAGTATTGACAACAAATAAATAGAGAATTTCACTGTCGTATATCCCTCAAGTCCAGCCGTTTACAGTTGTTTCAATTTTTCAGTCAATTTGAAAAAATCGAGTGGTGTCAGATCAGGAGACCTAGGTGGCCATGCAGTTCGACTATCCCATCTTATTCATTTTCTGCTATAATATTGATTTAGGAAATTAGGATATAGGTCCAAAGACAGACACATAACAATGCTGTTAAGTTATTTTTGCAATTATTTCCTAAAAAGTCAAGGTACACTTCACCAGTTAAACAACTGTAGAGAAATACTTGTCCAGATGACTTCCCAAAATATCTGCCCAAATATAAGTGTCTTACTATCTGAAGAACATCTGTTAACATATAATTATGTGTTAAATAATTTTATTCTCTAAACATCGGACAGATGACATTTTTTAAACCCTCTGGTATACTTATTTTTTAGGTACACCCATGTACAACCACGGAAATTACATTGTACGTTTAGGACACGTCGTTCGATGGTTAGGAGAACAAGCCGAAGCCTTGGGGGTGGAAATCTACCCGGGTTATGCGGCTTCTGAAATACTTTACCATCCGGATGGTAGTGTCAAAGGCATAGCAACAAACGATGTTGGTATAGCGAAAGATGGGAGCCCTAAAGAGAATTTTGAAAGGGGGATGGAACTGCATGCAAAATGTACGATTTTTGCTGAGGGGTGTCACGGGCATCTCTCTAAGCAGATTATAAAACAGTTCAATTTAAGGAAAGATGCGGAGCCTCAGACTTACGGAATAGGTAACTATAAATAAATTAATTACAGCCTTGTTTATGTACTTCAGACTTAGGATTCTCCTAAAAAATCATACGTATGTTGCAGTTAAATGGTAATTTGATATTTAAATTTGACCACAGTTTTCTTTCTTTCATGTATCTATAGTTTTATGTGAATTATTTTAAAGTAAAGCATATATTAGACAAGAGCTTCCTGCTAAGACGTCAGTGCTTGTCATAAGCATATAAGTGGGAAAGACGTGTAGTTATTTTCAGATGTTAGTTATTCCAATAAGTGTTGTTGATAATGGAATGACCAATTTTAACACATCAAGAACATTAGTGAGTGACGCCTTAGAGACATGCAATTCTTGACAAAAGGATGTTGGAATGCCGTTAAATGTGCGATCTGTAACACATTGCCAAAAAAATTTTCTAATAAAATATTCATGAGGTCAACTCTAATATGCATCGATAAATCATGAAACCAATCCAAATGTTGTCGCGCCATGTTGCTACATCTGTCCCATTCCATTTAAAATAAGCAAGTTGATGGCGACTTCTGGTATAACCAGAAGTGGTACGTGGAAGCCATTATTTTAGTTGAGAAGGGCATGCCCGAAAACCCGGTATCCCAAATTTTCAAAATTCAAATCGAAGTAGTCTCTGAAATAATTCTAATGGGCCATCACCGTGAGACACCCTGTATAGCTGTTGTAATTTGAATTATAAAAACGTGAGATGGATGACAGAGATTTTCTCACACCATCTAGTATTTTCAACCCTAAAATTAACCGGTTGTCTAACTTTGAATATACAGGGTGTTAGAAGTTTGACTGTCTTAATTTTAACAGACGATCTAATACATTCAAATAAACAAAAATAAAAACTTATATGACATGAGTCCTAAACTCAACCATTTCCGAGAAAAAAATTATTAAAATCTCCAACTTGTACAAAAGTTTGATTAATTAAGGAATATTGACGTAAATGTGTGCATAGAATACCATAAAATACAATGTTTATCACTTTTTTTAACTTCTTTATGCTTAATCCTGAAAAATAATTAGCTTTGTAATAAATTTAAAATTCGATAAAATTCATATCGAGCAATGTGACAACGGCGCGGCGGATAACACGAGGTAGGTATTAAAGGTATGTTTTCTATGAAACGGCAGTACACTGCTACAACGAAATTTATATTGAATCGGTTCCTTTCGTCCGTCTGCCGTTATGCGCTGACTCAGAAGCAGAGCAGTGATGCGGCGGTACCTCTTCTACACCAGTATAGACGCAACCACAGAGCGTCTTCGCATTTCGGACAATTGTTTTCTGTCAGTTGAATGTCTACGTGTATGTACATGATGGTTGAGCAAACATGTAGCAATAGCGCGAAAGTGTTATTTTCGTTTTTAGAAGATGAGAAACTGGTGGAATTTGATTTGATATCTTCTTTTATTAGATCCAAAATATAATGAAACTGAGCAATATTCAGCCTAAAGAAATCACGAAATTTTTTCTCATCCTTTAATAAATGTTCATTGATTAGGATCCTGAAATAACCTTCTTCAGTTCTTCTCTGAAATATGGGATGGACTTCTGCATTTCTTTCGTCACCATTTTGCTGCCCTCTTCGTCGATTTCTTTCAACAATAGATGTAATAAAATGTTTTTTTCATCACCCATGTCACAAATTTTATTTTTATTATTAATAAAAATCAATCGCTTTTTACCAAAGATTGCATACGACTGATGCGCGAGAGAAAACACTTTGCATCTACCGTACGCTCCAAACGCAGTGCTTCAGCCGCATGCATCCGCCATTTCATAGGAAACGTACCTTAAGCTGTCCAGCAATACGCAATTCAGTTGGTATCTGGAATTGGACCATGTCTGAGTGTTGTTTGCGTACCACTATTTCCTTTTCTTGAGGTGTTTTCCAGCGAGTGCTCGAAAATTGGAATCAAAGTGTCGTGCGTGTATTGAAAATGGTGGTGGACATTTTGAGAATATGTTGTAGTTTGTTTTGTACCTGTGCGTTTAAAAATTACTGAATTTTGCTTTTTGATAAGGCCCTAAATTACTATTAATATGTATGATTATTTGGACGACTTGAATCTTTGGGTACTTACTAATTACATATTTTTCAATTTCATAATTCGATTAAAAGTGAAGTTCTTGCTTTAAGAGATTCATAATTACTAAAATTTGAGCTAAAATTTAAGCACAACACTATCTTCGTACTACAAAATCAATACATTTTATTTTATTTATTTAAAAACTGGAAAACAATTGTCTTGAAATTTACTAAATGTTTCACAATAATAGTTGTTTTTCCATAGGGCAAGTCTGCCGCGTGCTCACGTAGTGTGCACCAGCTGTGTAGCATTAGGTAAAGCGCTGTTGTCATGTTGTGATGAAACTCCCCAATATCAATACTCACTGTATTTTGAAAACTGTTAATCTTACACCCCTGTAATATACAACTTTTTTGTTCATTTATGATTATCTCATGCTGAAGTAATGGCATACTTCTTACACCTTGTATACCCAAATGTGTGTGACATATTTGGGAAAACTAACAGTTTCCATTGATTTCTAGGTTTGAAAGAAATTTGGGAAATAGACCCCAAAAAACACAACCCGGGTCAAGTAGAACATACATTCGGGTGGCCTTTAGACAAACATACTTACGGGGGATCATTTCTGTATCATCTAAATGAATCTACTCCTCTCATCGCAGTCGGTTTTGTGGTAGGTCTTGATTATACAAACCCCTACCTGAGTCCGTTTAAAGAGTTCCAACGATTCAAGCATCACCCTTCGGTTAAACATTATTTCGAGGACGGAACTAGAATTTCATATGGAGCAAGAGCATTAGTCGAGGGAGGTTTCCAGAGTATTCCCAAACTTACATTCCCAGGAGGCTGTTTAGTTGGGTGTTCTGCAGGTAAGTAAATGTTTTGTACAGACAACCAATTTCGGCACTTTGGAGGATTTCGTATTTACGGAGAAAAAGTAGTTACATGTGTGTTAAGAAAAATTAAATGCATAGAATTGAACAACATTTGCGATATTTTTCTGTAAAATCGTGATCAATCTCTTGGCCCCAAAGAAAATGTTTTTTATTGTGAAAGACTAAAGTATAAAAGGTGTGATTTAATAATCTGAATTGTGTGGTTTCATACAAAAAGTATGTTCAGGAATGCTAAGGGAACTAACTTTGCAGGTTTCCTCAATGTGCCGAAAATAAAGGGCACCCACAATGCCATGAAGAGTGGCATGCTAGCTGCCGAGAGCGTGTACGAGACCATAAACGGAGAAAAGCAAGAAACTGAAGGGGTCGAACCCAAGATCTATGAAGAGAAAATTAAAAACAGTTGGATTTGGAAAGAGTTGAAGGCTGTCAGAAATTGCAGACCTAGTTTCCATAATCCTCTTGGGATTTACGGCGGTATCGCTTACAGCGGATTTTCTATCCTTATTGGGGGACGGGAACCATGGACTTTTAAACACGGAGGTAATCGATAACAAAATATCTTTTCAGGAAATAATTTTATCGTTACTTTCAGATCCTGACAATAAAAGACTGAAACCAGCGAAAGAAAGTACCCCCATTGAATATCCCAAACCCGACGGGAAGGTCAGTTTTGATCTTCTAACTTCAGTTGCCCTGACCGGAACCAATCACGAGGGGGACCAACCGGCCCATTTAACGCTTAAAGACGACACCGTACCTGTAAAAACCAACCTTGCCGTTTACGATGGACCCGAGGCAAGGTTTTGTCCTGCGGGTTAGTGAGAATGTATTTACAAACGATTATAATTGTCACCGTGCGTTTTAGGTGTGTACGAATTCGTTCCATTAGAATCCGGTGAAGGTCAACGATTGCAAATAAACGCCCAGAATTGTATCCATTGCAAAACCTGTGATATTAAAGACCCTAGTCAGAACATTAATTGGGTGGTTCCGGAAGGTGGCGGCGGTCCAGCTTACAACGGAATGTAACTTAGATTAACAATATTTTAATTGATAGTAAATCAAGGTTTGTTAATTTTATTGTTTTTGCACATAATTATTATTAGCGAAGTATTTTGTCTTCACTTTATTAATTTTATCACGACATGTTTTTTTTATATTTATAAGTTTTCTGTTGAAACGTGTAAATGCCTGTACATATTTTTATATAATAACCAACCTTTACATTGGAAATACATTTTTATATTTCCTTAAACATGTGTTTTAATTCATAACTCGTGCTGAAAATGATGGAAATCTTTCATGTGGCGTTTATACTGAATAAAATAAAAAATCACATTCGTTATAATGAGCAAAAAATAAATGCCAGCGGTATGCCACTAGAAACAATGGCCACATGTAAGCAACGAGCATCAGCTTCTCGTGCCTAGGGTAATTACATAAACAAGTTTCGATAATTACTGGGTGTACAAAACGTGTGGCTGTTATATTGAGACATTACTTGTGTTTGGTGCCGAAATGTATTAATTTGTAATTGTATTGTGATCATTCACATCTATAGCTACACCCTCACAAAAAAAAGTGAAAGGTCTGAAAGACAACCATGGTATCTACGTTTTTGAGGTCATTGAATCTGAAACTGGTCTCTGTTTGACCAGAGACCAGATTCAGAGAATCGGTTGCCAACAGAATAAACCAATATACAGGCTGCCTACTATAAGAGGGCCACTTCTATGTATCTCCTTTAATACACGATGCACGTCAATCATTTTTATATGTTTTTTTGTTGCATTTTTTGAGGCGTTGATGCTTATAAAAACAAATTTGAGATCCATGGCCAACTTTATGAGTAATAAACAAACCTTGAAAAGTACCGAAAGTGCCGTCTAATTTTTTTATTTAAATAGAGAAAACTTTTTTAAATTTAATTTTAATAAAATTTCATGGCAAAATTGATATCTTTCAACTGGTGTAAACAAATTTTGGAAATATCGATGTAATTTGCTGCGCCCTCTAAGCGAACAATAAACAAATTGTCATCGAAGCAGGCTGTGGATACAAAAAATTGTTTGTTTTTTCCACTTTCATGCGATGTACTATATGTTGCCTTCATCTTTTATATTTATTACATTTTTTATGATTTTGGTATCAAAAATGTTGAAATTGTTTTAAAAATGCCAGCTACAAAAAATTTAATGAATATAATGTACTTTTTTTAAGCAAAGAATCTGCAAAATTTAGCACCCATCAATTTACAATTATATAGGGTGACCATATGTCCTGCATTGCGCTGGACAGTCCTTCATTTAGAAGTACCGTCCAGCATTTAATACAGAGTGGAGATCTCTATCTTCTATCCGCTGCTCACCATAAAAAAATATTTAAGAAGTAGACCTTTGCCTCTGGATAGCGCAGAGATGCTACTTCTGCTTTTTGATGTAATACATATTAAAAAAATACATACCGCTGAAAAATATTTGTAATAAAATATGTACTTTTTATTTTTAGTTTTTATGTTATTATATTATTTTTCATATTTATTTAAATAACAATACTTTAATAATTAAAAATTGACTTATTTAAATTTATTTGTATTTAATGACTATCTAGCTTTTGCCGTCCGCATTGACTCCAAGAGAATCTGGTCACCCTACCATTATAGGAGTAAGGTCTTATGATTTTGGAATCAAGAATTCTAACCCAATAGTTTATGTAAAACCTCTGTTAAAATGCAGTTTCTCCGTACCAACGTAAATTACTATTAGTCCATGTGAAGTAAATGATCCTATTAAAAATCCATTGTTACAAAAATTAGACATCTGACCAGATAATTCTTCTGCATATGAAAGGATCTTCCCTCTTTCTTTCTTCTCACCACCTACAGAACTCTATAATCTCCTTGGTTTATATACGCATTTTTCTATGAATTAATGCAGTCGATAATTTAGACCCAATTTACTCGAAAAAGGTTCATTTTCGAACTATGAAACAAGAGAACAGTTTTTGTTCAGAATTGATTCAGGAAAATTATAAAACTAGGATATGCAAAATTATGAAGAAATAACCTTGAGGACAAGTTGGGCTAGGCCACCCCTGGTGTCAGATCAAAAATAAGTGCCATATAGTTTTAATGACCGTTAATAGATGTACACTTCACCCAAAAATTACTTAAATCCCTGAAAGGGTTTTTAACTTATTGTGGAAAGTTATTATTTTTTTCTAAACGATACCCTGTAACTCAATGAGAATTTTAATCTCATTTTGGTCTGCTCTATCCCCTGGTAAATTTTTGTATGCCCACACTGGGACACCCTATATATACGTCTTTTGGGGTCGCTGAATCCGGGGTCCATTCCACACCTGTTCAGGTCTGCTAAATACTCAAGTTGTAAATTCATTTTAAGCATTTATGCATATTAAAATTTGATATCAAATAAGATTAAAGAAAGCAAGCTTTAACTCTTCACATTATTATTTTAATGACATTTTTTATATTTATTTTTCGTGGAAACACGAGTGCCTGACAAAACTAACAAAAAAAATGTTCCACTACACACAATCATTTTTAAGAATAAAATGATTTAAAATTTTGTTTTTGAATAAATAAAATAACCGAACAATGAAACAAATATGTTGTCAAACTAGTAAAAGGCTAAAAAATTTAAAGGGTGCCATTCCAGTTGATTCTAGGTTTTCGAATTAAGTAAAATTGATTAAAATGTAATACGATTTTTATATACATCTACCCAAACCAAAAACTATAACCTACATGTAAATTAACAAAAAGTTTGCAAAACATTATGATTAAATTAATTAATGTCACTTCTTTATAATTTATCGTAATATTAGTAAAAGACATGCAAATAAGAATATTTGAAATCTAAAAATAGAATGAAAAAAGTTGCAATGCGAGAACATCAAGTAACGTAAATTTCCTACACTAACTTTAGATGATCCAAGTTATTTTAGCCAAAATCTATTGTTACGTTAAAATTTTTGGATTAACATATATAATTATGAAAGTACTTCCAAATTTGTCCAAACAGTCAAAAAAATCATATTCTCGTTGCAACAAAAATTTTAAAAATATACCTATCTTTCTAATAAAAAAAATTTATCTTATAATTGTATCTCAAACTATCGACTTCTCTTTCTTACCTAAAGTATACTTATACTACTAATATACTAATACTAATCTTAACAATTATCTTTGTTACACTATTTTACTATTTGTATGTTGTCCAATAAGAGAAAAACTAGATACGATTTCTGTCCGACATAGGGCAGGTGGTTTTGTTCAGCCATATGTATGCAATGAGAATGGATTCCCATTTCAGAGGTGGCAAACGATCGTACAATTGTCTTATTATTTCTCTTTACGAGATTATCTGGAAGAGGCATTAATAAAATTTGTTTTAAGGTATGAAATCGGTACTCACTGTCCACTGTTCACTATCATCGGATAGTGCTGACCAGGAAGAGGATCTAGAAGTTCCTAAAGATCGAGGCTCTTCGGAAATGTTGTGTATTGATCCTCTATTCCCTTCATAACTATGTTCTTGTGCTTGTCTTGCTCCTAAAGATGGGGGTTCATCAGAAATGTTTTGTATTGATCTATTGCTCCCGTTGTTACTGTGTTCTTGCACCTGTCGTACTGCTCCTAAAGATGGGGTTTCTTCAGAAATGTTTTCCCTTGACCTCCTTCTCCTGACAATAATGTGTTCTTGCGCTTGTTGTCTTGTTCGTGAAAATGGGGGTTCTTCGAAAATGTTTTCTCTTGATCTTCTTCCCCTGCCACCACCCAATGCTTGCGGCTGTTGTCTTGTCGTCATGTAAGTATAAATGACCGTTCCAACTGCCACGATCAGTATACAGCCAAGAGTGATGGGGTGAAATTGAAACGGCATTTTTCTGTAAGCTTAGAATCCGTAAGAATTCTTGGTATGACAGCTGACCAGCTATGAATGAAGCTTAAAAAAATTCAATTATTTTTTAATACTTACAAAATAAAAAATTAGATGAAATGTGAAAAACAAATTTATCTCCCTTATCCTGCGATTTATATCGGAAATGTAAAGTTAGGGATTTCACACCTATTTTGAGCAGGTTAGCCAATTGTACTGACACTGACTCAGAGCCAGTCCTGCCAATGACATATAATATAGACGGTATTAGCACAGAATGGTATTTATATTCTGTGGTATTAGGTATACTCCCATTTTCAAATTTGGCTTATTGATTTAATTAATTTCAAAATCACTTCAAGGGTGGTTTTTTACTATAACTTTATTAAAGCTAAATGAATTTTATTGATAATCAATTTTCGTGACAGGCAACCAGATATACTGAATTACTCTTGAACTTTTATGACCCATTTACACAAGGCCAGTTGTGAAGACATTCCACTAAGCCAGTCCAACATTGGCATCGTGTAAATGAGACAGTCCTGTAAATGGAATGTCTCCAGCCATTGTCCCAAGCCACTCCACTAATTAGAACGGTTTCTAATTTTAGGAGTAAATAGCATCCCCCACCACTCAAGAAGTGGATTGGCTTGTGTAATGGCATTTGTGAGAACGTACGTTCCTAGCCAAGCCTAGCCTAGCCCTAGCCTATCGATTCTACACAACCGTATATACTAGACCACATAGATTATTTAAAGATACTAGCCTGGTGGATGACGGACTGGCCTACGTGTATTCTAAACTTCAATTGAATTTTTATTGGATTGTCCTCAACTTTGTCATTGGATTGGCTTAATGGAATGTCTTCACAACTGGCCTCATGTAAATGGGCCATTAAGATCCGAGGTTTATTTGCGCAGTGATCCACAAAGAGAGAGTGACGTAATACTACGGATTTTTCAAAGGTTACTTCAATAAATCCGTGCTTCATGTATAAAAGTTATACCCCTATGTGGTGGTATACATGATATTTTTGCGGTTTCCACGTTATCCATGTGGAAGTGGTAAATGATGATAAATCATGTAAGCGAACATTTTTATTCATGCAGATGTTACTATAGTAATGGGAGTATAAACAGTCAGAATTTAACTAATTTAAAATGTATGAAACACGAAATAGCTATTTTTCTACAAAAGTGGGCTTTTTAATTAAAAAGCCCACTTTTAACAGTTTTGTAGAAAAAATAGTGTATGATATACGTGTTAAAAGTGATTTTATTTTGTTCGTGAAGTTAAAAAACTCGCTACGCTCGTTTTTTAATCATCTTCACTCACAAAATAAAATCTTACTTTTAACAAGTATATCATAAATAGCTATTTTGTATCATGCCACGCACTTTACCTCTACTAATACATATAAACTCGATAATCTATAAAAAATAACAAAGTACACAGTATGCAGTGATTTATGGACATGATTTAGATATTCAAAAAATCATACGAGTCAAAACTTTATTAGTCCGACTTCATAAGACCATTATTAAGGATGGTCCAAAATTAGAAATAGAGATCTCGTGTACAACCCTAGCCCACTGACCGCCTGTAACAGTACAACACTCGGTACAATGTAGGGCATACACATAAAAAATAATAGCAAGCCATCAATTTATAATCTTGTTTCCTAATACATTCATTCAAGTTAGGAGGGGTTCTAAATTAAAAATAAAAAAATGTTAAATTTTACAAGGTTCTAATTAAATTTGAAAACAGTATTATTGTACATCAATCAGCACACGAAGGTTGGAATAAATTCCTTCAAAATTCCCGTTTTCCTTTTTGAAAATTTAGTCATGGATTTTTAAACTAAACTTCATGTGTACAGGGTGGCCCAAAAAATGACACTAAATTAACTGAACTGAACAGTATATATTAATTTTTTGGTAATATGGCTACCACCTCGGTTTATATACATAGTTTAGTTTATTAGTTTTTGTGTAATGGTACACGGTACTTGCAATGATTGTTTTGTGTTTTGATCGATTACTATAAAAATTATACTTAAAATAGGTACTGAATTTTTGTTTGCTTTAAAAATCTCTAAAGTTCCATCAATAGAGTTTCAAGAAATCTATTTTACAGACAGTATACTTATTCCTATTTTCCATTGCTTACTTTTTTTTTCGTAAAATGAGAATATAAAACTTTTTCACCTAAGACCTTTTGATTATATGTAATGTTCTTGGAAAGCTGTATTTTAATTTCATTTCCCTATAAATGTCACAACCTGTACAGAGGTAAAATATATCTAAGTGATTATTTATTAATAAAAAACTTATGCTTATACATACATAGATTATTTCAAATAAATATTATTAAATACAAATATAAATGGAATAAAATATAATCATTTTTGAAGCATGAAATTAAATTAGTTTGGTTGGTTGAAAGTGTTGATAATATCCTTTAGTGAAATCCACCATTAAATCGGCTTGACACTCAGGCAATTCACCAATTTGTGTTCCTGGTGAGCCATTATATCTTGCAAATGGAGGCACCACTGTCTCAGGAGCTAAGATTGTGTTGTCCTCTATGACACAGCAATCTTTAAGTGTACACCGACGGCCCTACAACAGTTAAAATAAGCTTTCTAATAAAAATTGATCAAACAGGGTTTTTGTATGTATTTTATACTATTTTAGTCACTCACAATAACACAATTTTTTCCAATGTACACATAATTGCCCACAATAGCTGCATTCACTACAGATCTTTCTCCAACGTAAACATGATCACCCATCGACAAAGGAAAAAATGCTACACTAAAACATGATATAACGATATACCAACAGAGCTAATAATAATAACTCAAATAGCAGTATTTAAAATATATTTTTAAAAGCAAATACAGATTACCCTTTACTAAATTTCTTATAAGGAGGCCTCAGAACAGCTTCTTTGCTAATAATACAGTATCGTCCTGTTTTAACATTGGCTAAGTCACCCCTTATAATGGCCTCTGATTGTACTATCACCTTGCCTTGTAGCACAATGTTTTGCGAGCCACATAATACTGTTTGTCGACATACTTTATTTCCAGAGGCCTAAAATTTAAATAAAATAATTTCGTTGTTTTATAAGATTTTAGAACTTACAGTTTCAACATAGTCGCTTTTATTATAATTAATATCTCTTAATTCCATTTTGGTACAACAAAAAATATTACAAAGGAACAGTCACCCTAACACCTAACCTAACTAAACGTAATTTAATTTGACATTTGACATTTCATTTTCATCATAGGATCCAGGGAGACTTCTCCATGATAGGATCATAGCCAAGGATTTTATACATTTATACATTTTATACTTGTATAAAATCCTTGGATCATAGCTACCAAACAAATAATAGAATCATAGTATCTGTTTCTACGATTGGAGCACTCCTCGTGTATTTTTACACTTTCCAGCGTACAGGAGTGTGATACAACGAAGTGATCTACTTTCCTTACCTCCTGAGTCAGGAGTCCTGACCCTTTGAAACACAAATCGATTTTTGTGGTGTTGGATGTTCAGGCTTTCCCTTTTTCTTTTAATATAGCATTATAGAATAGAATGTAGTGCTGTACCCTTTAAGGTTACGATAGAAAGTAATCTATTTTTTATTCGTGCATGAAGTTTAGATTATTTCTTTATCAAAAATCTTATTTATTATTATTATTATCAATAAATAAACGGCCTGCTAATAAAAATTTTCAGGCAAATCGAGATGACTTGTGTGTGAGAATTTGAGAAAGTATATGTTCCAGTACTTCCAGTTCAAGAAGAACCTAATTAAAGTGTTGTGTAATAGTGATTGGTCAGTATTTGTAATTTGTGTAACACTATTTTGTTGCAGCAGCGTTCCGCGTTACTATTATATGAAGTAACTGGTTACTCCAGAACATAAAACTGTGCAACTGCAGAAAAGCAGGTGCAGGTTATACGAACACTTCTTTTTATACAAATAAATTTAATGATTTTAAGGTACTTCTTGTAACATTCTCTTGGTGAAAACATCTGATTGTAAATAAAAATAATTATAGCTACAAAATAATTACTATAGAAAATATTATGAACCACCTATACAATATAAATAACTCAATTTACTGCATTTGATACCTAACAAATTTGCTAGGAATTTGATTAAAATGAACTATTTTCAAAATTAGACATAAATATCAGGTACATTCTCATAAAATGAATTAGTAGTATTTATAGCTGCATAATTGTTTATTACTGTTATATGACGGTGTTTAATTTTTGTAGTTGCTACATTATATTTGGGAATTGTATTCATTAAATAATAAAATATATTGGAAATTGTTTATTTTGGAAACGTTAAATTAAAAAATTACAGTAGACTCTATTCTTGGCTGGCATCTACATTTTCTGTTTGTAATCCTTTAAATGAAGATACAGAAACATAAGTCACAAGAGTATACAGTTTATTCACAGAGTCTTCATCGTCATTTCTTCTACGTGACAAGCGTACACGTACACGGAAAGGTACATTCCTAAAAAAAAAAACAAAAAATAAAATCTGCTTATTTATAAGTAGAATTTGTTTTAATTTGCTTATACCACAAGTATGCTAGCCACAAGCCATAGCAGAGTGCTACATCTGTGAATAGTCATTGCTGTTCTATGCCTAGGCATTCAATATGGCCATACTGGCTGAGTGACCTGCCACACAACTAATCGCCAACTACGTGAACAGATTTTTAATATAGATATTGCTAGTATAATACAATGCTAGTTGAAGATATAAATATATAAAGATATAATATGCAAATAAACATGAAATAAAAATAAATAGAAGAACCAACAGGAACTTACCTGATACCCTTGGACCATAACTGTTTGTTCAGTCTGGTGTCAATCCTAACGTCGGGGGTCCCCATTTGTTTTTCAGCGAACTGGCGGATTGCTTTAATGGCTCGGGGGGCACGTTTCTTAAATCCAATACCATGTAGCCTCTTGTGAAGGTTGACTGTGTATTCGCGGGTAACTACTTCATTAATAGCTGATTTTCCCTTCTTTTCACCTTTCTGTTTGGCCATTTTAAGCTAAAAAGTACCAAAACGGGTTACAAAACCAAAATATTGTGTTGCTGAGAAATAGTCAAAATAACATAACCTATAAATTAAATTTCATTCGAAAAGTGGACATTTCTACTTCTATTAGGAAAATATTATAAGCTATTGTTTAAACACAATAGAATGATTAAAATTTATCTAATTAAAAACTTTATTGCAATATTACTAGCAGGATGATTGCAGATTTTTACAAAAAATATAGCAATACATACCCCTCTGCACTATCTTGCTGTCAAAAGAAACTGTCAGTTTTCGATTTTTGTGGGATTGAAAACAATATTTCTTGAAATTAAAAATCTGTAATATTTTTCTTCTATTTGGTCGGTTTGTGTTAAGATGGCGCTGTTAATTAAAAGAAATCTGTAGTGCATAGGTTTAAATTTCACTTGCCAAAGAATAGGCTGCGCTGTAATATTTTTCTTCTATTTGGTCGATTAATGTTAAGATGGGGCTGTTAATTAAAAGAAATCTGTACTGCAGAGGTATAAATTTCACTTGTCATAGTATAGGTTGCGCTGGAGGCTATGTTGTGATTGTTGATTTAATGAAAGGCGTTTTTTGGGCGCAAACTTTTGAAAAATGTTTTAATTTTAATGATTCATTGCACAGGAAAGTTCATCTAAGGAAAATGACACAATCTTTAAGTAAATAATTGTAGTATCTAGGTTTCAGTTCTAAAATAATGTATAATAGACAGTAAACAACTGTAACACTACGTGTTATGCTGTTAAGGGCCCCATATTCTATAAATAGTGTTTTCCGCAAAGACAAATAATTTCAAACATTTAATAACTGAATAATCTAAAGCTTATCAAATAATAGGAATGTTATGTCATGCCATCTGAGTATTTTCAAAGACGCCGCAGTAAAACGAATAAACAGGTGCAAAAAACGATCAAACCATCAAGGTTTTAGGTACTGAAATCTACGAAAATACTAACTTTTTTATATATAATTCCACATGTAAATATTCTTATAACATTTACTTGCTTAGTCCTACATATAAAATTGTTTACTTTTATTTATAAGTACGTGAAAATAATTCTTAAAATGTGGGGTTAGAATAACAGCAAACGCATGTTTTACAAACGCTTTTTTTTTAGTTATTATTTTATTTGAGTAAATTTAAATGGTAACAATGAATAAACAAAACGTCAAGGATTTCATTTTTGTGCTTACTTTTGTTCTACACGTTTTACTTTTAAAGATTTCAGTACCTAAAAACGCCAGAAATTTCACTATTTCTCGGCCGGGAATATGGCCACCTTAAGTTGAAATAATAATATGGCATTTACTTTCCTTTTTCAGTTTGCGTATTTAGATTTCTTTTGTTTTGTATTATTAAACTTTTATGAATTATTCATTTTTTACAATAATGCATACATCTATTTTGCAATTAGGTAACTGCATTTTCAATAAATAATTCGATTCCACTTTATGACTCTTGTAGTAAATAATAGGTACCTATAACAGTAGCGCTAATTACATTGTTTGAGATTGCTTCCTTAGGTGGTCCCTGCGCAGGATTTGATTTGGCATCGTAGTTTCATTTTAAATTAATTATTTTATCTGCATCATGATAATTACTACCAAACATTTTATAGTTGTTTTTTTTTTCAAGAATTTGACCAACATTTTACCGTGGTGTGAATATAACATAGTGTGCATACGCGCATGTTGTGACGTCATTTTAAAGAAAGACTGACGAAATCATGGCATATACAGGATGAGTCATTAATAATGGTACACAGCTCAATGGCCTCAATGGATTGTTAACGTCAAAATATAGCGCTTGAGCCAAATATACTTTAATCAATTGTTGCTATTTTTCGTTCTACAGGGAGTTAATGTTGAAAAAATATTTTCGATTTTTTGCTATATTTTAAGTATGTATGAACCAATAGTTTTAAAAATTTGTGGTTTTACGTTTTTTGAGACGGCAAATACGAATATGCAAATAGTGTTGGGGTCACGTCTAGGGGGCGCTAGTTGTATTGTCCTGCCAATGTAAAAATATGTCTAACTTTTTATATTTTACAATTTTGAATTTTTTAACTAGAAATTGTTGAACTACGTTCAATTCTAACTAAACAAGGTATACTTGTTACAAATCGATAAACTCGACTGTTTTCGAGATACAGAAATTTTTTTGAAATTCGACGGGAATTAAATTAGAAAATAATAAGTAGTAGGCATGGACATAATAAATTGACAGTTGTCACTACAATACCATATGGGGTATTGTTTTCTAAATTTCTACTCAATTTGATTAGGAAGTAGTTTTTTCCTTGTCGTTATTTTTTAGAGAAGAGAATATCTTAATAGAAATTTTCCACATTGTTGGAAAACCGAAAACGGTTTAGTTTATCGATTTGTAACTAGTACACCTTTTTTATTTAAAACTGAACGTAGTTCAATAATTTGTAGTTAAAAAATTCAAAATTGTATAATACAAAAAGTTAGACAGATTTTTACATTGATAGGACAGTATAACTAGCGCCCTCTAAACGTTACCCCAACACTGTTTGCATATTCGTATTTGCCTCCTCAAAAAACGTAAAACTACAAATTTTCAAAACAATTGGTCCATACATACTTAAAATATAGATAAAAAAGAAAATTATTTTTCAACTTTATTAATTAAATCTACTCAACAGCTGAAACAACAGTCCTAAACTTATTTGATTTAATTTTTTAGGAACAATGATAGCGACTTCAGCTACAGCAGTTTATTTACAATATCGTTTCCTTGGTTTCGATCAAGACAACTATTAGGTTGCAAAATTGTTAATTATGTTCAGACACTCTTATAAGTCGTCAAAATGACATTTGCAAACAAAATAAATCGATATACTACAAATATTTACGAAAAACTGACCATTTCGTATGAGAATTTGCACGACCGAAGACGTTGTAAGACACGCGTGTAAAAAGTTTTCTTGGTTAAATTCACGCGGCTTTTGCTGGTGTTTTTAATTAACCCGTCCGTGCTATAAAGAATGATTTTTTTACACTTAGAAATAAAACTGCGCAATAAATAATTTGTACTCTATCGATCTTATTTAGAATTTTCAAATGTATATTGGAGGTGAAGGTTACTGTAGACCTGCGGGTGAAAATAGTTTTTCAGGAATATAGAATTTTATTTTCACTTATCATAAATGCATTACATAGTGCAGTGCAATCAGTAATAAAACTATGTCTAACAATAATAACATATACATAAAGGAATTGGATAATTAAATTATAGAAACATCGTCAACAGTACATTTCGTGTATACATGAAAAAATAAAAAATATGAGCACACGAAGGTGTTCCGATATGGTAGGCAATATAGAGAATAAAACATATCAATATACATATATATTTCTGCAATGTATATACAATTTCAAATTCTTATGTAAATAAAATGTTTATTTGAGGTAGATGAACAGCACTTTGGGCTTTCGGTAGGTAAGATAAGAGATCTTTACACTAAATTAGGAAGATATAACAAAATTCTTAAAATACTCGACAACAATAAACAAATAATAATCAGTCTTAAATTAAATGGCAAAATATTCTAACACAACTGCTGTATGAAGAATTGTTCTTGTCAATAAAATTTCAAAACGGCCAAACCAGGTTGAACTTTTAATTTTACTAAACATACAAAAAAGTAAAAACTAGTGGAATGTTTTTAAAAAATATTTTGATCGAAAGGCACATCACTCCCTACATAATAATTATTGGTCCTCTGATTAGTTGTGTTATACATTTAGGAAAGTTAAAACAAAAACGTTCAGTCTTGTACAATAATCGTTAATAATAAATAACAGTGTAGCAATATATGAATTGCACTTTTGGTTAATAATGAATGAGCTGAATGAAGTTGAGGGACTAGACCTGGGTCAGTCAAAAATAAAGAAAGGTGTAGTATTGGTCAGTGGTTATGTGTATTCATTCAGTCTAGAAAAATCACAGCTATGGCTAAAACGGCCACTTGTAAGACCTATGGCAACGTGCAATATTATCGTGAACATCGTAATAGCCCATTGAATGTTTGTTTGACTGTAATTGACTCAAAAAATGTATTAAACGAATATAAATTGGAGTTTTTTGTTTTGGAAACAACGTAATGAAGAGAAATAAATAAAAGTACATCGCTTTTTAGAAACGAAAACATCGATTATAGTTTTTAAAACTTGAATAGAACGCTTGTAGGGGCAAACGAACACTTCACTCGACTATTATCCAGTACTTTGCAAGGTTTCAAATAACAATAGTGCAACAAGAACACTCTGACACAAAATACAACTCTGTATATATCAATACTCGTATGGCTTAATGTTTTGAGCCGATATTTTTCGTTTGTTAAATAATATCTTACAGTTTACTTACTCTATCGAAAAATACAATCCTAAAAATCCCAAAACCACAAATATTTAATAGTATAATCACATAGATATTATTCTCCGTAATTTTCCTCAAAAATTAAAGAGGGCCGAACTTGTCGAAACAGCATTAACAATCGGATAATGAAACAACTTCAGCACCTCTACGAACAGGCTTAATGCCCCTCAGCAATAAAACGTTACTATTTACATCTTTTTAAAGATCAACAAACACCACGATGCGAGTATACAGACCAATTTCTTGCTCCCCTCTATCAGTCTCATATAATGTGTAGTAAAATCTATCAGTCTTATGAGTTGCATCCCTTAATCAAGGAACTTGTAGCAAAGAATGAGCTGGTCTCATAGCAAGCATTGAAATAGGCATTCAGTTCTCTCGTTGTTAAAACTACAACCTAGGCTTAAAACTAAGTGAGTACGGGTGGACAACCACAGATATTATAGATATTGCACTGAACTCAGTCAATTCGTAGTAGTTGCAAGTTCATACATAAAATATATAGAATAAAACTTAACACTGGTTTAAAACTATTTCAGCAGAGTTTCTCTTGTGCGGGTATTTACATTTCATTCCGCCTCTCTCTCGACGCTCACCTCTCTCCTCGCCGCCTCTTCCTTTATGCTCTCCATCAGCATCTCCTCTTTCTTCATGATAGCGGAGACCTGGTTCATAGGTGGCATGATGACTCTGGACTCCCTGGATTCCTTTCGTCCGATTGATAGATCCTCCACCTGGTCCTCTTCCTCCTCGTGATCTCTCTCGGAGCTTCCGTTGGTCTCGCTGTGACTGTGGGGTGCTGGGGAAGGGGTCAAACTGCTATGCCTCATGTACTTCAGCATTGTGGGACTGGGGCTTGGACTCCTCGCCCGTCCGTGGTTGCTCGGACTGGTAGAATGACCAGACGCGACTGCGTGAGCCGCAGCAGCAGCCGCCATAGCGGCCAAGGCTTCCCGTTCGTCTCCTCCACGGTTCTCCATGGCGTGCTGGAGGAAGGTGGTGGCATCTATCAGAGCGGAATTGTTGTTTATGGGTCCTTCGTCGGTCTCGGACAAATGTCCTCCATAGGGGGATCCAGTGCCGTAGGGGAAGCACGCTGTACTGCCGTTGGTACCTCGTTTGAAGGGTCTACTGGTGGTTATCCCCAGTTTTTTAACTTTGTCGTAGAGCGTTCGAGATGGTACGCCGTATTTTCGGGCCGCTTGTAAGGCCGACATCCCGTTTCTCACCGCTTCTATGGCGGACATGATTTCGTCCCTCGAATACTGCTTGTAGCGTTTCCATTCGGGTTTTTGGGAAGGCACGTAGGTGGCTATGCCGGAGCTTACTCCTCTCATCTCGTGAGAGAAGGATTGGGGCGAGGATGAAGGTATGGCTAGCTTGGATTTGTCCTCCTCGTCATTCATCAGCGTGAAATCGGTATACGGCGATTGGGCGTCCTCGGATGGTTCATTTTTCACATGCTACAAAAATAAACAGTCGTATAAATAATGTGAAAATAGTTATTTTTGATTCTAGGTTGCGAAGTATCGCTTTGTATTTCAGAATGGAGAATTTTTTGTATCAGAGTTAGAAAACCATTCATGAATGTAAAAGCGACTTCGCAACTGGATATATAATATTTTTTCGAAAACTGCTTCAAAATATTGTTAAAATTATATAAATCTTGACATTCTTAGGAACATGTAACAACCAAAAATATCAAGAGTCGTTTGGTTCTGGTCACGATATTTGTTTTACTTACCGTGTTGAAGAATCTGTGAAAATATTAGTGTTAAAAATTACGACTCAAGTGTTAAGTATGAATGAAGTAAAAAGCGAAAGGGATTAGTCAAGTGAAGGAATATTTGTAACAGAAACATGTAACAACCAAAAATATCAAAAGTCGTTTGGTTCTGATCACCATATTTGTTTTACCTACTGTGTTGAGGAATTTTGTGAAAATATTAGTGTTAAAAATTACGACTCAAGTGTTAAATATGAATGAAGTAAAAAGCGAAATGGATTTGTCAAGTGATGGAATATTTGTCTTTTAAAATATCGAAAGCCGCAGAAACTGAATTTATTTTTTTTTCCTCAAAAATCTCCAAGATAATAAATACTATAACGACTTCAAAAGGTGCTATATTGAAAAAAAATGAAAACATTTGAAAACGATTTACTTATTTTGAACAGAAATGATTCCCCAAAGATTTTGAAGAATTTAGAAATCGAAATAGTTAAGAAGCTCATGAAGAACATTTTTGTTAATAAGATAATCCTCGGTAATTTATCTAATTTTGATGATTTTTCAGGTTCAATGGTCATTGAAGAGGCTTTTAGAAGAGAAGAACAACTAATAATGACAGTATAAGACATGGAAAAACAAAGGTTATGTGATTATCATAAAAATCCCTGGCAGCGAGACACATACTCAGAGGACATTTGTCATTTTAAATGTATAGCATATTACATTAAATCGACCATAAATTTACTAAAAATTGCAATTTTTTCATGAGATATGTCAACAGAAAATTCACTAAATAAGTGGTTGGTGTTAATAAAAGAGAAGCACTCCAAGAGAAACCCTTGCATATTTCAAATTGGCGCATGTGATATTGGGAACAAAGTAAATAATGATATTTGGCTAGAATAATGTTTGCAATTGATATATATGAATTTGAAAAAAGTGATCATATTATTGAAGCAATTTATCATGATAGTCCAACCAAATTACACTTGGAGAAAAAAAAAATTGTTACCTGGACTTTTATAAGTGAAAATGGCAAAAGGGTTTATAATAAACCTAAAAAAAATAAATGCGTGAGCAGAAGCGGCGAAGGATTGATTTGGGGGGTTGAAAAGTTTTGAAAAATTGTATTATTTGGATTTCTGGCGAAAGTTGACGTCAAACATAAAAGTATTCAATACAAAAGTAGAAGATGCAAAAATCTACTTTTGTAGAGGTCACTTTTTAACATAATCTCAAAATTTCCGAGTAAAATGCAAAAAACAGTTTTTTTCTGATTTTTTAGTTTTTTATTTCTCATTTCCGCAAAAATAATTTAATTTTGACTAAACTTGGTGAAAGTATACCTTTCTCAGTCTTAAATAACCTCAAATTTTTTTAGATAAAAAATCAAGAAGTTTCTGAGATATTCATTTTTTTCGGCCTGAAACACTTTTATTTCAAACAAAAATTCTACTTAAAAAATCATCGTACAGAGTTCTGCCGGTAATCATTTTTTTCGTTTTGACATATACTTTTTGGTGAAATAAAAAAATCTGTAATAACATTTCAAAAAAAGCAAAAAAATTAAAAATGACGCATCAATGAATTTTTCAGTTATTGTTAATAATTTGTTTAAATTAAAAATCATTCAAAAACTGATTACACCATTCAATTCTACGGAAAAAAAATGTGTCTCATTGTTTGACACAAAACTTTATTTTTGTACAGTATTGCTATGAACGTCTAAGTCGAATTACAAATGCACAAATGATAAATTATCTCAGGATAATTTGAAATTTCTACAATACAAAGTATTAACTGCAAAGTCTACTGTTGACGCGAAATCCGAAAACCCGAAATTTTGCAAAATCGTTTTTATTTTTTTTTCTGGCTTTATTTGAAAATGAATTTTAAATAAATTTCATATTTACAATGCCACTTTTTTCGCTCTATACAATGGCTCAACATTTTTGTAATCCGACGTTTCGTCTTCGACGGGCCATCATCATGTAATTTATTTTAAAATTCATTTTTAAATAAAGCCAGAAAAAATTAAACAATTTAGCAAAATTTCGGGTTTTTCCGAATATTTCCGGAACTACACGGAATTTTAAAACTTTCTAAACAGCATATTGTTAGGTATAAAAAAACACAACTTTTTTCTAATCTGAGCCACCCCCTATCTCTTACCGTTTCCTAGATCCTATTGCTATCCCATCCTTATGTTGGACACAATGTATATCTATAAATTCATCAAACTTTAAAAAAATAAGTACACTAATCGATCCTACGGAAAAAAAAATATTATTTATTTTATTTATTCACTATTCGACTTATGTTTATAGCAATACTATATAAAAATAGTTTTGAGTCAAACAACGAGACAGTTTTTTTTTGTATTTTTTCCGTACAATTGAATGGTGTAATCAGTTTTTGATTTTTTTTTAAATTTAAACATATCAACAATTACTGAAAAATTCATTGCTGCAAGTAATTTTTTACTTTTTTTGTATTTTTGAGCTTGTTTTTGAACTGTGATTACCAATTTTTTTATTTCACCAAAAAGTCTGTCAAAACGAAAAAAATTATTACCGGCAGAACTCTGTACGATGATTTTTTTGAGTAGAATTTTCCTTTGGAAAAAAAGTGTTTCAGGCCGAAAAAAATGAATATCTCAGAAACTTCTTAATTTTTTTATCTAAAAAAAATTAAGGTTATTTAAGACAGAGAAAGGTATACTTTCACCAAGTTTCGTCAAAATTAAATTATTTTTGCGGAAGTGAGATATAAAAAACAAAAAATCAGAAAAAAACCTGTTTTTCGCATTTTTCTCGGAAATTTTGAGGTTATGTTAAAAAATTACCTCTACAAAAGTTGTAGATTTTTGCATGATCTACAACCTTTGTATTAGATACTTTTTTGTTTGACGTCAACTTTCGCCAGAAAGCCCAATGATACAATTTTTCATAACTTTTCAACCTCCCATATCAACCCTCCGCCGCCTCTGCTCACGCATTTATTTTATTATTCGTTTATTATAAGCCCCTTTACCATTTCCACTTATAAATGTCCAGGTAACAATTTTCTTTTTTTTCCTCTAAATGAGTTATTTTGATCGGTTTATGAGAGTTTTCGAAAAATATGTTTTTTGGTAATAGGGTATCTCCTAAATGCATATCATAATTTCAAAATATTGTTTTCTAGAATATTATAGGCCAAAGGATTTCAATAAAACAAATGTCTAAAGACGCTTGTTTTCGGGGTACCTATATGGTGTTTAAAAAAACTATTACACTCATTCAAAGATCTCTGAAAATGTTTGATTCAGATTGATGAAACTGGAACTGACGTAATTAACATGGATTAATTGAATTGGTTCATTAACAGGTGGTGGAAATATCACTGTTACCAAGAACTCCCAGAACTAAGTACGACATCACGGAGTATTTCGCGAATTGCATAAGTACATTTAATTTTCTAACATTATTTCACTTTATTCGAAAAATGTCATTTTTGAGACATTGGAAAGCTTATTGTGTAGTTACTTGTCAAATGGAATGCACAGGATTTTTTGTATTTGTTCAAAATACAGTATAACCATAAAAGATTTAAAAAAATTAGACAAAGTTTTTGTTTCTCTGAGAGCCGTGTTCGTTGCTATTTTTCAGATAATTAAACATTTCCAAGACAATTATTTTTTTTTGGGACCAGATAATTGTTTTTCGAACAAAAATCTTTTTTATGAAAATTGTAGTTATTTAGATGTATACAACTATAAACTTTATTTAATTAAAAATAAATAATAATTCGAAAATGGCACGTAATTCTCAAAATACCGTAGCATTTCTGGGGTTTTTAGTGTCAGTGGCTCCTAGTATCTCTGCTGCTGGTCAACAAATTTGTATGCCAGTTCATTTTTGTCTTTAATTAGATAAATTATTAGTTCAAATTTTATGAATCTCCGTGAACCTCTTCAGAGATATTTGAATATGAGTATGTGATACTTTCTTATAACTTCAACACCTTGTATCTCGAAGATCAATGACTTCAGTCTATGGTTCACCTCTTGGTCTAAAATGATCCAAGTAGCAACATCCAGAAGTTATGACATAGACTTAGAAATCACCCTGCATACTCGCAGAAAGAAACAGTTACCTTAACGCGTTCTTCGGTTGTTCCCGAACGTTCGGCGCTGTCCGGATGGCACACAAGGCTAACAGGTTGAGACGAATCGGCCTGGCCTTGGCCCAGTACCGTCCTCAGGATCGGCGTATCTCTGTTCATCAATAAACTGGACAGCTTCTTCCTCTTGAGCGGGGAAATGTCCGAGCTAGCCGCCTCATAGCAGTTCAGCATGGCAGCAGCAGTGGCGGCGGTGTGGGGGTGGCTGGGGTTAGGCACTGGAGTCGTATGGGGCGGTAAGGGTAGTCCCGGCATCGCCCACATGGGTAAATTCATTCTAGAGTTGTGCTCTTGAGGTTTGGTGGTGTACAAGTTGTAAGGATTCTTGTACATGGAGTTGGTCGAATGCGGGGGAGAACTATTACTGCTGCTGTGGACGGAGCTCTGCATCACCGAGTTCGAAGTGGTGATGGAGGGCGAGTGGTCCATGGGTTCTTCGTTCTTGGGGCTCTTGTTGGATCTGTTCTCCTCCACCAAACCTTTCACTTTTAAGGCTTCCGCCACCTTTAATAAAGCGGCTAGTTGATCCTGGGCTACGTTTACTTCCCCTCTGTACATGTATTCGAGGATAGCCTTGATCTCCGAGTATTTGACGTCTTTCAGGACGACCACGGGGTGCTTGCAAGGCAGGCCGGTGAAGAGGTTTTGGAAATATGGGGAACAGGCAGCGAGCACCATCCTGTGGCACTTGATGGGACCGCCGCCCTCGCATACTAGGGTGACGTCGGTGAAGGCTTCGTTCTGGAGGAGTTCGTCGAAGACGGTTAGGAGGTTCGAGCGGTGGTTGTTCCACCTCAGGCAGTACTGCTGTGCTGTGCCCATTTTGGAAAGTGGTCCACGTACTGGAAACAAAAATCTAGCGTTATAGGAAATATTTATTGTTTAACCATACTAAGCAAAAAAATAAACAAATAAACTGCAAAGATAATGGTAATGCTCATTTTTTAAACATATATGTTCTTTAAATTTTATTATTTATTTTAATACCTGTTGGCATGGCAATAAAGTGGCATAACTGTTAGCGATTTCTGCAACGACTTTTTAGCTATAAATCTATAATTCCAGAGCTTCCCTGGCTCCCGCTAGAGCTCGCTACGATCGAAGGTAATGGAAAGAAGCCAACATCACTAGATTGTCTATTTGTCACAAATTCTATATACAAAAGTCATTTATAAAATACCACTTGAATATTATTTGAAAATTTTGTTAGGTAGAGATTTAATTAATATTTTATGGGTCTGACGATATTTGACAAAATAACTTTATTCATCTACAAAATAGTAATTACTTATATCTGAATAATGTAATAATGGTTTTATGCATCATTTTTAATTTGCAACTAGATATTATTTTATTACAAATTCTAGTTATTAGCCTTGTTTATGTCTGTTAGTTTAGTGTAAAAATTCAACAGCAGTAACGTTGACACTATTTTATAAGCCACGCTATGACATAAGTCAAAGTAAGGGCTAACTTTTGCCCATAAATCTATTACCAGTTGTTCCGAAATGAATGCAACAAATTTGGTCATAGATACTTAAGACAAATTTATACGACCCGTATTTTTTATTTTTGCCAAGTGGCTCCCTCTTTCGGAGTTACAGCTCCTTGAAATCCTCCCTTAGTAGTATTTTTTTATATCTCATAACGCTGTTGTACGAGAATCACTAAATTTTGTACACAGGGGTTTTATGACATGTGGAATCTGATAGTGCTACGCTTTTTGGCGGGAAACCCCTTTAAGACACATTTTCGTGGGTCCCCTTGTCTTTGCAGCCAAAAAATTTAGTCGATAATTAGAATTTCTTAAAAATTATTGATCCGCTAAAAAGGCATTGAATTTAGAATTTTTTTTGTCTCTTGATATTTTTTCCATAAAACCCAATGTTTTCGAGAAAAATGGCAAAATGTGATCGAATGCGCATCGCCAGCCACCTACGATTAACACGTAGAATTTCATACTAATCATCATATGCATTCGGTCACATTTAGTATTTTTCTCGAAACCATTGGGTTTTACGAAAAAAGTATGAAGATACAAAACAGCTTCTAAATTTAATGGCTTTCTAGGGGACTAATATTTTTTTAAGAAATTCAAATATGCGACCAAATTTTGTTGGCTGCAAAGACAAAAAGGTGTGTTAAGGGGTTCCCCGTCAAAAAACGTAGCACTATCAGATTCCACATGTCATAAAACCAAATTTGTACCAAATTTAGAGATTCTCGTACAACAGGGTTCTGGCATATAAAAAAAGACTATTCTTAGGGTCGGATTTCAGGGGGCTACAACTCTGAAAGAGGGGACAAAATTAAAAAATACGGCTCCCCTAAATTTGTCTTAACAATCTGTGACCAAATTTTGTTGCATTAATTTGGGGACACCCGGTATATTACATTTATTACTTATATCATTTTATTATTACAATTTAAGTATCAAATGACCTCTTTCTGAAGAACCCTTTCTTAGATCTAGCGGCTTTGACTTTCGTGCCCCTAAAATTATGGGCAACAATTAGTGCAACGTTGAATGCAGTGTTGAAGTTTAATAGAAATGTCAGGTTTATCCAGTTATCTTTATTGGAGATAGACGTAAACTTAGGTTAATAATTTTATTAATTAAGTATTAATTCACAAGTATGTCGAGCAATGGTGGAGATTCTGGGGAGTACTGTCATTAAGAATTCCCAGAATTTCGACGCCACTGAGTATTTTGGAAATTCTGGATTTAATTGTAATGACATTTCTAAGAAAAAAGTCATTTATTTTATTGGAAAAACTAAGTTATTATTTTTTTAATTTTAAAATGGATAAGATAATATGACGATGTTTGCCAATATCTCCGCCGCTGGTTACAGGTTTATACAGGGTGTTCCTAAATAAGTGTCGCAACGGAAAACTGTAAATTCCTCTTCAAAAAAGAAACATTCTTTTCCTCTTCCATTTTTCTCTTGGTGCTTTCGTTTTCGAGATACACGGTGTTAAAACTTTATTTTTTTTTAATTTTTTGCCAATAAGTTAGGAACCTTTTGAACTACAGGACTGAGTTTTTGTACACACATTACCACTATTAATAGGTACTTTTTCGCACCCTTCTTGAATTCATTGAATGTGCCAGTGGTGGAGATTTTAAGGTATCGTAAGGGTTTTACCCTCCTAACTTTTACGCCACTGGAAAAATTGACATTTGACAGCAAATTCTGAAGCGCCAATGAATTTTACACAAAAAGAGTTCTCTTGGTTCATTGCTCTAAAGTCAACCGTTCTCAAGAAAAATTACTTTTTATGAACAAAAACAAACATTTTGTTAACGTTTCGAGAATCTTTTGTAATTCAAAAGACAGATAGTAATAATTAACAATTTTAACGAAATTTAACAACATTTGCAACAAGTAGCTATTAATAGTGGTAATGTGTGTACAAAAGCTCAGTCCTGTAGTTCAAACGGTTCCTAAGATATTGGCAAAAATATGAAAAAAAGGTTTGATATCGTGTATCTCGAAAACGAAAGCCCGGAAAGAAAAATGGAAGAGGAAACAAATGTGTCACTTTTCAAGAGGAATTTACAGTTTTCCGTTGGGACACTTATTTAGGAACACCCTGTATATCAATTGAGTTAATACCTTTTTCCAATTAACTATGTTATTTACCAAAGTTCTATTAATCTAACTTCGTTAGAGATATTCGAACAAACGTGAAACTTTTTTAAAATGTTCAACACCCTGTATTTCGAAAACAGATAACTTTAGGTCGTCGATTCATCAATCATAAAGTCGTTTTAGTTAAAAGAGATCGCCTTACTTAACATATACAAATAAAATTAAAATAAAGTTGAAAATAGAAAAACAAATAATTACAATACCATAGGAACAAGTCGAATTCAATCTAAGGAGATGGAAAAAATATTTGATATCTTTTGGTTTAGAACAGAAAAATGTATTTTTCAGTTTTTAATTGTAAAATGGTTGATTCAACAAACAATTATTTAAGAGAGCATGTAATTTTGTCAAAAAGAAGCATTGTACATTATAGTTGATTTATATCTGAAATTCACAATAACTTTTTATGCTCATAACACGTAAAAAGCCTTTATCAATGGTCTTAAAATGAATGACATTCTACTCGCTGCTTTAAATAACCATTGATAAAAATTTTAAAACATTTGCAATATATCTATATTTAGAATTAATCTTTTGTTTTAATGAAACGAATCGTTTACAATTACAATTCTCTTTTATCATAATTAATTGTGATAAGTGAGATTAAAATGCTGCTCAAACTTTTTAAAAATGTGGCGAATGCGCCAAGAAAAATGTTTACTGCTAATGTAGTTGTGTAATGTAATCACAAAATTTATGATCATTGAATGTAAATAGTAAATAATAAAATACTATTCCTAATAGGTAAATTCAGTATAATTTTAAATTTAAAGTTTGAAAATAAATCGATATGAAAATAATTTTTTAAATAAACGATGATATATGAGTTGAAGTGATTAAAATATTTTGATTTTAACACTGGTGAGACAGGTACAAATTTTTCTTTTTCAAATGCAATGGTTTTTACAGTTATTCTCTTTCTCTTCAGTTATCTTAAAATTGTATTACTACGAACAGTTACAGCTAGAGCGAATTATATTTTTTGGGAAATGTTAATAAAGAAATGGATGAAAAATAGAACAAAATAACTTAATTACAAGAAAAAATAAGCAATCATTTACTCAGACGTTAGTAAATATTGTGTCGGTCGTAAGTTAAAATCCACGAAAAGGCAATAATAAAGCAATTAGTAAATTACCAAACGATATCAGAGGTAAATGACCAGATTTCAGTGTACTTTTCACTCGTCGCTTTATGCAACATATTGTATAAAATACATTGTATAAATGAAGGAATAGAGAACTCATCTTATTTCTAAAAAAAGCTGAATTTGCACAATAACAATCAAGATCTAGCCTAGAAAGAACAATACTACGGCTTCACTTAGGATTTTAAAAGGGAAAAAATAAAAAATAACGCGAAAAATTTAAAATTTGCTTAAAAGCCGTGTACTGTGGTATTTTGTACATTCTATAAAAAATGCATAATAAAAGTCATTTGCACTGTTAAACTAGCCTAGAAAGATTAATACGGCTTACTTGAAGTTTCAAAAGAAAAAAATAACGCGCAAAAATTCAGTTTGAGGCATAAATAGTAATACACAGTGCACTATCACGCTTTACATGCGGAAAAGAGGCGGTCTAGCGAAAAACGCTAAGGCAACGCGCACACAACGGTGACCAAAGTAAATAGACAGGAAAAAATAGAAACGCACCTCGAAATACGCACTGCCCCACACACTACCACACGCACGGGCGATCGGTTTCGCTATGTTTAGCTTTAGCACGAACTCACCCCGTCCCGTTCACGGACAGCCCTCTCATTGGCTGAACCGTTTCCGCTTATACCCCGCCTGCCCATTAGTGTCTATTGCAACCCTTATTTGTCTATCGTGCCAAAATAGGACGCGAGTCGACCCAATTTTTAGTTCTTCGGAGTTAAATGCGAACCGCAATGCAAGTAGGTTCGTTACTAATTTTTTCTTGATCAATTGCACAGAGAAGCGCTCGAAAATTGCAGAATTACATCCGGTTGCGAATTGTGCCTAATTTACGTTTAAGGTTATTCAAATTGTGACGAAACGTACAAACTTATGACACCTTCACGGTTGTCAATTTTTTTTTTAACAATATTAGGCCCGTGTCAAATCTTCATCAAATATATTTGATTAAAATAGTCGCAAGACGTCATTTTGATGCCCGACATGTGTGACAACTCCGTGAAACG